TTAATGAAGCCTTTCCCTTTTTTCCTCTCATTCTGTTCCCGGGTTGATGAGTGACTGAGGTTCAGGCCAGGAGCCCGCCTTCCTCTTTGGCTGACAAACGCTTTGGCTGAATGAGTAATGGCTAATTAACGTTGTGAATATGACTGTTTATCTGACTTTATGATCTGAATGGGAGCCAGTTTGCCTCCATGCATGCATGTGTGTGTGTGTGTGTGTGTGTGTGTAGCTCTGTGAGTCTTTCTGAAGGCAGATCAGGCCGCTCCTGACTTTAGCACAAACCCAGCAGATGCTCTGGCTGCGAGCTCTGTGCTCCAGCGCTGGCAGAGGGCCAATACTCCTGCTTCACTAGGCTAATGTAAATGCACTGTCTCATCATCCAGGCCCGCAGGGAGGCACACTCGTCTGCCCGACAAGCTCGCTCTCGTGGGGGGGTGGGGTTGGGGGTGGGTGTAAGTGGGCCAGATGCTGGGAAAGATTCCTCACTGACGAGGGAGCTGTTGGAGGTCAGGAGGGAAGGACTGTGAAACAGGGAGGCAGGAAACGTTTGTTGTGCGGTCTGAGGTAGTAACAGTGCACTCACTTTTACAGGAACCAACATAAGTCATCAAATCTGTCATCCTTTAGTTCTCACTGTAACATCCAACATAACTCAGAAATACTGTGATCTGATGGTGGTCATCAAAGACGTCCCACCACCACAGCCTGAGCTAACGCCGCACAATCGCTGCAACCACTCCTCCATGCATCAGTACACACTGATCAGTACACACTTTGTGTCAACCGCACGCTGAGTTGTGGCCAGATGCAAAGTTGGACCCTCGCTATTTGACTGTCAAAGTCAGTGGCGTAGTCCTCTCCCGATATTCAAAATCTGCATCAGTGAGACCGTCAGATCGGCACAGTTTGTATTAACTTCCTTTTACACAAGCAGAAATGTAAAGCAGCACAAAAGTTATATTAAATTATCTGAGTATTTTGCAGATACAGAAAACTCTTCTTGGATCTGCCTTTGGTATGAGGCTGGTCCAGGGATGACAGAAGACAAGGACACCTTCACTGCCACGGTTTGGTACTGTAGTGGAATCCTTACAATAAGGTTATACGTGATTATCTGTTATTGAGGATTTGTAAACCTGTTGGGTTAGACCTGGTTGTGCAGCCTGTTTTGGCTGTTTTGCAGAGACCAAAACTTATTGGGTTCCCAAAACACTTAGAGATTCCAGGAAGTCCAAGAATAATCCAAACAGCTGCTGAATTTCAGAACACTGTAACCCGTCCTTGGACGACCCCACTGTTGTGCACAAAAAACACAACGGTGTGTATCAATTTGATCCAAATCCAGACAGATTTGTCAGTCATCTCAAAGTCACAGGTAGCTTCAGTCATCCAGACGAAACCATTTTACACACTCGAGGTCCTTACACACCGGGAACGACGCAAAATTATAAAATATCCAGGAGCTCCCAGCTGGTCTTCATGTCATTGTGGCCTTGGAAAGTGAGTCCCACTTGCCCTCTCTCTCCCTGATGCCCAGACTAATCAGTGCGTCCTCCCCTTGATTAATTTATTCTTGATGGCAGAAGGTTCAGATTTAAGTGATTATACCTGAATGAAGTCTTCAATCAATGGTGATTAGGAGAGCGTGCACTGCAGCAGCCAGACTTCTGTACGCAGAGCGAAGACTGATTTGTGTTTTTTGTTGATGGTACGTCTGTATTTTTCTCATAACTCATACAAACAACATAAAAACAGCTCAGCTCAACTGACAATAAATCAAGAAGTTACACAACTTTTTTTTTTTTTATGCACACCTCCAATGCATGAAAAACCAACACACCAAACTCAAGACTTCACCTTTCAGTAAATCTTTGAAGAGAACAGTTAAAGGAAATAAACCCGGGCAGGCAAAAGTCTCTAGATCAGATTAAATAAGAAAACCTCAAATTTCCAAATAGTACACATAAATAAAAGATTAAAAGGATCCCCGACTTCAGAGGACATCCACGGATGAAAAGGAAGTGTCCTCTCACAAAGAAGGAAACTACTTTATTCAAAGAGTTCCTGAAAGAGACGTTTTTTTAACTTGACAAAGCCTCAGGATGGATGAGTGACTCCTGATCAAAGATAGGAGTCAAGTCAGATGAATCTTTTAGGTCCAATTGAATGAAAAAAAAAACAAACTCAGACGATCAACTTTGAGAACACGGGAGCCGATGAGCTTTCATTCTCACTAACAACCTGCTGGCTGCAGTGAGTGCCGACAAATTCATCTCAGACTGCTGCAACAACCGGGACCGACCACATAAAGTTGCGTTTTTGCAGCTGAGACTGCGACACTTGAACAGCTGCCAGCTGATTTGGGATTATATGGTTTTGGACCGGTATTAATTCTTCTGGAGCACTCGCCAAATTTGCTTTGGTTTCTTTTTGCCTCTTTATTTCCCTACACAGGTGTGAACCCTCCCCTCACACCAAACGCAACTAAAATCAACTGTGCAAGTCAATGTAACTGTAAAGAAAACTACTCCAAGTCCTCTGATATTTTGTTATGCATGGGAGCACTGCTGCATGATGCAAAAGGCATGCACACTGGGAACTCTTATTCCCACTTTACTGTCCCACTAAGACGACGTTTACAAGTGCCCAGCTATTTTCATAAACGGACATTTCACCCTCTCCGTTTACAAAAAAAACTGTGTGCACACCACTACGTTTTCAGAAAAGTTTTCATTTACACTGACCCGTGTATATATGCAGTCAAGAGTGTGCTAAATCTGTAGGTGGCAGTGTAGCTAGAAGCTCCAGCCCACGTTAGCCAATCAGAATATCAGAATCCTGCATAGCAGCAACAACAACAATAAGGTCAAGTCTGTCTTTTGGAAAAGATGCAAATGCAAACAAGTATAAAGGGGCTGCACCAGCATAAATGTGACTGCTATTCTACATGCATCTATGATCACCATAGATTGTAAACAACGTCACATTTTACGCAGTTTCCGGCGCACAATCTGCCGTCGGCTCCCCAAATCTCCATTTACCTTTGTTTTACTCTATTTACATGGAAACGTGCAAATGGTGTTTTCTAAAATCTTGGTTGTTAAAAAGCCTCGTTCACAGGGGTGAATTCTCTGTTTGTGTTTAAACGAAACGTCTCTGTCAATATTTCTGTTTTTAAAAACAGGGCCTCAGTCTGAGACACATATATGCTTCCTGCTGCCTTTAGATAGCACACCCATGAATGCTTACTCCAGCACAAGGAGATTTGTTATTTACACAGTGTGGACCCTGGGTGCAAAATTGACAAGTGCGTCAGGTGGAAAATAATAAAAACACTTGAGCCGTGTACCAGGGCAGACTCAGAGTGTCTTAAACATGAGAAAACAAAGTACGTACACCAGACTTTCCTTTCAGAAAGATCACAAATGAATGCTGGGTAAAGTTACGGGTGCAAATGAGGTAATGTTGGTGCTTTTGAATGGAAATACCACTTGAAGTGTTTAATGTGTCTTAACAACCACAAGAGTCCAATTTAATTTGTCGTGTTTCCTCGCAGACACTTCCTCTCCGCTATAATGTTTGCTTAAATGACTCATCCGGCTCCGGTCCGATTGATTGTAGTTAAACTGAAGATCAGTCATACCAAATGTTTCCAGAGAACAAAACTAACAAATCCAACAGCTGCTTTTTTCCCTTTTATTCAGCAGTTGGAAATAAAATCTATTCTCAAACATTTCTTTGTGAATGTCACGCTGCACTGAAAATCAGGTCACATAAAGTGAAGGCTGACTTTTTTGTCTTGTAATCTGGGTCTCTCTCTTTTTTTCTAAAACACAACTTTTAACATCTAACTTTTTTTCCTAACAAAGAGGGAAAACTTCTCCGTCAATCATTATGAAAGCACAAATTTAACTTTTAAAAAATGAGTTGTCAGACTTTGTTGTTCAGTCTTTGTTTCCTGGATTGTGTTTCGCAGTATCCCACTTAGGATGAACCTCGGCTTGTCATGAATTTTTAGGTTTCTGCACAGACCGAGGAGACAGAAAGACAGCCCCGCTGCAGGAGAAGCGTGGATCCTTTCATCGTTCTGGACAAGTTTTGAGTTTTTTCTTTTAAATGGTAGAAGCGGTCCTGTGCAGAGTGTGATTGGTTCAGACAGATCTAATTTTCAGGAGGCTTTTGAAAGCTCCTCTTTCTCTGTAGAGCAAGAATCCCTGGAGAAAACAGAGCTGCCTCTGAGGATCGGACAGACGAGCAAACTACCCTGCATACACACCGGGTTATGTTAGGGGGAGAACAACAAGTGTAAAAGGCAAGTTTGGTTTGCCTCCAGGCTAAAACACAGCCAGCTAAGAGCATATTTTAAGCTCTGTAGAGATTAATCAAACTGTCAATAGATTCATGAAATTCACCCTGTTGGAGAGCACGGAGAACTTAATTTTTTATGTCTGCAGCTCTCTGGAAGGCTGCAAACTTCTGCAAAATACTCAAAAAACTCTCAACTTCTTACCATCCTAGATGCTGATCTAGATTTCAATAAAGGTGTTACTGTTACCTGGTCTTTAAAGGGTTTTTGTTAATCTGGACTTGACATGACACAGCTGATTTTTGTTGCTGTGGTATAAAAACAGGTCAGGAATACCTTCTTTTCTTTTCCTGGTTTGGCATTAAACAAATAAGACCAAAACTTGGACCCAGATGCTGAGGGAAGACCAGGGTACAGAGCAACAAGTCAGAAAAAGTTTCTTACCTAAAAGGTTTGTGGCCCACGTCATGATAAGGAGGTCAGTCAAGCACAGCAGAAAGAGACAAAATGATCCCCAAATCCATGATGAGGTCAAAACCAGGTGAGCAACCATGAGGCGTGTGAGCATGAACCTGCTAGAGTGAAAACACTGATTAACAACAGGTGTGTGGAGAAAGCAGAATGACAGGAAGTCACTTTTGGGACAATGCAGAAGAACGAGGATTACAAAATAAAACAGGAAGTGAACACAAAACTCACAGTGAGTGGTTTAACTGCAGTACCGCTGAAATTAGACTGGAAAGTCCTGTAAATGAAACAAACGGGGTCAGATGTTGCTGAAATGTTAAAAGTAACGTAACTGTATTTCTTTGTAGTGAAATGAAAACTTTACAAAACTTTACACTTAAAGTTGGGGTAGTCACCTCTGACATAGAATTAATAGTTTTGAAAAAAATTAACTTTACTTCCTTCAACAGTGTCTGCAAACATCAGAAAACACAGTCCAATTTAACTCACACATCTGGGCTTTGCAGAAACTCCCACAGTGGGAGACTCTTGTGTAGGTTTGTAAACATATGTGCATTTGTTGTTTGAGTTTTTTACTGCACGTGTGATTGTTTATCTATTTATGTGTTGTATTCATTTATATTGAAGTAGCTTCTGTGAACACCTGCTGCAGATGGCAGTCCCGCACACCTGCTCAGGTGTTGTTCCATATAATGTGGCTAATGAGACCTCCGCACAGGTTCAAGTTTTGCAGCACCATGTTTGAAATAATGCACTAATTAGAATAAAGTGGTTATTAGCAGTCTGTGCGAGCCCACAAACACCCGCAGGAAGACAAGCAGCATCTACGCCTGGATCTAACAGAACTAATCAATGTTTTTATATCAACCGTATGCATTAATTTATCATTTCAAACACACGTTTCTTTGTTTAAGACTCCAGACTTTCAGTTAATGAATAAACGATTGCTTATGTTAATAAACCTCGGCTCTGCAGAGTGGATTTCTCTGTTTTGATTACTGTTGTGGTCCACAATTCTGCTCCAATAAACCCCATTTCCTGCAGTTGTTCAGAAAAGTTAATACCTAACTCATGAAAGAAGAATTTAGCAGCTAAAGAAACAGATTGTCTTCGAGGGCTTGATGGAGGCTGAAGTAAATGCAGACTGAGTATTGTAATTGCATTCGTCAGACAGAAACGCGACTCCAAATGAATTTGAATGTTTCTCTGTCTGCTCAAAGTGAAAAACAGACAAACTTTGGCCAAAACTTTCAAAACCAGAAAGAGTTTTGAGTTTTACTGAATCAATGCTGAGTTTAAACACTGTGTTTATTTACAGGAGATTAAGACATGTCTGTGTTGAATTATCTGTTAAAGTGTTGATTTAATTCTCTCAGGTTTGGACTTGGCTGCTTTTTTATGCTGCGTTCGAGTCAGATGTTCAAGCTGGGAATGATGACACACCCGAGTTCGGAAACAAGATGGTTACATCTTAGAAAGTTATTTTAGCGCTTGTTATTTAAGTTATTTTAAGTTATTCTAGCATCCCCTTTTGTAGATGTAGCCATCTTGTTTCCGCCTCCGATTTCGCTTTTTTCCGACTAGGTAACTGAAACGCTGGGAACTTCCGAGGAAACTCGAATGCAGCATTACACCCTGCTGTGTATTATATCATTTCAAAGATTCATGTACTTCCTGTGTTAAATATTAGACTTATAGCTTCCTTTCAGAATAAAAGCTGATGTGATCTTGACGCCACATCATGGCTGTTAAACTTTTCACTCTACAGCAGCAGAAAATGTTACCAGCAACAATGTTCACCTCTGTGACCTCCGCTACATCTCAGGCACAAATATTTGAAGTTAAAATGAGTAGAAATGGGGATATTGAGTGATATAAATATATCAGTGAGAGTCTCGATGGAAACGCCCCCTTGTTCATCCCTCCAGTTGGTGAAGTGACGGTGGCCTCCGAGGACAAGAAGCTTGAGCGAAACAAAAGTATGATCTACTGTTTGTCAAGTTTTATTATCGATCATTAAAAATGCTTTTGCACCCATCAACAACAACAACTCCTCCTCTTCATCACCTACAGGTACATTATTGTGTCTCTGACATGCTGTGGTACAAATCCAAGATGGTGGCCTACATAGAAGGGGACCCACTTGAGTAGGGTGACAATACATCCTCTTTTACCCGGACATGTCCTCGTTTTTGGGGGCTGTCCGGGTTTGTCTGGGGAAGTTTATAAAATCCTTCAAATGTCTGTGGTTTTGTACAGAAATTTCGAGTTTGTTTCATGATAACTTAGTGAGTTCGAAGCGCGTAAAAGACACTCGAGTCGACCCGAAAAACTCTCAAAATTAACTTTGTGCGACTTCGTGACTCCGCCCCAGTGTAGAGGTGTCCTCTTTTGGGAAGTCCGAATATGGTCACCCTAACACTTCTAACAAGTCTGTTTTGTTAAACATCTCTAGATTCTACAGACTGCACCTTTAACTGTCCCATATTATAGAGGCACCACTTCTTTTGACAACAGATAACTTACATGACCCTTAAGTGTCACTTTGACTCTAAGCTGCACAGTTACATTAAAAAAATGATACGCTGTTTCTTTGTTTTTTTATTGATATTTCTAATCAGAGTCATCCGGCAGTTTTAGAGACTTTCTTTTATTGTTTATTATCATTTAAAGAAGTCAAAAGACAAAGACGTCTTGCCGAGCCTGGACCAAAACATTGGCCTGAAATGTTCAATCAAATAAAGCATCAAACACGTCCAAGCTAGAGTTGATAGAGTTAAACAGAGAGGTGGATTATCTGAGTTTATAGACACATGATCTCATTATAGCTACAAATGTAACTCACCATACTGTTTACTGGCTTTTGCACGTCTGATTCAACAGAAACAGAAGCGGTGTACTCAAGTGCAAACAAAAGAGCAAAGACTCAGATAGACTGCACTTGACCAAAGCTTTAAAATCGGATGTCCATCAGCAGAAAAAAAAACATCAGATTCCCTGGAAAGCCACAAAGAAAACACAGGAGGAACACGAGGAGACGAGAGACGAACTGATACAGAAAGAAAACAGAAAAACCAAATACACACAAGGTGATCAAACACAGGAGTTAGAGTAGACCAACATACGCTACAAGATAATGGTTCCATTTTAAGGTCTGATTCCCTCTTTAGACAAAAGTCAGTAAAAGCCCGATTACAAGATGGTTGTAAAGACGCTCCTCTCAGATTGGCCTGTGGTGTGTTCGTGTGTTTAGAGCGATTTTTCTTCCCTCAGATCTGAGCAGAAGACGATCAGAGCCTCCCTGACTAGAAATTATAAATATTAAACATGTTCAATATTTACCATGAGAAGTCCTCGTGTGCGGGCGAACCCTGAAGACAGGCGAGCAGCTTACCATTAAAAGTGCATGAGACTTTAAAAATCTTCTTAAGGTGAAATACACCGAAAAAAACACCTGAAATGTGTGTTTCTAGAAAATGATTTTCAATCAGCGAGCTCATGAAGGTTTCCAGGGAAGGTAAATGCATTTCAAGCATCAGTAATTCTCATCATGATTCTTGGATTACAGGAAAGCCAAAAAAATCGTGATTGTGATTAAAGTGCAGTCTATTGTGCAGCCCTGTACGTCGGCGTGTGGGTTTAGTGTGGACCCCCTCAGGGTGAAGAGTGAAGCATCTTAGCGCTCACCTTGAAAGCAGCTGACGCCTCCCAATGGAGCTCCCGACAGGTAAGTCAATCACCTCTGTCTGCTGTCACACAAACCGGGGCGTCATCTGCATAAAACCGAAAGAAAAAGGCTGCAGACATGAATAAAGAAAAGCTGCAGCTGATGTATTATGGAGGAATATAAATGGCATCAGAGTGGGTGATTGATCGAGACGAGCGCAGGGGAGGCTTTCTGGAGATAAGACCTTTTAGAGCAATTCAATTACCTGCAGGCGCACACGGGAAACGTGGGATGTTATAAACTTTGACGACATCCCGGTTGATGAAAAGATGGGAGGACGTGGTTGTAAACAGGAACATTAACTGAGACATTATTTAGCTTGTGGTCATGCATCACACAGCTTTAGCTCAGGACCACGTGAAGCAATTCTTTCTGCTTGTAAAGTGTTTGAATTATTGTGAAGGTTAGAGAAACACAGTCAGGAGGAATAACCGCAGATATCAGTGACAGTTTTTGTCAGGGCTGCAGCTCTAATTAGTCAGAGCTGAGTGTTTTCTTTTTTTTTTGTTGTTGTCTCTGATGATCTAAAAAGCATTGACATTTAGCTCCAGCCGGTACACTTTATCCTTTGAATGCTCCCGATCCTGACAGGTTCGGTGTGTGCTCGGAGAAACTGCAGACAGGGGGGAGGATGAGCAACGACTGGAGGAGGGCGTTGTAATCAATATAAAAAACATGAAGCAATTAGTGTTGCTCTCATATTTCTTTAGGGAGGAGGGTGCACAACCGTGGCGATGAAAGTGATGTCTGCTTCATGCGAGTCATTAATGAGGCTCTGGAGCAACTACAGGGATGTATTGTTAAAGAGCCTTTTAGAAACCTGCGTTGAATTAATTAAAGCACAATACACTCCTCCATCTTTCACACACTTCAGGATGTGATTGTTTCAAAAGTTCGCAGACAGCAGAGAAATAGGACTTCACATCGAGTCCCTCATCTCATTTATTCCTGCAACACACCAGGAGCGACAGATTCTGGACTGGTCGTCTACTTTGAAACCAGCGAAATTTACCAATTAACAGCTCTGGCACGATGTGTTTAACCGCTTTGCCAAAAGGACAGCATGATGTCAGGACTGATTTTTGTCCAAAGTTCTGATGAAAATCAATCAATTAAGGAGAAAGAGCGACGCCAGCATCCAAAGACACGACAGAGACACTCTCAACTTTTTAACACAGCTGGTCGTCGGCTCAGGAGAAGGTGATGCGGTACGTGTCGACCTCGTGTAGCCCACACACACTTGACTAATTAGCAGCATCTGTCCACTAACAAGAAGGTGGTCATTAGTGCGAGAAGATCAGTGAAACGTGAAAGAGATAAGAGGAGCGCTCGTTTAAGAGAGGGGATGATGTGGACTGAATGTTAAATATCAAACGTGCATGATCAGGTTTGGTTATATTGATGGTCGTGGAGTAAACACAGCTCTCACTACACTACCTCGAGGCCTTTTTGGGGGGTTTAAATCAGTAAAACAACATACCTGAGACCTACCAAAGTCATCTTCACCTTTCAGTATGACAGTCTGGGACATCCAAAGAGCTAAAACTAATTTGTTTCCTACTGGTGTTAGTGAACACTTCACTTCAGCACTGTTCAGCCTCTTTTTCAATTGGGCCTCTTTTCTACTAATATTAAATTTATCTCCTTTGCCTGTCATGTCCTGCTACTGTGATGGCAGATTAGCAGGGTTTAGGATATCATTGAAGAACTTGTTTCCTTGTGATCTGAAAACCAAACAACTGTAATTTTCTCTTTTATTCCGAAACAGGATCAAATAAAACAAAATCAGAGCTCCTTTGGTCATTTTTTTTTCACTGTTATTCACTGTTTTTACACTTTGTACCCTGCTCTGTTTCTGTTGTGTACTAAAGTGCAAACAAAAGAGCAAAGACTCAGATAAACTGTACTTGACCAATGCTTTAAAATCAGATGTCCGTCAGCAGAAAATACAACATCAGATTCCCTGGAAAGCCACAAAGAAAACACAGGAGGAACACGAGGAGACGAGAGACGAACTGATACAGAAAGAAAACAGAAAAAACAAATACACACAAGGTGATCAAACACAGGAGTTAAAGTAGACCAACATACGCTTAGATAATGGTTCCTCACTGAGCTCAGCGAACGTGTTTAAGCCATAGACTGTAAATAAGATGGACAACCTGGTTCCGCCTTCCGCCTGTATACGGATTTGAAGCCAAAAAGCTCTCGGTAATTCCGGGTTTTTCTCCACTTCCTTGAAACCAGAGCTGTGCAGTAGCGATGCGCACATTCGGCCGCGCAGTCGCCGAGAGTCCCTGTGATGACGCTCGGCTCAAACAGCGTATTCCCCCAGAAGAGCTACGCAATCCCTGAACGCCCATAGGCTGTACCAGGTGTCAATCATAGAAAACATGAACCCCCTAATAACTTTTAAAAACAGAGCTGTACAGAAAAAAAAGGACTTGGGCACAAACCAGTCTTACAATAACTACATGTCAACATCACAAGCAGGGGGGAGAAAAAATAATGTTCTGTGTAATAAATTTCTAAAGTTTGTCCACAGCTCCATAAGCTTTGCTGGCGGAGGCGGGATTTATGACCTGTACTGCAGCCCACCATCAGAGGGTGCTGTTCTCGGAGTGGCTTCACCCAGCGAGGAGGCAGACTCGGTCCATCTTATATACAGTCTATGGTGTGGACTCAAACAACGGTTATTACAGTAGCCAAATGAGTAGGACGCACAAGTAAGCAGTCCTGAACAACAGCTTTTACGGGGGTTATTACAAGCCCGCCGCATCGAATGTCCCAGATTTTATTACAGAAATCTGCTCACCTTAGTTTAAGCTTCACTTCAGAAGTAGCAAAATGGACATAGAGATAAACCAATTGTTCGTTTTATTCTTAGCAAAGCTCTTTTCAGAGTTGAGCTCTAACTGTATCTTGAGTTTAAATGAGTCTGGCACCTTGCTCATGCTACCCTTGAGCTGCACGGTCACAAAAAACCTTCACTGCTGTGGTGATAATATGACAGATTCTTTACAAATACGCTAAAAAATAGATTTCCAGGGGATATATTTGACTCCCCTTCTTCTTCATCTCTGAGATTTTATCATGAACTCCAGAAGTGTCCCTGAGCTACACAACGCCGCTTCATATTGTTGCACCATCTGGCCTCGGAGATCACATCCGCCTGCAAATATGTTTTAGAGGTCAAACGCTTTGCAAGAACAAATTTGCAAACTCAAAACTGAAAATATTCCACTTGTCTTGTTGACCTTCCTTGGTTTCACGGGGCGCAGAACAGGAGACACAAATGTGAGCAAATTGCAGAGAAAAATTATGAAACTAAAATGAGGAAAATGTGGCGATGGGCAGGAATGTCACGCTGCTCGTGGCGTTAAGGTCACAGATCCAGAGATGAAGGGTTGATTCTCTCTCTCCAGGTGTTATTTTTTCCATGTACCAGCCGGCTCATTACTTTCTCTGTTGTTGTACGCTTGTGCAAATTACCTCATGTCCATTACTCCCATTGCTCCGACTGCGAGCTCCCTGTGGGGCTTTGTCCTGCTCTTCTGAGAAATGCGGCTTTTTAGTCGTAATGATGAGCGCACTGATTCGCCGTGGGCAGCTCACGGCGTGGACTCCTGACACCCTGGTTTATTAAAAGTTATCCAGAGGCAAAGACGGAGGTATATGTCTATGTGCAAACAGCTAAACTCAAAGGAGGTGTTTAAAGACTGTTTTACAGTGCATGAAGCATTTTGACTAATACCACAAAGGGGAATAAACCCCGTCAGAGTCTATTTCGAACCGCTTCCTCCTCCATTTTTCCACTTTTACAAAGATCCATGTATTAATCATCAAGAGTACTTTTTTTAGGCTTTCAGGATGGTTATAAAATGTTTTCCATGGCTCTGGAGGAGCTTTGTCAAGTCTCGTCAAGAATGATGGCTTAGCACAACCCAACCCGTGGCCCTGAATATCACATTTCAGAGTTGCTGTTTTTGATATATTTTGGGGAAAGTTTAACTGCGGCTGATTTCCCATAACAACAAAAAGGACATCTATCAATATATCACTCCTAGGGGACTCTTGGGAGTGATAAAAACGACCAAAAAGAGACGAGACTTCGATAAGACAAATGAGATTGACCCGAGAAATGAATGAAAGCTTTAACTTCTGACTCTGCCGTAAATCATCTGGTTGGGTTCGGACTCTCCTGGGGATCATCTAGTCGATTTTTCTTGTTTCTTATCTTTGTTTTGGGTGTTTTTTAGTGGTGCACTTTGTAAATCTAGACTTTTTTGGCACAGTGTGTATGTGGTTTCTGGTGCTTCTACAGTCTGCCTCAAGTGGGCACTCTGGGAACTTCACTCTTCACTCCTCAAGACCAGAGGTTGATGCTTGATTTGATCCTCTTTATACTTCTTATTACAGACATACATGCTAAGCAAAGTTTCTCCATGTCAAAGTATTTCTAAACCTGCAGATACTGTTGAACATAAGGCTGTCGCAATAAGCAATTCACCTTTTAGCAGAGCAAGATGAAGAAGAAGTAGCAGACTGCTAGTGAGCCAACTTTATCGGCCTTATTGGAGATGATTTGACTCTTACAAACTGACATTTAGAGTTGATGTAAATCCAAAAGACGCACAAAGGCTTCAGTTTACTGATCAATTCAACATTTATGCTTTTAAAAAAAGGTGGGTTTTTAGAGGGGATTTGAAGGAGGGCAAGTCAGTGCAGGATCTGATATGGACGGGAAGAGAGTTCCAGAGGGAGGGTGCGGCAATGGAAAAGGCCCTGTCCCCCCAGGTACAATGAGTCGTTCGGAGGGGTGGGGACAGGAGGTTGCAGGGGGGATTGTGGCGGTAGAGCAGGGTGCTGATGTAGGAGGGGGCCTGATTGTGAAGAGCTTTAAGGGTGAGGAGAAGGATTGTGAAGGTGATACTGTGTTTAACAGGAAGCCAGTGGAGGTTTTGGAGGACAGGGGTGATGTGGTCTCTGGAGCGGGTGTGGGTGAGCAGGCGGGCGGCAGAGTTTTGGACGGTCTGGAGTTTGGAAGATGAGCCATAAAGGATGCTGTTACAGTAGTCCAGTCTTGGGCGATGTTTCTGAGGTGGAAATAGGCGGTTCTTGTGATGTGGTTGATATGTTGTTCGAAGGAGAGGTTCTGATCGAAGATGACACCAAGGTTCCGGATGTGTGGGGAGGGGAGCAGAGTGGAGTTGTCGATGGAGAGGTGGAAGTTGTGGGCGCTTTATTGCTTTTAACATGTGACTATTTTACTTTTTTATTTTATTGCTATATTCAAATTGTGTGCTTTATGTAAAGTGTCTTTGAGTATCATGAATAGCTCTATACAAATAAAATGAATTATTAATATTATTATTATTATTATACTTAATAACCGTTTTCCGAAGAAGAATATTTCAAAATAAAACATATTATGACCATGTGGAAATGGAGAATAAGTCATAAAATGAAACATTATTTAAATGGATGACGGTATATTAGTGTTGTTGTGTTTTCATAGTTTTTCATAAATATCACAATAATTGTGTTTTTGGTTAAATTTTGATACCCTGACAGCTCTTGTTTAGGGTCAATTAAAGCATCTTAATGGTGTGATTTTCTGAACTGACTGTCAACACTTTATAAATATTTCTTTTACAGTCATATGAAGAAGAAAAAAGCAGCAAATACTCACAGATTAGAAAGCTAGATCCATTTCACAAAATCTCTGAAAATATTTGCCTTTTTGTTGTTGTTTGACAAAGTCTGTTTGACTTTTTTAGGTCAGTGTGAACGTTTCTAAGTTCAAATCTATTTATAAAGTTTGTGTCAAAACAACAGAAGTGCTGTAAATTCAAAATATTAAAGATACACAGAAAATCAGAGCGTGTATCATGAATGTCCCACAGAAACTTTAACCACCAATGAGACTTTTATGAGACTCTGATGAGAGCTTGATCTGTTCTCATTGCTCTCTTATCAGAGATCTTGTAATAAGCATCTGTGAGACAGTTTGAAGCCCCAGACTGAACTATGAAAGTCAGGCAACCTTAGGAGTTCCTGCTGGTCTGAGATCTTGGAGTAAACATGTGTGAGACATTTCTAATCTCAGACTGTGAGACTCACCCTTCATACGGAGACAAATCTGGGAACAAGCACTTCAGTCCCATTTTCCTTTTAGCTGAGCTCTCATAATGAGACAGGAATATTGGAGTACTCATGAGGGTTCACCTGGCGCTCACTGTCAGACTGAACATGTTTATTTCTCTGGAGTCATAAAAAAGGAAAACGAGAAAATGGATCAAATCTTCAAACAAATCAGAAGACCTCGACTTAGAATTTGTTCCACTTCTGTGTCTGATCTTACCAGCCTCATTTGGATCGTCACTGCTGTCTTTGCTGTCGCTCTCCCAGCCCTGGGTTTTGGCTTGCAGGTGTCGCTCCATTTAGTTAGCTGCGTAAAAGACATTTCTAGAGACAAGAACATGAATTTATGAGTTTGTTATAAAGTATGAAAGGTTTAGGTGTTTTTGCATGTTTTCAAAAGCTGGATCTCTCTCTCCTAACTGCCAGAATGCCCCTTTAATATTCCACCTGAATACTTTATTCATTACTGTAGCTTGAATGGGAGAATTATTATTTCAGACTGGTGTTCATTTCTGCAGAGGTTAGATTAAAAAGCGGTGAACTCAGCACATCTCTGGGCCTCGCTTCTGTTCCAACCACCTCAGAGACGTCTGATTTTAGACAACAGCTCGGCTCGGCCTCTGTTTATATAACATGAAGACATTTCTCCGGGTTTATTCTGACACGTTAAAAATGAAATGAAATCATGTGTTAGAGTTTAAGAATTCCTTTATTCCCCACAGAGAACAAAAAACACAGAGGACAGAATCCATGTCGGTAAAAATAAGAACAATCACAATATATCTAATAGAAGCCAATATGTAGACAGCAAATGATAGAATAATACACAGAATAATACTACTTTTTTAGACAAAATGAACATTTCAATAACCTGCAATAATCCATGCAGCATTTGGATGTTATTCTTCCACCAATACAAAAGGAGTGTGTTAGCTGTGTTAGCAAAAAACTTTCATTATAACCACCTTAGTGTTATATTACATTCCATGTAACTCAACACAACGCCCAAAGTTACACGCATTCTCACAAGGACACTTGACCTGATCATGAAAAAAAAGGAAAGTGCTTCAACACAACACGGAAATAATAATCAAACGACATGCACACAGGGAAACGATCAAAGAAAAGTTCAGTTTTCAATGTCAGAAAGCACTTGAGGCATTTGAGAAAAATGGCAACAAGTACAACAGTCGGGAGGGAATCAGTAAAAATGCTACATAGTGAACTGAAGAGGTTTCAACACGGAGAGAGACGATCCAAAAGTTCTTCAAAAAATGAACTCTGGACTCCAAAACAGACAGTAATTACCTCGACGGATGACAGCCGGAAAAAAGAGGGAGACAAAATAATGAGATCATTTTAGAGAGAATAACATCTCAGGCTTTGAATCCAGGCTGAACCTTTTTAATCAAGGCTCTTCGTCTTTTATAAATCTGCTTTCAAAGAAGTGACCTTACGTTTTGTTTTTTTACAGCTCGCACCATGAAGCTGTGACAATAGAAGCTCATCCCAGAGGACGGCCCGCTCTTAAAGAAGTGTTGGGAGGACGAGTCTGCTCACTTCTGTGTGGCAAGACTGACAAGACTGACAGATGTGCAACAGCCTGAATCGTGTGACTCACATTCAGAGAAGACACTCATCGTTTCTGGTTTCATGTCTCCATTTGTGTTGAATGTGATTTCTGTTTCTGCTGAATCCTATTTATGGCTGTCGCAGATCTGTCAGTCTCTTCAGTTTAAACCACACCTCACTGATAAGAACATATAATTAGTCCGGTTGTTTGATAATGCTCTGGGTGGAAATAAAAGAGAGAGAATAAGAAATGAACAAGAACTCTGGGTTAATGTTGTTCGAGCAGGAGGAGAGTAATGTATCACGTTGATTTGAAGCTACAGCCAGCCATGCTGTGCTGATCTTTTCCTGGTGTGTCTGATTTTATGTCTGCTCTGTTCTGGTCCCCAGCTGTCTTTGCTGCTGCTCTGCCTGCAAATCTCCATACATGGATGTAAACAGACAGGAAGAAACCAGAACAGAGCTTTAGCACCAATTATGTCATTTAATGCATGCAATTCATTAATTCTTTTAGACAGAAGTGGTCCTGACTGACATGGGTGTTTTTAAACTATGGTTCTGTTGTGTTCACCAGCTGTCTTTGCTGCTGCTCTGCCCACCACAGCTGCAGATGAAACAGAGGAGAAGGCTGTTCTTCTCCTCTGTTTCATGTGCAATGGAAATAGAAGTTCTTACACCAAGGTTTTCTTAAAATCCCACTCCGATTTGATTTTTTTTACTACTTTAAGTGTTCTCAGTGGTCTTTAAATTATTAGTTTTTAACCAAAATCACATTACCTGTGTCATTTTTAAGGACTTTTCTTCTGCAGAGCTCCAGTAGATCATTGGCAATTCGCCTCTGAGTCGTGGGAGGAGACAGCGCTGCTCTGCACACTCTTCTTCACACTAGCTTGTAGCCTAACATTGCCGGTGTAGTAGAAGAAGCAGGTAACACACATCAGCTCTCGGACACTAATGTCTTTAGGGACATGACAAAAGTTAATACTGTAATATTTAGCACTGCATTCTGCTAACGCACGTGCTTGTTCTGCGATCATCCTCTCTACTTCTCTGAGTCTGGCCTGCATAGCAAGGCTCTGGGGGGCGGAGCTTACAGTTGTGACATAGGAAATCTCCATGTGTCTGATCCTGCTGTTTGGGATTTCAATGCAGAAATCCTCAGAAATACAACTTGGCACTAAAGTTTTCTCATGATATCTCCTGTATTATCAGATAAATGCCACATGAACATGTAGACAACAAGGAAAACATGACTTTTATCGGAGTGGTTTTTGAACATTTGAAGCTTTAGGTTAGCTGTTGGCGAGTGCTTTTTTCCAAATTTATAACCTCTGTGCTCAGCTCAGCTAACCAGCTGCTGATTGTAACTTCAAATCTACTTCATAGATATAGAGATGGTATCCAAGTATGGAAGTAAAAAGTTGTACATTAATAAAAAAGAAAAAAACTGAAACTAAAAGTGATTTATCCCTGAAAACCAAAGAATGAGATGATATGCTTCCCACTGCTCACGCTTTTGTTCAGGCTGTTACTTATTCACAGCCAATGCGTCTTCTCTTTCTCCTGCGAGCCACAGATGATTCATGGGAGTCTATAGGAGAGCGTGTTCTCCTTAATGTACTGTATAATACATCGACTGGCGATGTAGCAGTGTGTTCTGGCTGAATACAACGGAGTGTTTGTTGATCAGGAAAAAAACAGAAGCCCGCCTGAAGCAGCAAAAACGTTGGCAACATGCGATCTGCAGCGAAAGGCTGCACACAAACCACTGAATCGACAAAATAAAAGTTCAAACATCATTAGAGGAAAAAACTCATCGAGAAGAAAGACGGAGGGGAGGTGTATAAAAGGAACATGGTGCTTTTCTGGGTACACAGTTAATACAAATACAACAGACAACAAAAAGTCATGGCATAAAAACATAATCTCTTCTGTTTGTGTGGACGCTTTACAATTGATCGTGTGTGAACTGTACAGCAGAGGTAAATCTGATTGGTGGGGAGCTGCCAGAAGACGGCACAATCACAGGCTGACTGTAAACCTAGAGAGGATGTGTGTTAGTGTTCGAGCTCACGCTTCACTACCAGAGGGATGTTTTTCCACTAGAGCAAAAATATATGTACCGTTTACATAATTTCTTACTCTCTTTAGGCTCTCTGCGCTGAGAAATAAAACTTCCTGCTTTATATTTAGCGTCCAGCTTTGATCCGCGGTTGCTCACAGAGCTGAATTACAGCGTACGTCTCCAGCGTGGGTTGTCCCAGAGGAAATCGAAAAACATGACCTCGCCTGTGTTGCGGGCGTTTCGCATCCGCCGAGAGGAATTTAAAATTTAAAACAGGGCGGTTTTACATTTCGATGACACCCTTGTCAGATAGGTTGACTTGTGATGAGTTTGACTTGTAGGACACTCTCTGGGTGCCTCAGATGTGTCAGAAAAACTGAGTGAAAGATCAGATTTCAGAGCGCAGGGAGTCAAAATAGATGTCCAGAGTTAAAATCTGGAATATTTCAGCTTTTCTGCAGCTTTCATTCTTCAGTGGGAGAAGGAGTTTTCTCGACACTGATGGAAACAGATCAACTGATCGCATCCACTTAAAGATTTCATCACTGTGAGTAAAAGCGGGGGAAAAGGAGTTTGACAAAGAAGTCTAACTCAAGTTTTTTTGGCTCCTTTAAAGAAAGTCTTGAATTCCAGGATAAAAACACTTCCCTGTTTGTGTTCACTGCATTTGAGGAACAGCTGCGATTAGGTAAATTGGACATCTAATGGCTGAATATGCTCAGGGTGCAATTTTCCAAACACAAACAAAGTCACTAGTTTGCTTTTTTTTAACCAGCTGCTACATTTTAGAAAAAACAAGGTTTTCTTGCAAAGCCACAGTACAGCAACAGAATGTAAACTACGCAACTTTTCTTTTTTCTCATCATTGCTGATTTCAAAAGAGACAAAGCCATGCCTGTGCACAAGTTTGAGCCGCCTGTGTTTGACCAATCAGGGACCCTCACAGTCGAAAAAAAAACTCCAGCTTAATGGATCGAGGGCTGAGAGAAAGTGCTACTCACAGAGGAGGGGCTCTAGACCCTGATGCCTCTGCTTTAAATGGAGCAAAAGTTCCTTAAGAGTTCCTTAAAAGTGTGAGATATGAAGAGAGGCTAGTTTAATAGATGCTCTCTTATGATAATTTTATAAACATCTAAATATGTTTTATCACTGACAGCCAACATCAGCTCTGGATGTGAAGATAATCCCACTTTAACTGCCCCCAGCTCCTCATTTCTACACTGTCTGGTTTCACTGATGTGATACGTATCGTCACTGATTCTGCTGCTCTGTCTCCTGGAGGTCTTTGCTGATGCTCTGCCTGCCTTGGTTTTTCACATAAGCACACGAAACAGATGGGAAATGGTACTCTAGCTGCTACAGGCATCGGCAATCCACATATGTTCATGGAGGAGCTCTCAGAACAGAGCCGCACCGCCAAGGAAGGGTGTAATCCTCTTGTACAGACATTTTAGTCCTTAAAGTGGCGGCCTGGGTTTCATTACCTACCTACTCTACTCTATCTGCTGTCCTATCTCTATCTATAAAGGTATAAAAACCAAAACCTCGCAGGTGTAGACAGAATTTTAAAAACACTGAGTTCCAGTATTTCCAGGAAAAATGCTTTAAACGGCTCATACAATCCTCACCAAGATGTCCACCCTCAGATGTTACGTATCCACAGCCCTTAGTGGTGTCCCTGCCAGTTGAGTCTGTCTTTAGGCCTGCAAACCACTAAAAGGATACTTAGTGAGGGGGAAAAGCCCCGTAATGGAGTGCCTGTGTGTGATAGTGTTCAGTGCTCCACAGTGGGAGTGAGATTGTGAAGCTCAGCTGCAGTACATTACAGTCATCGTCAGGGGCCGTGTGCAGCAGCAGCAGCAGGTCCCCCTGAATAAGAAGTCTCTGAATCCTTACAGTCCTCTCCTCCGGACCTCAGGTCTGACCGGGACGCTAATCGCAGCCTCAGGGTGAGGGGTGGGTCACAGTCACACAGCCGCCAAGCCAACCCACACACCTCAGCACTTCTCTGATTACTCCTCACCGTCCTGGAAATGATGCATTCAAAGGTAATGGTCCGAGCCAGGAGAGCCGCACGCTGCGTCCAAAGAGGCTGCCTTCACACAGTGATACTGTACACAAAAGAGGCACGAAGCTGCATGAGAATACGAAACCAGAGAAAAGACGCAGAGCATCCTCCTCCGTCTCTTCACAATGAACTGCAGAGTATATTGCAGGCACAAAATGATAATAGAATACAATTAACTTCAAATGGTTTCACTGCACACATAAATCTCTCCCTCTGCAGGGTCACAAATGATTTCACTCCTTCCATGAGGATGGAGTTTCTAATTGCACATTGCTCCATGTGCTGTGATGCTCACATTGTCGATGGCACACACACACACACACACTGTTAGAGAGCGTTAGAGAGTCTGCAGAATAAATTAGCAACTCATCCAGATATCAAGCCAACACCAAAACATCTCTTCAAAAATTCTTTTCACAGCATCGTCAAAGAAAAGAAGCTGACATCTTTATGTTGTGTGAGCGAACGCACAGCATCAAAACAACCAGGCATGACGAGTCGAACCAAACCAAACAGCCTGATTCACATCTGCTCGTCTAGTTTTGCTTGGAATCTGTTTTTCTCTTCCTTTTCAGAACCTTGTTTGCTGGTGCTCCTTCTTCTTCGCTGGAGCAGACTTAATTGAAACCTTCCTCCCGCCCTCCCTCAGTCAAACATGAAAGCCTGGACCATACTTGTTATGGATTAATTACAGGCTGACAGAAGAAGACAGGCAAACAGAGGAAACAGTTGTAGGCGAGCTCGTCGGGCGTCCATGGCAACAGGGCTCATCTCGTCTCTGCGGCTGCCGAGCTCTTCTTCGGCTACAGGATAAAAAATGTAAATCCAGCGCCCGCGGACATGTGAGCCACTGAGGTCACCGCCGGTTGATGGATGGTTGTTTTCTTCTTCATGCTGTTTTCTTCTCTTTTTTTATTTTTTGTAAAAGTTTGTCTTCCAGCCACCTTTTGCTAAACTCACAGAGCGGTGGATGGATCGATTCGTCGTTGAAGAGTGGCGTGCTGTGCGCTCTCTCCGGCTCTTACAGTCAGGAGGAAAAAAAGTCTTTAGTAGCAGAAGATGTGTTATTTTCTGTCTCATGAGTGGCAACTGTCCAAATAAAAACAAGTCTTAGATACAAACCGTCCAGGACAACCTCAAAGCACCCTTCGTTTGTAGATATGGAGTGTAATTTGTGCCGAAATTGAGCGCACACGTCAGGGAACATTTCTGTCGGTGTAAAGATTCATCTTGTTCCAAGATGGCGATGATGAGGACGATGAGAATGGTCGTGTCGTATCTCCGCGTTGGTTCAGCCAGGGTCACGAAAGCTGCCAGGGCGGGTTGAAGAACTTGATGGCGTGATTTTTGGCCCACTTGGCGAACACAGACTTCTCCGTGATGAAGCGGTGCCCTCCGTAGGGGGCGCTCTCGTGTAGCAGATACTCGGCGCACTCATCCCGACTGCCGGCCTCGTAGTAGTGATATGGAACCTTTCTGTAACCCTCAGTCCTACAAAAAGGAAGAGAAAGACATGGATGTCACAGATTATCGATCATCAGGACACTTTTTCATATTTCTTATACTCTCTTCTCACCGTGACGTCCTGCTGCTCTCTGAAACGTTATTGTTAAGCCGGTGAGAAGCGTTTGTGCGTCAAAGAGAGAGGCATGGATTTAATAAGAGCGCTTCGATTGAACTGTCATCGAGCCAGTAAATTGATAATGAGATGAGATGTGACAGCCTCTTCCCGACGCGGCTCAGCATGTGATGAGTTGATCGATCAGATCCAATCAGATCAGCTGAGCAGTGATTTAATCAGAGCGGCTCGTCACATTGTCGTGAAGGTTAAACGTGGAGGAGTTTGGCTGCAGCGACATTATCAAACCATTGACTCACTGATGACTGTTAGAATTTTTCTGTTGTTTTATTCAGTTATAGAAAAAAAACAACAAAAAAACAAAAATATGAAGTGAGGATGGAGGGAGCAGAAGTTCAAGACTCTCTTTGATTTGATTTGGGATTGGGACTTTGGCAGTTTTTAAACATCAATTCGTGATGGTAAATATTTCCCTTTCACCCACCCTGGAGCACGACTCATAAATAAATGTTATTCGTTTGATATTGTGTGTCAAACACAAAGAGTCAAAGATGATTTCTGACTCTGAATTTGACATGTTTTTCACTCCTTTGTGTGAAAATAACCTTCAAAATAAGAGCATGTTTTAATGAGTTTGATTGTGCTGCAAGATTCAGAGCATTTTCAGAAATACTGAACAGTTTGGGGGAAAAAAAATCTTTTCTTTTCTATTTGTTGAGGGGAAAATGGGGCTGATATTGAAAGGTCAGCTTAGGAGGGGGATAGAAAACACAGGGAAGAGTGGGTGGAGATCTGCACCATACACAACAGTCGTTATCCCAAGACCCTTTCCCAAAAAAGATCAGGTATAGACCACCCTCATTGTTTGATAAATTATCAAGACCCAACCTTAAGATGGGACAGATTTGACCCATGTCATCTAACATGAGTAACAGTGGTGAGGAAAAACTTCCTTTTAACAGGCAGAAACCTCGGGAAGGACCAGACTAATGTTAGACAGACACCTGATGCTGAGAGTCTGATGAGCCTGATGCTGAGAGAGAGAGGAGTAGGAGAGAGGGCGGGGGGAGAGAAAGAGAACAAGAGAGTAGGAAGGAGAGAGAGAACGAGCAAGGGAGAGAAAAAAAGAGAACAAGGGAGTAGGAAGGAGAGAGAGAGGGGACAACAACAACAACAACAACAACAGCTCATTCAGATAAGCTCGGTGGTCCTGTAAACTGGACCTCTGCTTGATTAACTGGGCCAACATATACAAGTGAAACACCAAAGTAACTGCTGCTGCTCTGCCTTCTTAGTTTCACACATATATAAGTAGAAGGACAGGGAGCTTCCAAACAGAGCCGTACCGCTATATACAACCTACCGCATGTAAATAATGTGATTTTAACGTTTTCTTAAAGAGGTTTTGACTGAATTTAAATCAGCAACTAACTGAGTTTTGTCCATTGTTTTTTTTTTGATGGCTAACCTTTTAAAACTGTTATTTGCATAATAAGAACAGCAGCCTTTAAAGTGGTGAAAACCTGACCCCCTGTTCCCCCTCCTTCAGAGAGTATTATACCTCAGATTGAAAACAGCGTACTCCTTCAGAGCCCCGAAGGGAACATTTTTCAAAGACGGATCTGTACCGTCTCTTTAGCACAATGAAATGACCTGAATTTGCCTTCACATACTGTATTATACCTTTACCTTCAATGGATCTCTTTAGACTTATATATATATACACTCATATAATACCTAAATGCACACACATCTCCCCTTCCTGACTTTCACCTTTTCTTTTTTTCTTAATCCTGTACAAACCGGTCTGGGAGTTGTTTATCTCTTCCTTTTCCGTGTTTATCTCGATTTTAATCCAATTTAAAAGCTGTTTTTATGAACAAAAACTGTTAAAAAGAAAGGAAACTAAGTTAAAGGAGAAAACTGAATTATTAAATTGTTCAACTGGAGATCTTTCAGAAAGCACAGATGCAGAGCAGTAAAGTTTAACCACCCTGAGCTGGATTTGCATCCAAAGCCACAATAAAGTCACTGCGCTTCTGTTTCTGGTGTCTAATATCGAGTTACATCTTTATAAGAGGTTAACTTGGGTAACTGTGAAATTGGGAGGATGAAAAGAAACAGCCATCAGCTCAGCCAAATAGTGTGTCCACAGAGAAACAGCGACTGTGGCAGTCTGCCAGCTAACAGTAATACACAACCCAATCACTGCCTCTCCCTCCTCTCCGAGGCTCACAGCGCAGTTAACTCGTAAATTCACTTTCAGCCTCTCTGCAGCACCTGTTGAAGCTCCATTACCTACACCATGGCTCGGGTCAATTCTGAATAAAAAAAAGTTGAACACTGGCACACAAAAGCATTACTTCTTTTTCTTCCTGTAAAGCTGCAGTGGTCGGCTGTCAATATCACTTTGTGTGACACTAAAAAGTCCATTCAAAAGCTCAGTGAAACACAATCTTCTCCTGTAAGGTTGGAAATATAAGAGAGTCAGGGAAGCGGAGAACGCCGCCCCTTATCCGCCTCGCTGAATCATAAAATCCCCGGCGCTGGCTGAATTATCACTCCTCTCTGCCGTGTTTATATTTCCTCTCCCGCTGCGCACAGGGAACACGTCGAGGATAAAAGGCAGGATTTTCAACCCGCATTAGGTAAAAAGTGTTTGATTTATGGGATAGAGACGGAGCTCAGGTTGAGCGGAGGGGAGACAAAGGAGAGAGAAGGAGAGACCATGAAGGCTGACATGACTGGAGAGTGAGCAGACACGCCTGGAGCAACAAGCGTCTTGTTTGTCATCCCTCATATGGCTGCGCTGCCAGACAGTAATCACTCAGAGGGAAGACGGCAGGCTGCTGCTGGAGGAGTAAAACTTGACTGGAATAAGCGCGCAGAAACAGGCAGCGTGGTGATAAGGTTTGTATTTGTCAAAGATAGAGACTTCAGCCATAAAATAACACGCTGGATCTCTGAGGGGCTTTATTTGGAGATTTCCCAGCAAACAGACAAGAACCCTGAACCCTAAAAGAACCTAAATCCAGACATCCATCTCATTTTATAGTTCATAGAGGGTCAGCAGTTTGAGACCCGGAGTCTAAACTGTAGTCCAACCCCCATAGATGAGACGTTTGGTCTTTAAGAACAAAGGAAACACAGGAAACTAGAGGAAAAGTAAACAAAGGTCATTATAACTTACAGCCTATAGCGTATCTATTATCACGACAGCTCAGCTGCGCCTGGATCCAACACACACACAGACCCCCTGCTGTGAAGCTGTGTCTGCAGACTTAGACGCTATAAACAGACCACAAATTCACAGAAACAGGTTTTTAAATCATGCAGAAAAAATTATCATATAAAAGAGGAAGAAAAAGTGTAAGACGTCTTTTCATTTTCATCTGTAAGATGACAAAAATACAGATTTTCTCTGCTTTTGATGAAAACAACTCATTTTAAATACTAACGAAATGCCTTAATCAATAACATACTCACTGGAAAATCACATTTTGGGAGCTTGAAAGTTCACTGAACTTGGTCAAAAATGTATATACTCTTTCCCAGAACACAGGCGTGGGCAGAGTTATGTATATGTAAACAGAAAACGTCTCATAGCGCAGTACGGTTTGGCAGGATGTTGATCTAGAAGATGGAGATTGAGATGTGCGTAGGCTGTGTCTCCTTAAACTGGAATTTAACCTCTTGACTGGAGCGATGCATGACCATTAACCTGCGAGGAAGACTGTATGGAGTTAGTCGAGAGTTCAGTGATGCTGTTTCCAGGATTTGTAATATCTGTGATGTGTACATTTGTTTTTTTTTAAGGGAGCACGTTGTAAACCTAACTTTAAGCATCTATGAAAGATCATATCTTCTGTTTCCTTCCTAAGAGTGTGGCAGGTGTGAAACACATCAGTGAACCTGGGTATGTTTAGACACCTTTTTTTTTCTCCCTTTCTGTCCACTATTCAAGCAGAGGGGGAGCGAGGTGCTGCAGCCCTGCAGACACTCTGCATCCTGCAGAGAAAAACATAATGGTATTCATGGCACAGAGAGCCCAATATGGATTTCAGCATAGAAATCCAGCTATTAAATCCAAACTGAGGCGCTGGAAATGTATTCCAACAGTGGCGGTCTGCAGTTATAGAAGGCTGCGATTGGACGGCGCTGCTGTGAATGTGAATCTAGTTTTCAAACTTTTTGTAGGAGCAAAAAGTGTGCAATTTTCTTCTCGATATAAGGGAAAGTGTGTGTGTGTGTAATATTTGGTGTCTTACTTGCAGTAGGTGTCATTTATCATGCCGTAGATATGGATCTCTTTGCACATGTCCATGGCCAGGATGAGTGTGAACCAGCCAGTGCTGAGGTACGAGCCGGACTGGATCCTGCAAACATAAAGAGAGAGAGAGAGCTCTTTACCTCCAGTGTTCATTTGCATAAATAGGAGGAATGTATATAATTTCCATGATAATAAAAGCATCTACAGAGCTTTCAGGATGCATTTTCTCTGACCTTTGTTCTCTTTGCTCTTGTGTGCATGTCATGCGGTTGATCTGAGGTTTAAAATTATTCTAACAGCTGTTCTTATTGTAGGTTGCGTGGCATAAAAGCCCCAGCGCGGGATCAAAAATGGAAATTTAAATGTAAATGCATCTAGAGCAGAGCAGACTTCAGATGTGCGGCCATATGTCTGCTGTACTGTAGTTTTAAACACCCATTTACTTCAGTCTGCATGAATACTGCAAGAGGTTGTATAATTCTGTATAAAGAGGAAAAAGTTCAAAGGCGGAGAGAAGCAGCTGACTCGGGTGTGTGTTGTTGAACGGCTCACAACAACAAGCGGTACACATGCCGTCCCCTGTGAGTGATGCAGGGACCCCGTGGGCTAATCAATAAGAACATGCATAATCCTTTCATCAGCAGAAGCAGCAGCAGACCGGCCGTGTGAGAGTTATGACCCTTCAACGCTTAAAAAAGAAAAAAGAGACTCTTTGATCATCTTCAAACACACAACACACCGAAGAGACCGTCCTCCACAGGAAGTTTGTCCACAGCTAGTGAGTAATGTCTGGAGTGAGTCTCACAGTGAGAACACCCACAGCCCCTCCCCGCAGGAGCAGACAGCGCCCCCCTTTCCTCCAGGGGCCTCTTCATGCAAATACCTCAGACCTTGTATGAATTAATTAAAGCGAAGGGCATGGTAATGGAGGGGATGTGGGGAGGTAATTGTGTGATTGTGGGAGGCCAAAGCTCTCATGTCAGTGGTTATAAAACAGTTTGTTCATCGGGACTGGCTGGACAATGAATTAAGAAGGAATAACAATCGTTTCAATGTTTGATTTTTACTCAGACAATTATTGGAAATTAGGACTGGGCGATTATATGATCGTGATTAATGATCGTGATAAATTTCAGTTCAATCACGTTGATCTGCTATGAGCATATTTACTCGATTATTTACTCGATCAGCCAATCAGTCGAGCTTTTCCTGCTCACTTCTGTAAGTTGACAGAGAAGAAATAAGAGAAGTAAACAGAATGACCGAACATGGAGCTGAGGGAAGTAAAATAGATGTCAGCCATGACTTTGAGTCATCCTCCGAAGATGTCATTGTTGAGAAGAAAGTTATTTGACGTCTCATTTAGTATTTATCTACTTTTGTTTTCCTGTTGAGTTAAATTTTTTTTATATTTTTCTGTTTATCTTGTTCAGTTTCCTTTGTATGTTAATAAATTTTTGAACTAAACTCTAGTTTTTTTTCAGTTTTTAGTACAGATGCTTTAAAACTGTCAATTTAAAAAAGATTTTTGATAATAATCTTGATCGGACAATATGACAAAGTATATTGTGATCATTTTTTGGCCTGATCGCCCAGGCCTATTGGAAATCTTGTTGAAATCTTGTTAGATTTTTTTCTAAAATGTACCAAAAGATAAAAGCATCAGTGTTCTTCAAAATATGAGAAACCAGAAAGCTTTTTGAAAACGTAGACTTGATTCAAAAAAGAGAAAATGTGAGTGTTGAAACCTTCACGGCTCACTTGAGAAGAGAAAACAACAGAGTGAGTTTACTTAGCGAGGAAATGTTGATGTTTGGAATGACAAATCCTTTCAGTCATGATAAATACTCTCACAGTTTATCAGCATTTCTCTTCTGAACTTTGGACAGCTCCTGCATCTGCCTGGGATCAGCACCATGGATAGCTCCCAAGTCTGTGGCTACTTCAGTATCGGCACCATGGACAGCTCTTCAGTCTATCGCTGCTCCAGGATCAGCACCATGGACAGAGACCAACACTATGGTTCCTTCTCCATCCATGGCTTCTCTTCATTTTGGCTAGTGCTTAGAAATTAAATAATATAACAATACGGTGATCTCTGTAATCTCAGCCTTATGTTTTTCTCCTGTACTAGGTTACAGAAATTTTGGGGTGGTTATTCTATGATCATGTCGGGGTTCTGGGGAAAAACATTGTTATTGGTCCTCTCCTGGTTATATTAGGTCTCTCTGTTGACTCCTCTTGTATTAACCCCATACAGTCGGTTGTCCTCTTCATCTCTACTTTCATTTATTTCTTGATTAGTCTTTGTTTATTTTAGCCTTCTTATTTGTCTGCTGTTGCTTTTCCCAATGTTGTTATAATACTTGTATTTGTGTTCTTTTTTTTGTTTGTTTGTTTTGTTTTGTTTTGACACGTTACAAGTTTTTGTATTTTGAGTTTGTTCGGTTTATTTTTTTTACAGAGACCACTGTTTTAGTGTTTGTCCCCCTTGTGAGGGTCTGGGTTTGTTTTGGGAGTTTGGGGTCGAAATGGGAAGGAAAACAAAAAAAAGGGAAAAAGGAAAAAGTGATATGGGTGTAACCTCATTTTATATATCCATTGCTGTTTTCCTATTAAAAAAAAGATTTAAAAAAAATACGGTATAAACACTCTGTTGCTCACCCCTCTATCTAGTGTTGTGAGGCTGAATTAAAGATGTAGATGTAGATGAGCTTTATGGTAATGCCAGCCAGCTGACATGCTCACAATTAAAATGCTGACAAGCTAGTTTTATTGTTTACAGTAGTCACCATGTTGGTTTAATATACTGCAACACAAACATCTGGTATTTAGCACTGAGCGCAAAATAAGTTTCATATTAGTTTTACAAGTGTTAACTTATAAACAACAGTGTTGGTGAGATTAAATTTTTAATCAGATGACAGAGTAAGCCGGCCCAAAAATCATCAACATTATTGAAACGGACCCTTGGAGGGACATAAATGTGTGTGCATCTGTCCAACAGGTGCTGGAAATATTTCCCCGTAGAGCAGAAAGGTAAACAACAGTGAAGCACAAGCAGGAAAGTCAGGGAGTTACACTAAGAGGTGTTCAGGGAGGTTTGTGCTGGAACCATCTTCCCCTTAAAGGAAATCCATCCCAGAGTAATTGAGATGAATCAGTCTGGAGTAAAGTGGAGGAATGACTGACTCCATGACTGACCACAGCCGCTTTCACTTGGTGCAACAGGAAAATGCTCTCTCTGCTGAGCGCTCCTCTTATTTGTCCCTCGATGCTGCAGACTTGTTCCCAAACTCCCCTGCAGAATCAGGAGTGTACTTTTTATTCTGCAGCAGCTCTACCTGTTACAGTCGGAGTTTATCCGAGCCCTAAAGGTTACACAGATGAGCAAACTTTAGCTCATAAAACCCCCGGTCTTCAAACATTACACTCACATAATCTCCAGAACTGCCGGCATATGAAATCACAGTCTGGGACAATGTCGCTGATTAAAACCCACACAAAGCCTCACAAAGCTGGAAATCAGCTCATTAAAAACATTTCATTTGCAAAGTTTTGTTGTGAATCAGAAATAATTAACAGTGAAACTCCCCCTCAGTTATTGTTGTGCTGTAAAAGCAGCTGGTGCGCCGCTGATGCAGGTCTGAATGATAACTAGAGGTTCATTTCCCAAACGATTCACCAACAAGACACCTCATTTGTTTTCTTTTGTTAAACGTCCACTGCTGCCAGTTTTTCAAATTATAGACAATTATGAAATATGATTACGAGCCGTTATGAACATAGACTTTATAATTGAAGTTGGAAAATGAGACAGGCGGATGATGACGACACTATAGCTGTGCATTCATAGACATTTGTTCTAGATCTGACTTTAAAATATGAAATCTGATGGCGGTAACCTTGGGTTACATGACAGTGTGGGTTTTCTTTCAGCGTTCATTAGATAGACTATAATTCATATTGATGCTTTTTTATGATAAACAAAAGTAAAAGACACTTTAAGAGTGAAGTTTAAAAGGTTAATTCTTAAGGTTTAAGGAGATAGGAGTCGGCCAAACATCTAAATAATCCTGTTTTTACAACGTATTTGTTATATTTGTTATAATTGATGCCTGTCACTGTCAGCAGGACGACACTTTGGTCAGGAGACACTTCTTAGATGGTAGAAAACAAGATAATTTGCCTCTGCAGAACTGAGGCAGGTCCAGGGAGGTCACAGCAACTACTAGATCCTGGATTTTGACTAAAAGTTTCCAGGATTACAGATGCTGACTCTCTGTTTGCAGTAAAGCTGGGTTTAAAGGTGTAATACGTAACATTTTCAGCATGTAGCAGAACAAACTTGGTGGAAATAATATTCCAATAGATTCTGGACAAATGGAGGATCCTTCTCATCATGCATCACATGACCTTCCTGTCTTTTAAGGCCACTGTCACCTCTGGAGCTTCACCCAGAGTAGAGGTGAGCAAGGGAGTGTTTCAATCCAGATTTTGACCACTAGATATCGCTAAATATCCCCATTTTTACACTATTTCTGCAGGTTAGTTTGGTGTATTTAGACCTCTGATTATTAGTAAATCATCTTTTTTACCCACTTTTTGACTTTCTATCAAAACCCTAATCTGCCTTCTTCAGTGTTTCTTCTGTGATTCCATATTTATGAGAGTTTGAAGACAGAGTCATAACTTTAAACTCCACCATAAAATCTTTAAAAGCCGATAAAAAATCATTACTGCATCCTCCCAAGACCATCAAAACTGGATGGAAGAGAAAACCTATATATCTTACTTCTTTCATACAGTTTTAAAGCTCCTGAGTTAGAGACGTAGAATAAAACTACTACAGAAATCTAAACACCATAACTTGCAGTAAACTCCTTAAAAAACTTGCCACCATCTCTGCAAATTTTATGCAAGCACGTTGCTTCATAAATCTAACAGGGTCACATTGTAACGAAGCAGCGGCACTTCCACTGAGCAGGCTCCACATTTGTACATGTCACAGTTATCAGCGCCGCTGCTTAACACGAGGCAGGTGGAGGCTGCAGCGTCTCATTCAGAGGACAGTTCCACCTGACACCACGCTGCTGAGAGATAAATCTGTTTCACACCCATTAACTTTCTAACATGGACAGACGCTCCAGATGTACGACCACCCTCCTGCTTTTCGCTGCTTTCCTCATAAAGAGAGTCACTCTTTGATCCTGGAGTAATAAAATCTGAGGTGTTGGCGCCCTTCTCTGTTCAGAGATCTGATAAAGTGAAAACACTCATGGTGTCTGAGTCCACAGCTCTTAATTTGATGGAGTTTGCCGCTCTTATCGTCGTCACTTCAGCTGTTTTTCCCTCCTTTGTTTGTTCCAAATTAACCTCTGTTGCTGCTAATTAAAAAGTAAAATGTGTCACGCATCCTGTGCTGCTGAGGGTTTGTTTTGAAGACCCTGCCAGCAGGATGATTGTTGCCGACGCTGAAGAGGTTTCCATGAGCTCATTCCTCGTTCCATCAAAGTTTGGCAGTAAACAGAGTTACAGACGTTTTAGTCCAAGTGAACCAGACGACTCTCTCTATAAGTCACAGAGAAAACACTCGGTTATTTTTGAGTGTCTTAGAGTTTTGGCTTTGGAAGTGGTGTGGCTCTAGAGATGAAAACTGCTATATTAACTGGAATATAAAACAGTTTTTTTTTGTATATAGTGGGATAACAACATACTGTTGTGTTTACCCACCAGCTCTTAAAATAGAATTATACTACATAGCGACTTATAGCAAAATCCACTATTTTTGTGAGACCGTCATCTACACCTGGGAACTTTTCAATCCCACAGAGAGGATCAGGACCTTTCAGAGATCCAATCAAACCCAATCTCTCAAAAACAAAGGACATCAGTGATTATTTATGTATAATCATTCATGGTGAATGGTGTTAATCTAGTTGTTAGACTGACTTTTTGTCCTGATGACACAGCCCATGGTGTGTACGGTAAGATTCAAGATTCAAGCTAGGGCTGGCCGATATGGCCTCAAATTAATATCACAATATATTGAGCAGTTCACCTCCATAACGATAAATGGACGATAACTACTCCACAAGCTGCTCACCCCGTCCCACATTAACTTCATCTACTTCAGCCACCACTCCAGCCGCTACACGTCCTCCATCTCCTCACCTGTTTTTTCCCTCTTTGTTACAGACTACACACATCTACACACATCCCAAACCAACTTTGATTTATTTATTTTGACACAGAAAATACGGATATGGGCAAAATGACGTTGGTTATTGTTGTAAATTTCGGTATCAGTAAATTTTCGGTTTATCGCCCAGCCCTAATTCAAGCTTTGTTTTTGTCTGTTTCTGCTACCTATGAGCACATACTCAGGAATCAGAAAAGACGTTCTCTTCAGCTTATGGTGCAAAAATACAGAAAATACATTAAAAATACAAGAGATAGTATAATACAGTAGGAGAGGGTGTCTGCATCAACCCCTTGTGTTTACTGTGTCTATAGTCCTATACACGTGCACCCTATACATACACGTGCATACCAGAACAATGATTCTGCTGTACATATTAACACATGCCTTAAAATGGTGGTTGAATCTGCAGTATTGCTGTAAACCTTGTCAAAAGGACACTGTGTAAATGGCTGAGGGTGAAGCTCAGATGCAAAAACGTCAACATCTGCTACAGTAAGGCGCAGAGTCATGTGAAAATGAGTGGGCTTTCTGACTGCAAAATAAAACCCTGAAAAGTTTCCAAATAGAGTGACTTTCTCTGACAAAACTATCCAGATCGGAGTTTGTTAAAATGACCTGGTAGAGCTGGCCTTGTCTTCTGCAGTGGTTTACAGCCCCTCCTCTGTTCCGGATCTCTGGCCTGTTTCTCAACATAAGGTCTCTCTTTAAGACGAACAATTTTAGAAACCGTTTGAGGGTTTCAATATTTAACTGCACAATAAAAAATGTAAACTGCTCCTCAGAGGACTAAAAACCCCAAATTCCCAGAAAACAACACACAGACCGATAATAGACAAACTCAGTGAGTGTTTTTAGCAGAACCAAGCAGGACTTTTTTAGAAACCAATCAGCCAGAATAAACAAATTTTGTAGACTTTGAAAAACCCTGTAATTTGTTAGCCTGGAAACCGCTCTCTGAAACGCACAGACACTGGAGTTTAGTGAAGGCCAAATTACAAAAAATGCTATTTGCTGTAATAAGGGAGCGGAGGAGCAGAGAAGGGAAATGGCACATTATCAGTGATACACAGCTCTGCAGCTCTCAGCCGTCAGAGCTGTCAACACATCACTATTAGCCTGCATTATTCATCAGCCATTTGCCACTCTAGCAGCACACACACACACACATATTAAGACACAGGTACATTTATTCACACTCACACACACTCTCGCACCGCATCCCTAGTTGAGAGCTGAATGTCCTGAAGCAGAGAAAGCTTGCTGAAATAAATAAAAGGGGAGGGATCTGCTGACCTGATAACTAACGTTTAAAGCAGCCGTCTGCGAGTGAAGAGAAAGACTTCAGCGTCTACAGCAGGCATTGTGTTTACCTGCCACTATTATAATAGGACAAGTTTAGAGAAAGGAGGCTGTTGTGGCCAATTTAAAGCAGAGATAAGGCGCAGTTTGACGGTGCTTTGGCAGGAGAAAAATAACATACAGAGCCTGAGGACTGAGAGAGAGAGAAAGAGAGAGAATGCAATTTGCTTGTTTTGTTTCAGCAGAAAAACACAAATTTGACTCTAACACCGCAAACAAAGGTGTCAGGAGGTCTGGCGCAGCACTGCCTGGCTTTTTAGTGAGTCTCGCCCAGTCCTCTCTGCCGTGGCTTTCTTGAAAATTGGACAAAATAAATTGTGTTCAGGCACAGACAGAGCTGGATCGAAAAAAGGGGAAAATATGAAGAAGAAAAACATGTAACAGGCTCATTTAAGAGCTTCTTTTTCTTACTTTCTCAGAGACAAGTGGGGCGGGAGTGATGGGGGCTGAGATGCTGCAGTGCTACCAGTACAAGGGAATGAAGGGTGTGGGAGAAATGAAGTCAGGCACTCAGAGCAGGGTCTGAGTAAATAATCCCTGAAGTCTGACGGAGACGGAGCTTATTGCGCTTTACCTGCCGAGCGCCAGAGGCTAAGGAGCGGTGGAGAGCTGTCCAGGATCAGGGGGAGACTCGACTACCTCCAACTCTGTTCAATAGCTCACACTTGACATTCACAGCAGGAGAGCTGTCCATGTGTGCGAGAAAATCCTCTCTGACGACCGATTTAGACGAAGCGTGCGTTTTAAAGCCTCTGCAGCTGCACAAATTTGATACGACACCTGTCAGAAACACTTAGTGGAGTGTAGCTCCGCTCTATTGAGAGGAGTCGATCCTCTGTCCAGAAGGAAATCACTTTGACTGTAAATACTGTTATATGTCGGGCCAAAGTCAATTTCATTACAATGTTAGATAAAAACAAATATTCACAGAATCAGACTCCTGCTGTGTCCTGCTGGCTTTAAAACCAGCACCTGGTCCTGCAGACAGCTTCAATCAGCTTCAGATTCAGATTCAGGGACTTCTACCACACCTTCAATCAGGAGTATGAAGTTGAAGGAACAATATGACAATGTTGGGAAGTATTTCTACATTCTGTATATTGAGCCAAGCAAAGCAACTGCTGGTTATAACTTTGTGAGGGAAATCATACTTTTAGAGGTATGTAAATCTTGGCCACATGTGCTCACACTCCACTGATTGGTAAAAGAAGTGAGTCTAAATTATTTGGTTGTTTTCAGGGTTTTTATAGATTGGCTCCCTCTTCTCAGGCTAACCTCAGCCACTCTCACACTCCAGGTAGATCACTGAGGTCAATGAACCAGCTGCTCCGAGAAATCCTGAGATCAAGAGTTAAAATCAGAGGGGATCAAGTCTTGGCGGGGGGCTGCTCCTGAGTCAGGGAACAGAATACTTATCTGTATAAGACCTGCTCTGTCTGATGGTATTTCAAAGTCTCAGTTTAAGACCAATCTGTTCATGATGGCCTCAATCCAAGTTGACCTTGTCTGCTTTAATATTCTTTATTATATACATTCTGGCACATTTTCATTGTCATGATCTTAGTTTACCTCAGCTCTTCATTGTCTTATTGGTGCATTTTATCTGGTGTTTTTAGGTTCATTATTGTGCATGTTAGTTTTCTGTTTCATAATGATGAGTTTTTTTAAATACAGTTTGTACTTAAAATAACTTTATTTAGGATGATGGAAGACAATATGATAGAATACACTGACACAAAATGATGCAAAACAATTGCCTATTGCCATCTGACTAATGCAAGTCATTGAGTGGGCGTGGTCTCACTCCATTCAGTCCACTTTTCCAGGGGGGAATTGTTTTGACAATAATACATCATCTGTTTAATCAAAATCAGATCCTAGAGTGGATTCAACCGACATTTGTCAAGCAAAAAAAGCCATCTTAGTTTTGTCTGAAAACACTGAAGCAGAGCTCCTACGTCATCATCTTAATAAAAGGACTGTGACTGAGTCGGTACATCTGCTGCTGATAGGAAAACATTTACAATAATAGGAATATTAGACCCACATGTCAGAAAAAACAGGTAACAGCAGGCCAACCAAACAATATGATAAAATACAGTCAGCTATAATATGTTATAATAGAAATACATTATACTATGACACAAAATTGCAATATTAACATGATACAACCCAAAATTAGAGAATACAAAACAATATAAAGACCTATGTTATGATACGATACGATACGATACAATACAATAAAATACGATGTTACGATACAATAAGATGCGATACGAAACTATACGGTACAAAAGGATACAATACCATATGATATATGTCTCGTTACGTATAGATACGTTTCAATACCAAATTACCACACAATGTGATACAATATGGTAGGATATGATACGACACACTAAGAGAAGAAAAATAATAGATACAACACAGCACACCAGATTTTCCTGTTAGCTGAACTCATGTGCTGATCATATAAAACACTATTTACACTCCACCTTTTCACAGAGTAGCTGAGGTTCAGATATATTTTACATGACAAGTAGTTATCAAAGTGACCAAAGACTAGATACTTGATCCTTTCAGTTTTATACCACAAATTTTACTTAGTGAAACTTAAATTAAACTAAACTCTTAGGATGAGTCACATATTTAACAGTAGACACTCGGTGAAAATACCAGCATTTGATTTCTCTACACACACTTTTACTCTGGACCTGCTTCAGCAATAAACATTTCATTATGAGCGAAAGAGAAAATAAAATGTTATGTAGGGCCTAAATTTTTAAGCAACAACCAAAACAAAACCACCAGCACTTTTCAATCAAACTCTAAACAAGCTTTTACTTTAGCGTCAAACAGCTTTGGTTTCCAAATCAGCCCACTGATTCGCCCTCCGTTCCTTCAACCTCACAATCAATTTGTAGCAGTTACCTGTTGTTTTATGGAGCAGCGGACTGCTCTATAACACAGGCTGCTCTGTGAATTGAGTTATATTGTGCTAAAGAGCAGGATCAGAGCGGTACCTTCTGTTCTCTTCAGTCAGGTCAGTTTGTGCTTGAAATGAAAACCCTCGCTCTCCCACGCTCCCAACCTATTTCAGACAAAATCTGTATCGACTATTTCATCCGTCAGAAGAGTAAGGACACTCCGTCTTTCTCTTCTTTTGTGCTCCACACAAATTGCCACTCTTGTGAAGCTGCTGTTGTTTATTTCCAAAGTACCATCCAACCAAAGCTTTCTAACACAATGTTGTTAAAATAAAAGAGGTCTGCTAAATTTACTTGTTTTAAATTGAACCAAGCTCCAGGAACATGAACTGCAGACATCACCTCTCTGCGAGTTTCTCCTCCTGGCATCATGTAGCCTGATGCAAATGACTGTTTGGTATTAATTGATTATTTCAAACAACAATAGACCGCCAGACAAGTGGTTGTGTTTGCCCATGGGCGAGCTCTGTGTAGACGAACAACATACCGTGTCTTCTCGTGTCTCTGAAGCAGCTGGGAAGCCCCCTGGGACTTCACAGTGACAAAATTTTGAGCAGAGCCGCGGGGTGAAAACAAGCTTTTTTTCTATCATTTATTCTTCTACACAGACCACAGAACACGGCAATTTATTTTAATGATGGGAATGAGCAATGCAGCCCTGTTGGCTTATCGAGGCGTTTCTTAATTCTGCTGAGGGGCTTGATGAAGCATCAGGGGTGACCTAAACCCTGCATTATGAAAAGACAATTCGCTTCCTCCAAGCTCACTTTTGTTTACTTTTGGACCACAGCACAAAACTACAAATAAGCCAGAAGAGGCTGTGAGGACACAGTGTTGTTTCACCAAAGTTTGAGCTTTAATTTGGATGACGGGGGTGTAAAAGTTTGCCTCTGGTCATCTTCTTGACCTTTAACTCAAGACCGTGAACTCTTTTCAGATAAATCTTTTACACTGACATCATTTTAAAACTCAAACTTAGGTCTAATATCTCAGCAGCTACTGCTAGGAACGAAATAGACTTGGACACAGACATTCATGATCCCCAGAGGATAAATTCTGCCAGATTTCATGATTGCTTACCTCCACTGAAGCAAAAAATCACATAAAATATCCCAAAGGCTGCTGGGTAGATTAATTTCACCATGCTATGCTACGAACAGACATGTGTGGTACCCCGCACACATTCTGTGTTACTTACATCTTTCTGCAAATTAAGCACCAGAGTCTACATCAGGTGACCAAGTCAGCTGAGACCTGTTATGCTGGTCCATACTCACATACATCTCAATGATGTTAAAACATTGGATGTCCGTACCAAACTGCAGTAGAGTTACATAACGTGATACACGAATGGTGGCATAATCCTGCTCTTTGTTTTCTTCCTTCTCAGAACTATCAGGACATCGCTTGAGGACAAGTTCATTCAGTCGCTCTGTTATTTATTAGGCAACAACAGCTACACTGCAGTAATTTGTGCTCCCCACTTCACTGATCACCCATTTGTCAACAGATGCCAGTACGAGCTGAATTCGAACCTCAGTTGTTACTCAGACTTGCAGCTGTTTTATCTACAAAAGTCTTTCATGAAGGCTCAGAACCACAAGCTGTAAGTAACATAACCGCAGCAGATAGTGTGACGATAGCTAACATTTGCTATTGGGCCTAAATGGAACCCTAAGTAGGCGCTCATGGCTAGCCACAGACTTTGCCTGTTAAAGCGTAAATCTTGGATCATTTGCTGACCATGAAACCATGTAAAAAGTAACACCTGACATAATGAAGGGCGATCATGAAGATGATAAGTCTTCATCAATAAAGATGTCAAATATTTAAGTTTATGACCAATTACCCCAAAAACTAATCAGCCCTAGCTGTGTCAAGCTTTAATGAGCAACTGTCAGTGTGCTAACAAACTGGACAAATATAGTGATAACACTGAACACACATAGATTCAGACTGTCAGGATTCAGCTGTATCTTGATCCAGATTTTTTAAATACAATTTCAGACCAAAACTATTCAAACATCAGGAAACTTCTATTTTAATAAAGTGAGTCCTATTCATTCTAGTAAAATGTTTTTAAAAAAATGTGCAAAGTGTAAATGTTCTGGCTGTAGCACAAAAGTCAGGAAAAAAGATCTTACTGCAAACACACTGAACCTTTATTAAACCCTCATGAATTATTATTACTATAAAAGAATATGAGTTTCCAGATTTGTGAAGTCCACTTCTTTTGAATGTCCTCTATTGTTTGTACTTCTGTGCAGCCTTGTTGTTGCAGAGAAATGTATGTGAGAAGGTTTTTATTCTACTCCGTCCTGCTTCATAGCAAGAGAAAACTTGAGCTTCCAGCCCTGCGGTTCTTTTCTCTGTTTACAGAAAATGAAGTTTTTCCTTTTTTTTTTTTTTTCATTTTCTTACAGGGTCATGAATCATTGAAAACATTTTAAAGCTTTCATAATGTCGGCTAGTATGGTATTGTATTCAGCAGAGAAAATATTTTTCTTCTGAGTGTTAAGAGTAACAAAGCATTGGTGTGCTCTTCTATTTGTACCCATTGTTAAATCACAGCCTGTTTTAGCTCAAACCTGTAGGTTCATGGCTGTGGGTTCAGGCTTATTATGTGTTTTTTAAATCAAAGTACATCTTTATTCAGACTTGAGAAAAGAGAGTTGAAAATGTTTGTGAATGCAGAAAGTTTCGCTCTTTGTTTGAATAAACTCAACGTCATCTCAAGTGTTTTTGGTAGACAAGAGAATTACGGATGTGTTTATCATCACTACTTCATTGAGCCGTCCAGGTAGTGCGATAACAGCGTTCTTGAGTTGCAAAATTAGTGTTTGCATATTGTTTTCTTTTAACAGCATAATTGTGGTGGGTGGAAAGAGAAAATAGCAGGTGATTGTGTTGTTGTGTTAAATTGAGCATAGTGTTAGTTCAGGCAGGCCATGAAGTCAAGCTCAGCCCACAGTACATCTGCTCATCATAAAGCCGGCCAATATTAACTGGCAGCAAAGTCACTTATTTCCAACACATCTAGTTGGCAAAAGTCAATACGGTGCTTTCTATCAGCTGTTTCAGCCGGCCGTTTCTAGTATTTTCCTCCTCAAACTGCTTTGCTGTTCAAATCCAGCACAAGTCCTTCTTTTGACGCTGTGTCTAACTTTACCAGAGTCACTTGTTTTCAGGAGGGTCTTTGCTGCAGCTCTCCCTGCCTTGGCTTTGACAGGGAGCACACAGAACAGAGCCATACCACAAAATATGACCAAAACAATGTGGGGAAACAATGTGCTGTGAAGTCGTGTCAGTAGATTGTATTAATCTGTTGTGTTGCATCAGTTAAATGCAGGAAAGCTGGCACACCAAACTGCTGATCTGGAGAATAGGTTTGACACCTGTTGGACATGTTTTCATGGAAAAACACCCAAGACAACATTGGCAGTTTAGGAGAAAAACCAGAGACATGCAGTTGGACATGTCCTAGTGACATTTAAAGAGAGGGGACGACTGGCTACAAGCTGAATACATCAAATCACAAAGTTCAAAAACCTGGTACCAGAGCCGGCCCTGATTTCCACTGTTGGTCACAAATTTTAATGAGGCAAACAATCGAACACACTTCACTAATTAAACGTTTCAACTTTACCCAAGAATACGTAACACACAAACTTCTCAAGCTTCTCTTCTATGAGCATAGTTTTATGTTACAGAGTACAATGGAGATCGGTACAAAAACTCAGCTGACATGTTCCTGAACCAAAGGATCCAACACCCTCCAGATCAACACACAGTCTATTTATGGACGGATCAACAGGTGTAAACAACGGCCTAATCAAAACAAGTGCAGGTCCTTCATCTAATAACATTAGGCTGCGTAAAGATGGGAGCTGCGCTAATGAACCTAAAATGGGAAAAAGAAGAAGAACGTGAAGCAGCCTGTGTGATGACACCTACGGCACTTAAAGTCAAGTTATTCTTAATAACCAGATCGGTGTGAGACTGAGTTGATCTGGCTTTTTATTCTCTATATTGCTGCATTAAAACTTAGTTTTTCCAAACTAAATTCGCTCCGCTGCTCCTCACAGTAAAGATACAGACAGTATATCTTCTTCTATCTTCGGTTCTGGGATCAGGTTTCCTCTGAAAGAGTATAAAACTGTCACTGCCCATTTGTCACTGCATGGCTCTGGTGACCTTAAAAGATGTGCCTTGCGATATTGTATTTTTTCTTCTAGTCCAGAACTCCATGAAAAGACCAAACTGAACAATAGTTTCATTCTATTAGAAAGTATTGTCTGTGTAGCAGAGACAGATAGTGTACTGGCTGATATATCTTATTCTTCTCTGCCATAGAGCTCTATTGTTGTCTGAAATCAGCGGCATGTCATCCTCACTCTCTCCTCCTGATATTTCCAATATCTCTTCAGATGTCTGGAGCAATAAAGGCAAAATGGCCGAAACAACATCAATGCAGCCCTATGCTGCTGTGTGTTGTGTTGCTTACATTACAGTGAACACACGCTGTAGTTTATTCATGCTGCAGTGAATACTAACTATGACACAAAGTGTGTATAAATTCACAGCTAAAAATAGTCCCTCTGCTCTGCTTTAAGGACAACAACAAAAAACAGGGCCAGTCTATAGAGACAGAAGTTTGTCCACTTGTGTTTCTTGGGAGGGATTTGGCCCAGAATGAAAATAAACCAATGATCAAGCCTGCTATATCTGAAGCAGCCTACTTGACTTTGTAATACAAAGTACAAAGGTAAGTAAGAAAGCCACAGTTTCTACTAAATCTTAGAGGTTTATGATGCGCACCAACCTGGCTGTCAAGACTTAAAATAGAGGCATTCATGTACAACACTAACCGTTATCAAGGACCAGTAAAAAGGTAGACTCAGATAAAAGAAAAGCCAGACCTGTTTCTGAGTTAAAACCTGAATAAAACCTTCAGCCTTTCAGTATCACCTCCTTAAAAGACAAACTTTCATACTACTGAAAAATGAAGAATTTAAAAGTAGATACTAAATCAATTCCTCGATCCTCTTTTGTAACAGTTTTCTAGGGCGATATTATTTAAAAGATGAAAAGAGTATGAGATAAGTTTTAATAGTCCACATTTACAAGGAGTTCAAGTTGACAAATCTGGACTTGAACTGAATCAAAAGTTTGGATTTGGGACAATCTCGCCATGTCAATTTATATATATAGCAAATAGTAGTGGGCCCAGAATTGGACCTTGTGGTACCCCCTTTTGTATTTGTAGCACCAATGCTTAAGTTCTACCCAAGTAGTTCTGGTTTCAGCTTGGTAGGGGAGTGACACTGGACTGTTTTGTCAAATAAAGTACTGACTGTGACACACAAGTAATTTTCAGTGACTTGTCCAACATTAGCCGCAACACAACTTGTTTGGTAAGGATCTCAACAAATCCATTACTTAGAGCTTTTCCTCACAATCTGAGTGATTCTTCAAACCCATAACAAGATATTTTCAACTGAGCATAAACACAAACGCTCAATGCAACTACTTTTGTCAGCAGAAATCTGTTTCAACAGGATTTTACAGCACAGGCCTGCAGTTGTTTCTCTCTTGATGCTTTCTGCTCGTCAGGTTTTGACTTGTGTCTGATGATATGACTCATAAATTAAAGTGGATTTATATTTTTGGCGACTGCTGTAATGTTTTTATTCAATATTTGGAAACCATTCCTTTAAAATCTCATGCTGCATTGTAAATCAGTTTATCTTCTGTTGCCTTGATCCAGTCATAAATCCCATAAGACAGTTTGTTAAATTGCTTTTTATATTTCCCTTTGATTCTGATTGTAACACCATCTTTTCTTAGGGATTAGTCATTTGTACTGTAGTTCTTCAGGGCATGACGATATTGGATTTTAGTGCCTCTGGGGTCTCTGTCTTTCTGGTTCAATATTCTGAGCTGTTCCTCTCCCTCCTACGACCCTTTTTCCTTTATTTTCCCTTCACTCTCAATCACTGCTCCTCTGTGTTACCATCACCTCTGTCCACTATGTCTCCGTCTGACCCTCTCAACTCTTCTTCTTCCGTCTTTCTCTGGCCATCCATCCCTCCTTCCCCGCCGTACTCTCTGTTCTGACCCCCTGTTCCCTGCTGTCCCCTCTCCCCTGAGTTAATGGCCTTGTTGTCCTCCTGAAGCAGATGTCAGAACGAGCAGAGTGAGCAAATGAGGGACAGAGGGCTTATAAAAAAAAAATAAAAGAAAGAAAGGAAGAGGAAAAAGAGACAAAGACTTCCCCGCGTGGAGGCGGATGTCCAGCCAAACAGCCTACAAATGTGACATTTTGCAGAGAGGGTTTTATAGAGTGAAGTACCCACTGAAAAGCAAATCCTCGGTACAGTGAGCTTGCAGCCACTAGAGTCAAATTGTGTTGCATTTTGGTGAAAACAGAGAGCAGAAATGAGAGCACTGAGAACTCTGACAAACCATAATGCGCTGAAAATACCACAGTGGAGTAGAAATGTATTCTTAACCTTCCCTGAAGTGTCCCGGAAAAATGTCAGAGCATCAAAGCGTGCTGATGATGATGATAGATTTATTCAGCTGCACCGTCATCACCACTCAGGCTTTTCTAATGAGATAGCTCATGTCGGCTGTGCAGAGCAATATCTGCCTGTTCAGGTTGGCAAATGTCATGATAATCAGGCGACCTGTAAGGTAAAATACAAGTGTAATATCAGCTAAAATTGAAGGTGCTGCTGTAAAATGTGCCTCATTAACCTCAGGAAATGATGCAGAAGGGAAAAGGAGCAGATTTATGATGGCTATTGAGTCATCCCGAAGTCTAGATTCAGCAAAGTCTTAATTTTTCCAAAAGTTTGTCCAGTATTTCTGAAAAACTTAGCTCCCTGCGCTTCCTGTTTCTCTCTGAAGGTACACAATGTCATTATTGTTCCATGTAAATCTGTCCAAAGCAGAACCCTGCATTTCAGATATACACGACACAATACGACATGATGCAACACGATACGACACAATCTGTTATCATATCATATGGTTATGTATAGTAGGGTACGGTGCAAAATAATCAGGTATGATATACAGCAGTACGATACAATAATGGATAAGAGGACACAATACAATACCACATGTATGATATGATATGAGGTATGATATGATATGATATAGTTTGATAAGATAGTTTTCAGATACACAGAACATTGTCTGAAACACATACGATATGATACAGTATGTGATTCAATATATGATAGGATATATGAAATGATATACAATACAATTACAAGATTGCAACGTCATTTAACTGACACTTTTATACAAAGCGACATACAAACAAATCATACACCAGTGGAGGACACACACTGGGAGCAAGGTAGGTTAAGTGTCTTGCCCAAGGATATGATACAATACATGATATGATAGATAATAAGAGCTATGATTGGGTATAATACCACGGGAAATATACAAGGTAAGATGTATGACTCTTGATATAATAATAACATGTTAAGATACAGTAAGATTGGATATATAAGGTTTTAGTTCGTATAATAGTATAATTAAGTTAGGACAATACAATCAGATAAAACACGGAATTGCAACAGTCTTTATCCCAAGTGTAGCACACACAACTAAAGAAATAGTGCCTAACAACATTCACCTGTAAACAGATAAAGACATACCTAAGAAAACCACAAACTTCTGAAACTCTATAGGTTTCCTTTCTTTGTAGAAGAAAAATACTCCTCTCAAAAAAAGACTAAAGCTTTTATTCACTTGACAGTTTTAAAGTGATGATGCTACAAATACATACAAACATGGTAGATTCAAATAGAGAGATAACACTTTGCATGAGATGGCAGGAAAAGCCTTCTTCAGGGCCATATAAAAAAACAACCTCTCCCTGCCCGGCCTCCTCTAAACAATGACACATCTCTGCAGAAAATTATTGTTGTCGGCTTCCAGGAATAATCACTCTGATTCAGACTCACGTGGACAAAAGTGTACGTGTTAAGTGTTAATGCTCGGTGTCTTGGTTCATCAGTCTACACCCACTCGATCTTCCTCACAGCAGGGGAAGGTGAGCAGTGACACAGGATTCAGGGTTTACAGGTGGATGCTGGAATGAGGGTGTGTGTCTTTCAAAATGCTGTATTGAACAGCTAGTCAGAGCGATTCCTTTAAGTGGAACTAAGGCAGGCGTGCAGCAAATGAGAAAACTGAACACTAAGGATTTAAGTACAACACTAAAGTTGAAATCAAAAGTAATTGAGGTCAGAGCTGTTTGCAGTCTGGGAAGGACAGAGTAACACTACGTTTACATTTTGCACCTGAAAACAGTCGACTTTATGAACCCGTGTGTCAGTATGTGCAAATGTTATTTCTTTAAAAGTTTTTGGATATGGAAGCTATTAATAATTGATGCAGGATACTATCTGCAGATATGAACATTCCTGCTGATATTTATGGCTGATAAGGTGCTGCATTCATTATGTGCACAATAACAGCTTACGTGCACCACCAAAAAACTAAGTGTCAGAAACAGACAGCAAAATTTCTATTCACAAGGCTTGTAAGCACAGGCGATTCGAGGAGAGACGAATAATGCTCTTTTAACATTTTCAATTAACTGTTCAGAGTTTCTACAAAGTCTGAGAGACAAAACAGGCCAGTGAAAACCTGTCATAACCTCCACTTGTGCAATTTGGCCACAAAATACGGCAGCCAACTCCTAAAGATAAAGCAGCTCAACAGTTCATCGCTTTTGATACCCAGCCTTTTAGCTGCCCGGTGATAGACTGTCCAGAGTGTATCCTACCTCTCACCAAACGGGATAATAATGTAGATGATGGGTACTTCAGCGAAGAAGAATTTAATCAAATATCATCACAATTCTTTTATTCTCAAAGTTGGCAAACATTCGCTTAATCGTCCAATTACATGGGAATTTAAATAAGATTAACAGATCAGATTAGATTTGAGATGACTGATTTTGATATGATAATAGTAATTATGACACAGACTCATGTCTGTCTGTTTACTCTGGGAAATTAAAACCCTTTCCTCCATATCAAGAACTCTGAAGTCATTGTCGGTGCAAAAGTCAGCTGTGTTATGACTTTTAAAGTCCTTCAAATCGATGTGAGAAGCACCATCTGTCTTTGTTCTAGGGGTGGGGATATCAAGAATATACTACATGTTTTTTAAGGTAAAAACAATCTTAATTTCTCACTTTTATTTTACAGCTGCCCTAGTACAGTGCCAGTACAAAAGCAGCTCTAAAAACCAAAAAATGAATAAATAAATACGTTTCTAACAGTGTGTTCATGTCGGTGCTCATCCAAAGTCATGCAACACTCACAGAAAACGCCGATAGTGTGAGCTAAAGCACTCAGTATGAAGAGGTTGTTCACACTGCTGGATGCTTCTCCTCTGAAGCTGCTCTCTGCCTCTGTCATTTTCACTTTCCTCACGAAGCACAAAGCAAGATCCGAGCATGAATCTGATCACTTTATTAGCCTCTCAGAGGCAGACGGGTATGATGATCTGATTCGCCACGACTCCAGAAATGATTGAAAAACTACAAAATGTTATGAGATGACTTATCCGCACTCCCGGCTTGAAGGGTTCACAATCTGACTCCAGTGTTTGCTGCCCTGCTGACATGTTGTTTGTTTGTGGTCTACATCAGAGCGCACGTCTGTACTTTACAAATAACATGAACATTTGTCTATGTATGACCAAAGACCAGCAATAGATAACTTCAGAATAAGGGGATACAACCATCTCTCTTAACATCAACCTAATGTCACACCCATGCTTTGTATTGTTAGCATGATCCAGGCCATGTTTTTATATAAACACTGCATGAGAGGGGCATCCATCAACTTAATTCACTCCACCCTCAACACTGGTCTCCTGTTGTGTTCAGAAAAAAAGTTAAACACCCAAAAGACCGACCAGATGGTGCTAAACGGTCAAAGACAAAAAAAAACTAGCATTTTTCCCTCCTTTCCCGCCTCTCTCCTGCATCCTTCCCCTCTCCTGAAGCTCACGGCGAGAGGTTTCCACTGATCTCCTCGTCTCCGCCTGGCAACCAGGACCTGAATAATTCTCTCAGTGCAGCAAAGGCATCTGTTGCTTTCATGTCCACCACCCCGGCAGTTTTCTCTCATTAATTTCGCAGCACCCCGGTGAGTCTGAGGCAAAGTCTCACGCACTTGTATTTTAATCTTTTTTTATGTCTGGGTGAAAGTGTCCAAGCTGTTTGTTTAACACGCGATACTCCTCCCTTTATGTGGGCAAAGAAAAGAGAAAAAAACTATGTCTTACCTTCCTTCTGGATGGCGTTAAACCCTTATTATAATTCACAAATGAGAGCCAGACTGAATTCATTACAGTGCTGCTTATAGCTTTGATGATAAACCGTAATTAACTGAGTGTGCATCCCCAAAATAGCCCGCTGCAAGGTGCTATTACCTTTGAGTAAGAGATCCAAAGCCGGGGGTTCTTTGAAAACTCTTGATAATAAAAATATTCTGTTCTTAATTTACTATATCCCCGAGGTGAAAAGAGAACTTTTTTTTTTTTACCATGGGAGGAAAATAACATGTGTATGATGCTGTTTCCATTTATTCCTTTAATTGAGTTCAACCCATTCCCCTCCAATGCCTCAAAAGTGAGTCGCAGCCAGGAGCAGTCTGCCTGCACTCATACTTGTTTCACACAATTACCGCCCACAGATAATTTCTCCGCCTCAGTCACACTCGGGCTAAAAACTTCAAAGCAAATTTCTTTCTCGTTTGGTCTGAAACAGCCGGGCAGATTTTTCAAACTGATTACATAACCTCGTTTCCCATTTTAAAAAGACAAAGCCAGCTTAGTCAACTGGAGCTCGGCACTGAATCAAAGTGTGCCACACACGCTAAGCACATTTTCTGTTACATTTCAGGGTATTTAGTTGACATATTAATCCTAAGCAGTGAACAATGAGTGGAACAGGATATTCCCACTTGAATTCAACAGATCTCAGTATTTTTAGTTTGCAATAGTTCATGTTTAAAGCCTGCACTCTGTGTATTTTCTGTATTCAGTGTCTGCCCTAAATTCTCTTATTGTCAGAGGGAGAAAAACTCGATAACAAAACACAGAAAACTGTTAATCCTTCAGCGACACCCAAAATGGATGTTTCTTTTCGGGAATAAGGTTGCTTGCTCTTTAGGGCAGGAGGATCACCTCTTCCTGTGGAGTTTATTAAACTGTAAAGTAGCACACACTAGGCTAGCAGCTCTCTCAGGACCTTTTCATTCAGCAGGCCAAATGTAAGGAGCAGGTTCACTGTGATATAGTAAATTTTACTGTTACAATTGCAGCGTGGCAGGTTGACATTTCAGTCATTCCCATTGGTCCCTCTTTGTCTTTTTGTAAAGGGTAGAAGGTTACATGTGTTTGCCCATTTCTTAATGGATAGTTCGCCATGAAGCCACAGCTTGAAAACAGACCAATCTTTATCATCTTCTACTCCTCAAGAGGCAATCGTTCACAAACTGCTCATCATGCTGTACTAAAGAGATGTTAATCTAGAGATAAAGACCATGAACTTACAGAGAAGATGAGTACTGATGGAATAAATCAAACAAAAGGTCGGGTTTGTTTTTCACAGACTTCGGTTAGATAACCAACTGAGTTTGGAGGCAACCTTTTCAACAATAATTGATGTAAAAAATCGAGTAATGAAAAAATCAAAGTGTCCAAAAATACAGTCAGCAGATATACAATCGCTAGATGTAACACTGAAGTGAGTTGCTGCTGAGTGAGCCATCTCATGAACATACATACTCTCGGTATGTATGGTCACATACTCTCACATGTTCGCCTTCTCATTACATAACAGTTGCGCCACCTCTTACAGTGTTACCGTAGTAACTACACCAAACATTATAAAACAAAACATCCATCCAATAATACTAATAACACCAGTTTTGCTTGAAGTGATGCTCAAAACACTCATTGGCTGCAGTTGTGCGGATCTTTCTTTTTGTGTTGATTTTGGCGCCCCCTGTAGACAACGTGGTACTTGTTGAATTTTGCTCTATTTTCTTAAAGTGTGTTTTCCGACAAAGTCTCATCAAATTGTATGACTCACGGTGAAAAACACAGAAAAAGGCGATCTCTGGTACTGTGCCATCTGTCATCTACACTCTCTTGGCGATTACAGGTGTTAGAAAATCACAATTTACAGATCGTAAACCTTTTCTCTGATGGTCCCATTTACTTTTGAAATTTCTGTTCATTTCAGTGCGATTAAAACCATCACAAAGCTCCTCACAGAAATGCCAATATCAGCATGCCATCATGCAATGACAACGCTAATACGTTCACGATGAACAAGCGTGTTTGAAAAGTTTAAAACCCAAATTTAGTGTGTAGATGTGCCTATGTTAACTGACAGCTAACAGGAATGTCATTAAGTTTTATTGATATCCTCAGATAAACATTTAGCTATCAGTAAAATTTATCAAAAAAAGATGAAAAGTCAGGGGGTCACCTTCAACATTTGAGTAAAATAAGTGCCTTTACTTAATTTATGGTGGCCAAAATGAGCATCAGAGCCTCATGAAGGAAATTAACGTACATCCTTTAAGACATTTTGATGGGATTCATCCTTAAACGTGGACATAGGGAACCGTCCTGCTGCCAGCAAAGCTAAAAATAATACATTGGAGGTGTGTTCTGCAGCTGTGTGATAGCAGAACCCTTCATTATCCCGTCCAATATGCAAACTGCAGTAAACAGCCTGTAAAAAAATCACACTCCTACATGAAGGGGTATAACCAATCATACCGGCAGACTCACAGCAACCAAACAGACGCTGTATGTACCAAACAACACGTATGCCCTCTCCCACATGGGTGACTTGTGGGCTGGTATAATGAGTATGTGCTGTAGTGTCATGGAAACGGGCCACCTGTCAAACAGAAACCTTCCCACATCCCACCTGTCACCTGTCAACCAGTGTGCATTTTAATTTGTTTTAGGAGAGGAGTTGGAACACGGACGCTGTGAACCGCGGGTTTGAATTTTAATTGAGTCAGAGAGGAAAGAAAGTGCTGCGCCGAGGATAACAAAAGGACTTCTGAGAAGCTTTCTCTGCTGCGACAAACAAAGGATCAATACGGAGCACCTCACTCTGTCTAAATACTTCCATTTCTATTACTGTAAATATATCTAGAGTTACAGCCATCTCCCTGCTTATCATTGTTTCAAAGCTGTAAACAATTAGCATAAAGTTTTCTCAAAGTCAGAGAGTTTCTTTGAAATAGTTTTCATTCCTTTCACAGTAAAGTGGCTTACAGGCAGTAGGAACTGTATCAGAGTCTGGTATGATTGAATTTATTAGCTGTCAGACGGATGACCTACAAAAGCAAATTTTCAAGCTTAAGTCCAAGGTGGGGCTTGAATGAAGTCTGCAGACATCATAAAATAACTATAATAATAAGTGAATAAATAAAGGCCACGTCATCCAAACAAACAGATTTTTTATTTTAACAACAATTTGGTTGCATTTGACTGTTTTTCCACAGTAAAAATCCTCACAATAACTGAGTCATACCTCCTAAATTCATGTGTTTCAACCAATTAACTGTGCAGTATTAATAAATTGTCTTGATGACTAACAGATATGTAAGATTACAGCTATTCTAGTGTCTGTCTCTGAAGGCCATGCAGAAACGCAGCATATATCCTGAGATTTAGCACATTTTATGAACATGTTTACATAGGGCTGGGCGATATGGCCTCAAATCAATATCACAATTTATTGATCAGTTCACCTAGGACAGCGTCTCAAAGGGACATGAGACCATAGCCTACCTACACACATCCACAACCAACTTTATACCGGTATGGGCAAAATGACCTCAGTTATTGTTGTAAATTTCGGTATCTGTAAATTATCGGTTTATCACCCAGCCCTATGACTACATCTAAATTCAGTGCTGTAGCATTAGCTCTTTAGTCAGATGAGTTTTAGAAAATTCGTTAACAGGGGTGCTATCTTTGCTTCCTAGTCTCTTGAAGTCCTCCTGTAGCTCTCTGCACCATGTTGAGTTCACTATCCTGAGTTTGGATCATTATTTAGAGACATCATTTTTAAAGGAAATTGTTTTGTTAGAATTTTTTAACACAGAGAGAATAATTTAAAACTTAATCAACCTTATTCTGGTGCCGACTAGCGAGAGTGACCGCGTGCTCAGTCGACTAAACATCCACTTCCCTAGTCATCTAATAATCAGCTGGAAAACGTTTCCTCCATTTTTTGGCAGTCGGTTTCAGCTCTGAGATCCCCGGTTTCTCCCTCTGCTCTGTCTCACACCCATGCACCACTCAGACTATCAGCCCCACAGCCTCCCCAGCATCCCCCCTCAGGATCTGACTGAAGGGTTTAAGATTTTATCTCATCACTCCTCAAGTTCTGCATGTCAAATAAATCTGAGAGGTGTGATGAGGTCAGGTGAGGATAATGCCCTGCTGCTGTAATAAACCTGTAAATCTTTACTAATGTGACCAGTCTGATTGAGTCATTATCACATGAAGACCTTTACTCTGACCTGAGCGCAAACTACTGTCCTGCAGCTGCCAGTTTGAGATGTTATTTAGCTCAATACATTTCCAGCGTTTGGGTATTTCATGGACCAGCGTCTTGATAAAAAGAAACCTGAACTTCACGGTCGATAATCCCTTTAGCTTCACTTCCTAAAGCGCTGACAAAAAAGCCCGGAGTAAAAACATCCCGTCTTTATCCCTGACCCAAACTTAACACACTTCAGAGTAAACAGCATTTGTTTTGGTGCCAGAGAATGTTCTGATTTATGTTTTATTCAGAGTGAGTATGAAGTGTCTTGGAAATTAAAGCTTTGTGCAGGTTTAAGGGTTTATCTTATCCAGTATGCAACATAAAGAAAGGGTTTTATACAAAAAATACCTTTAAGTCTTCACCCTCAAAGAGAATCAAAGCGGACTTTGGCAGCTTTAGCGGCATCTGTGGCGAAGAGCCGCAAACAGTTTATGAAGATTTCTTTGGAGGGTCAGAGGAGGTGAAGAGAGTATAAATAGGTTAGGTTAAAATGATCTTACAATTCCTAATAAACAAAAGAAACTTGGAGCCAAAGGACAAAAACTCAAAGTGAGTCTGGAGTGTTCAACATGTTAATAGATGCCTGTCCAAGACCAGGGGAGTAAAAACCAAGGATTAGAAAACAGATGAAGACCGGTTTAAGAGATTTCTCCAGGGATAGAGAACAAGACAAAGACCTAAGCTGCAGAATTACACCCAGAACTACTGATTATCATTGATCTTAAGCTCAATAATCAATTAATCTCACTTGTACTGTTGAATAATTTACAGCAGACGCACCTTAGAGAACTTCGAAATAGGGAGTAATCCCAAGCATAAGTCCAATAACCGTGATACTATTAAGCTCATTCTGACTGCTCAGGCTGCTCTTAAGCTACAGCGGGTCTCCCCTCTCTCACAGTAAAGAAGATTTATGGCTCCACCAAAAAGAAATGTGTTACGACTTTAATATGCAAAACCCCTCGCTCTCTCTCTCTCTCTCTCTGACAATGCAGTGGCGCTCCAGGTTTTACAGGAGGCTTACAGCGCACGGTGAGATGATTTTTACATTTTCATGTTCATCGCTGCACATTATGAAGATGATAAATGATTCTGCACACAAATCAGAAATCTGAGAGGTGTGAAAGACGGAATAATGAAGCGATTACTCATCCTTTAACGTGTAATACATTCACTAATTTGACACATTTACACAATGCCAAATCTCTTATGGATTTGGTCTGCAGTGAGGGTATTCATACTCATGAGCATGTTCTGATTCATCCCGAAACCTTTGATTGGTTAAAAATGACAGGGTACAGGAAATAGGTTGATCAGGTTTGTCAGGACACACACACACACACACACACACACACACACACACACACACACACACACACACACACACACACACACACACACACACACACACACACACAGTCACATCCTGTTTTTTTAGGAACAAATAAATGTAAACATGACTGTATAGTTTTTCTTCAGAGTGAATCAGAGATGGCAATCCTCTGAGTCAGAGCTCTGAATCCACAAATACGCCAAACATGTTTCTAGATTTGGTGACGCACACTGTCAGTATATTTCAATTCCTCAAACATTTATGAATGTGCCACTTTAGCCAGTCAGCAAAGCTAAAATACAGGCTCACATTACAGTAAAGTATCGACTACTAGGGATGTCCCAATCCGATACTGATATAGGTCCGATATCAGCAAAACGAACTAACTAAATAAATAAATATCCAATACCCAATATCAGCACTCCGATACAAGCAGTCAATCCAGCATCAGCTACTAGGACTGTCTTGATCTGATACTGATATCAGATATCGGTCCAATATCAGCAAAATAAAAACAAATATCGGGTTATATCGGCCTGCATCTAAAATCTCCAATATCAGCACTTTGATACAAGCAGTCCATTCCAGACTCAGCTCCAGCACCTCTATCTAGCAGCGTCCAGATCTGGCATGCAGAGCCCACATAATCACAACAACAGTGTGTACTTAGGTACTAGTAAAGTAGCAAGGAGTAGGAGTGATGTTGGCCATGTGACAGTATTTGTCTTTTAAGTTTTTGTTTGTGCCAATACCAGATCATTATCAGTATCGGTCAATACTGAAGGCTACAATATTGGTATTGTATAAGAAGTTAAAAAGTTGTATCGGGACACTTGACTTTCTTTTTACATGTCCCAGAGCATCATATAAACTCTTGACATCCTCTCATATCCTTTCTTTCTTGCTTACACTTCTCTCTTTTCTCACGAGAATGAGGGATTAAGGGGAAGTAAAGCCTACAGCCCACCTCGGGAGGGGGGCTAAGCTCCATTCCAAACAGGCTTCTCCAAAGAGATATGTGGGTTTAGTTCAGTGTTAAAAGTTGTCATCATCTCTAGTCAGCAGCAGATTTACGGGATGTAATGAGATGTGATAGTTTCTTTTACCGTAGGTCTAAAATAGTGCAGGTCTTATGTTGTGTCTGAGCTGCAGCACAGTCACGTAGATAATGCCTTACTCTCCAGATGTAGACAAAAACAGATGACAGATGGCATCTCGCAGCGCGGCAGGGTTTGGCAGTATTTCCTAATTTAAGGTTAATCAGTGAAAAGGAATCTAAATTTGTGTTTAAATGAGTCAGAGATGAGTTAGTTTGACACATCCCTTCCTCTCACTCTCGCTCCTCCTTCACCTGAGGTTCAGGTGTCTGCCCCATGTCCAGAGGCTGCAGACCCTGTAGCTTCTTTGGCCAAAATCATTCCCTCACTTTCCACAATTCCTGTCCCTCTTCAGCCGTCCTATCAATCTCTCCCCTCTTCCCTCTTAAAAATGTGGGATTGAGGCTGTCAGGCTCCTCATAAAGGCTTTGCCTTCTCCGTCCTTTCTCACATCTCTCCTCAGACTCCTCTCTCTCTGGTCTTTTCTTCTCTTTTCTTTTACTTCTCCAAACCTGGGTTTCTGATGGATGGTGACAGCTGGCATCGAGGGAAGAGATTTGAGGACGTCAAAGGTAACTGTTGAGCCTTGCTGAGGTGTTGTGGGCCTTTAACATGAAACACCTGTAAAGAGCGAGGTCCACATGGTGACCCTGGTGGTGTGCTGGCTCTCGCTGCAGGTTTGTTTGGGTTGTAGGGGAACGTTAGAGGTCATGAGGTGAGTTTTGACCATAGACTGTATAAAGAATGGACAGAGTCTGCCTCCTCTCTGGGTGAAGCCACCCCAAGAACAGCACCTTCTGTTGATGGGCTGCAGTACAGGTCATAAATCCCGCCTCCTCTAGCAAAGCTTATGAAGCTGTGGACAAACTTTAGAAATTTATTACACAGAACATAAATTTTTCTCCCCCCTGCTTGTGATGTTGACATGTAGTTACTGTAGGACTGGTTTGTGCTCAAGTCCTCTTTTTTCTTTGAGGCTCCATTTTTAAAAGTTATTAGGGGGTTCATGTTTTCTATGATTGACATTTGATACAGCGTATTGGCGTTCAGGGATTGCGTAGCTCTCCCGGGGGGATACGCTGTTTGAGCCGAGCGTCATCACAGCAACTCTCAGCGACTGCGCGGCCGAATGCTCGCATCGCTACTGCGCAGCGCTGGTTTCAGGAAATGAAGAAAAACCCCGGAAATATCAAGAGCTTTTTGGCTTCAAATCCATATACAGGCGGGAGGCGGAACCAAGTTGTCCATAGTATATACAGTCTATGGTTTTGGCCCGCAAAACGAGGCTTCATTTTTGAATAGAGCACAAACATCTTTTGTTGATTTTGAATTACACTGACTTCAATTGAAGTCCAGGTTATGACTTAATGGAAAAACTGTGATTAATGTCTACGATATCTCCCTCCTTATTAATTTAAAGCCCTTTAGTAGGATACAGGCCACAATATCAACTACAGAAGCCTTTCTGATGTTTTAACAAGAACTTTTTCTTGTCCTTTAAAGCCAGAAACATTTTTTTTTTCAAATGGCGCAGGGTAAAAATTGACTTAGATTAAGAAAGACATGCTGCATTACTGAGAGATGAAAAGCTGAAAATCTTTAGGAGCCACTTTAAAAGCCAACCAGAAAATAAAACATCTCATCTAGATGGCTCTGCAGCAGAAAAAAATGTGTGAATTTATTCAACAAGAAAAAAAAAAGGCACTGGAAGTCTCTCAGTGGGATAACAGTGATTTCTGTGTCGATGCTTTTAAAAATGGAAAACAGAAAGCGGAGCGGTAATGCGTAATGTGTTAGCTGATTGAAAAGAACTGCTGTTTGTCAGGGGAAGCAAACAGCTGAATTATTATTTATCGCCGGCTGGGAGAAAACTCTCAAGAACAGGCGCTTCTGTTTGGGGAGATGAGGGCTTGACAATTTTACAAGCAGATTTTAATACTACTGCCGGGGGGGTGATGGCTTCCTTTTTCACAAGGCGTCGTGCAAGTATAATCTGAAGTGACTCGTTCACATCCAATTTGGAGCTGAACACATAACAGAGCATCAGTGACAGGATGGATTACAGCTGATGGTGCAGGCAGCATCCCGGCTGCACTCATCCTTCTTTCTTAGGACGATGACAGGAGATCCATCTTTTTCCTTCTGTAAAAGCATCATCTAAAAAGGGAGTGTTTTCTGTCGAATTATGCAGCAGACGTCCACGTCTTTGCATTTTATGTTGTGCAGATAATTTGATTGTGATTCCACAGAGCGGTGAGCAAAGAGGAACAAGTCTGTGGGGCAGCAGGACATCAGGATGACGAGCTTGCTTGAGTCAGAAGGATTTCAGCAGATGCATGGACGTGTAGAGAGAGAAAGCTGTCTGCTCTTTGAATTCTGTGCATGCTGCCGCTAAAATGTCAAACTCTGGGCTGAGAAAAAGAAGAAAACGACAAGAAAAGAGAGAGAGGGAGAGGGAGGGAGTGGGAGGAGGAGAGCAAGCTCATCTGCAGGCCTGATTAATGTGAGGACAGGAGATATTTGCACACCATTAGTAATGCTGGAAATTCACATTACTGCTCTCATTTTGTATATAGTGCTTTATTTATACTTTACATTACATTACCACACTCGGGTTGTCTTTAATTTCTGTACAAACAGATGATTCATGTTGGTCATTAATTTCTTTTTGTTACCTTTTATACAAAAAAAAAAAAAAAAATTCAGTTAATATCAAAGCTGACGGTTCTGATTATTTTCACGAGCTAAGTCAATTTCACAGTAAAAATGTGTTTTTTTTGTTTGGACTCTCGGCATTAACCCGATAATTGTGGTGCCTTTAATGTCTAACAGTAGTGATTTAACCATGATGAAAATGATGTTACAACTGAGCTTATCTCTTCATAAACTCCATGATGGGACACTCAACCACTCAGTCAGTGTGTTTGTTTAGATGGACAGCTAATGATTGGTCATAGCTCGGTTTTAACTGGACAACTGTCTCTGTCTCAGTTTACAAGCACTGGGCAGGAAATGTATTATTGACAGAAGCACGTCTGTCTCTGTTTCAGTAGGTAGCCTCACTATCGGGTCATCTGTTCTATCACATATCAAAACAAGTGAGTGAGAAGCTAACAGGATGTACACTGCATGCACTGACTGTTTTTGCGATAAGAAAGTTCAGTCTATTTTTCATCTTTTCTTCTTCTGTCGAGGTTTTGTTGACAACCAAATTGCGTGCAAAATCTGCGTTTTTTCAGATATGTTAGTCCAAGTATGAGAATTTCAATTTCAATTTCAGGATTGCCAATGTGTTCACATGTTTGCTAAAAACCGGTAAAAGTCCGGTTTCAGTCCCAAAATCAATTTTTTGACCAACATCTAAATAAACTGACTGTTATGGGGATCATCAGTTCCTGTATGCGACAGAGAAAAAGGTTTAAGGGAGGTCAGTGAGTAATCAAAGTTATACATGCACACTAGTGGGACCAAGATTTCCTCCATGAACTTATTAACATATTCCTTTAATGTAAACAGCCCTGCACTTCTAATGGCTAAAATTAGAAAACTGTTTCTCACAGATGAAGTAATCTAGAGCTGTCTTCTAATCATAAATCATGATTTTATACTACACAGGTGGAGCAGTGCAGCTTTTATTTCAATCATAAATCTAAAAGTCAAAATCATAAAGTAGATTTTATTTTATTTTCTCACACTTGTAAGAATAACTTTATATACTATTGCTTTCTTTTCCTTTACCTAACAACTGCTTTGAAATGCAAAAGCTGTCAAACAACTGAAACTTGTCTGACAGCCCTTATAACTCTTTGTCAAACACCAGATTTACATGTTCAAGTTTCTTCTTTTGTCTCACAGCAACACTACAATTTCCTGTATTTCACTTTAAAAACAACTACGAACAGGAAAAAGTATCAAATCGTCTTATGTAAGATGCTAAAAATAGAATATCACCAACTTTTTGTGCTAGAGGTTCTTTCATATACTGTTTTTTAGGGTAAAATACTGTATAAACATTTACAGTAATCACACTAATGGTTGTACAAATGAGTAAATTAACCAATACTTGTGTATTTCTTTGACAGTTTTGTCTTTGTCTCACAGTTTCAACCATCTCACAGCCATTTTTGTGTTTCATGTTATCATCCTATTTCTCCAACTTGAATCATGTTACAGCTTTTTTTTTTACAGCAGCTGCAGCTTTTTGAGTCAGGGCCCAAACTGTTTAATCTTTCCCTTTTTCCCCCTTTTGAAAAACAAGTCTAACTCTAACAAAACGGCATAAATATTCAGGATGCATTGGTCTTGTTGACAGAGGAGCAGAGACGTATTCCTAACACAAACTGACACAGCATGGAGCCTGGTGTTATGAGCCCGTTTTATCTCTTTAGAGTGATACTTTTCTGAAGCCACACAGGCATTTGATCTAATATTGCTTATTAGATGAGGCTGTGTTGCTACATGACTAGTGATGCAGGTGTGTTTGGAAGATGCTGCTCAGTGAAGCTTATTCAATTTGGTTCCTGCAAACCAGAACGGAAAATGCATTTAAAGCTTCTGAGGCCGCGGGCTAGCCATCATGTCTGAACCTGCTGGAGGAATTACCCGGTCATGTCAGCCGGACGTGATTTTGTTAGCCTCCACTGGACAGAGAAGACTTTTATTCTGTAATTCTGGAGAGCAGCGATAACGCGGTTACTTACGGTGTGATTAAAATGTCATCCTGCATGATAAAACTGTTTTTGACTCAAAAGATTAAGTTGTTTTCTTACATTTTAATGACCAATTATCAATTTTAGAGCCAAAAAAATCAGATTAATGCGACACTTAAGGCTGAGAGTAAACTCACAACATAGCCAGAAGTGTGCTTAACCTGAATTATGTCCTTACTGCATCTGTCGTTACTTCATCGAAACAAACCATGTTAGCATCAGCTGTGGGCAGGAGACCAGCTGGAAGGCTATTTTTATAATCCTGCATTTACACTTTCTAAACAGAAAAACAGGACAGGTCCTCGTGTTAACACAAGGCCAATCAACACACCTTAATTGCAGATATTGATATGACTAATGTGCCGCTTTCTCCACGTTGTTGAACAAGCTCGGAGATCAATTAACATTTTCCTGCTGGAACACGGCCTTCACAGTCTCCCTCCAGCCAGGAGCCACTTTGTTTAGCTTTTTTAAGGGGGGGAATAAGGAGGTATAGTAGATGTAAGAATGAAATGGAGCCAAATCAAAGTCAGTGCAGTGTGGCCACTCATAAGAGCTTGTGTGGGACACAGTGGGAGATATTTCCCACAGAAACCTCAATCATACGGCTGCACGGTTAAGCGTTTATAAATCGTAATCGGATTATTTGATTATGACGATGTTAAAAAAATAAAAATCGTCATATTGATTGTCCTCTCTATCATGTCTCACCCCCCCAGGCCACCGTAGGCTCACACACATGGCATTTGCAAAAGAAGGCGATAATTTTACAGTGAAAAGGGGCAAGAGCATCAGTCGTGTGGAATTGAAACGACTTCACAGTTTCGGATGAAGAGCAAACCACTACCCACTGCAAAGTCTGTCTGAAGGCGGTATCAACCCGTCCACATGGAAACAAATCTAAGAGTAAACACAAAAGTTTTTTGTCAAATCGGCATTTCATCCACACAGAAACCACGTTTTGGGTGACTGTAAACTGTACTTTTTGAAAACAGGTCAAAGAGTGCATAAATAAACGACTACCATTTAATCTCTGAGTGGATGCTTATCTGCATCTCTGGAGACGATTATGTGACACATAGAGTAACTCTTTTATGGCAACCCCCATACTCCGCAGCGTTACTGGCTTGGCAGAATGCACTACATCGTTTTCAGTGGTTTTGTTTTAGAGATGATAGGAAAACTTATTATTAAAGAATAGTTTAGTGAAGTTGTCACTGGATAAAAAATCGAAAACTGAGTTTTCAGAGAAAAAAAAAATTAGCATTTTATTTTTGGACAAAATTGTGCAGCTCTACTCTATCATACCACCAAATACATGTATCTGATGATCCAACCATACTGCTCTTCCATTGTAGTTCACCAAGTAGTGAAGGACATTATATAATATCATAATTACTACTAGTTTAGTACTGTTCTTAAAGTTCCTACTTACTTCCCAGGGCTCTCCAGAGTGATTCAACCTCCGATTATTAGAAAGATAATGAAGTTTAGCAGAATAAACAGACTTCACTGTCTTTAAGGTCATCCAGAGGTAGAGCTGCGGTCGTCATCGTTGAAGAGTCTGAAGGTGATGACACTTACAAATACTCCGACACAAAAACGAGCAGATGGTGAAAACACCTTAAACTGCTGACGGCTGTTTGCATCATCACTTCTGAATTAGGCGTTTAATTTGCAAAGAGGCTCATTTGCATAGAAAGGGGCATACTTTGCTTCAAGTGAGCGCATAATGGCTCGTTTGAATGTATGTAAATAATAATGGCTTATAGGGATGCTGTTTGCTCAGTACTGCAGTTTGTGGTGCATTTAACCCTATGTGCATGCTCTTTGAATAACAGAATGTCTGTCTGGTTCTTCTGCACAGGTTTAGGACGTACAGTCCTGTTTTGTCGCACGCAGTTCAAGATCAGAATATTCCCCCGACCTTTAGTTACTGCTTCCAACTGCAGATGTTCCCAAAGATGAAAACATTTAAAAAAGGAAGTCACGGTTACATAACCTGTGCTTCATAGTCTAGACTAAACTAGTGTCTGGTCCAGCTATGAACTGAATGAGCAATCATGTTTTTCATTTTGAAAGGCCTTGAAAAAAACAGTGTTCTCGTCAGCGATGTTCAGAGGATGCTGCGCTGCACTAATAGTTTCATGTTGACCAGGTTTATGAATGTTGTAAGAGCAGGAAGAAGCTCAAATTGATCCATAATTGAAAAATTTCTGCATCATAATTGAGACTTTAAAAAGAAACTGACCAGCACATGGAAGGAGTTTTAGTTTAAAATGGAGAGTAAAGATAAAGCCCCTCCAACACTCTCTAATAGTTTCGCTCACACCCTCCCAGTGTTCTTACATCACGAGGAAACAAATGCAAATAGACTTTAAAGAAGACTGCACTTCACCTCTGGTTCTCTCCCTCCGCCTGCCGCCTCATTTCCCTCTCAGACCGGGTCACATGGACCGAACATTGTCAAATCTCCGACCCTGTCTTCTATTGAGGGCGGGCTCTGTAGTGACTTTGCTGTTCTGAATCGACCTGATGAAGAGCTGCCTTGAATGCCCTGGTGTTTGTGTTTCAGGGTTTCCACTGGTTTCATTTGTTAAGATAATTTCACAGTAATTACAAACCTTTAACACAGAAATGTAATGTCATTACACGCCTGCTTCTCAGTCTGGATCGTTCTCGGTTTGGCTCTCAGTTTGCTGGTTTTATAGAGGCCGTGTGCAGTGAGAGAAGCACTGCTTCATGTGGAGGGAAACAGAATAAATCCTCTTGCTTGCCTTCCTCTTTAAACAGCTCATTGTGATAAGCATGAAATTACAGCTCTGCGGTGACGCTGCAAACATTGTGTTTCAATCTTCTCACTGAGACAGCAGCAACAATCCTACTATCTGCTGTTTCTTCTTCTCTGCGCATCCAATACACAAAGCAATTACAGAAACAGTCACGTACGGCTCACCCTGTAAACAAAACTCTGTGCTCTGCTGGAGAGTCATTTGACACCGAAGCTCTCCATCACATCAGGAGGCAGATTGCATCAGCAAAGTTCAGCGTTTTCCGTCAGATTCCTCCGCTCAGTGTCAGAGTATTTAAGGGTTAGCCAGCAATTTCAGCTGCTTTGTCTGAAATATCTCAAACTTCAAAGCGGCGCTGGGAACATTTCTTTTTCAACATTAAAGCAAAGTAAAGAGAAGCTGCTGCAACAAAGAGGAGGAAAATGACTCCACTTTAGAGTAAAACAACATCAAGTTTTGCCTATTTTCTCCGTAATCATCTGATTGAAATTGACAGCGTATGAAAGTGATGCCCTCAGCGAGTGAAGCTATTCTTGTTCTCTCACTCAACACAAATAGGACATCAGCAGCGAGCTGTGCCAGACAGATGATCAAAACAACAAACTAATCTGAGGAGAAACGTGCACAGGCATTTTGGATCAGAGTGGAGCTGTTTGCTGCCTCTTTAAAAGTGCATCCACCCCACATTATAGCAACTCATAAACTATTCCAGACAGTTGAAGGTACGAGAAGGTTTCTGTAAAACTCAGCAGCAAAAATAATATTGCACATAAGCAGTGGCCATTTAGAGGCTGCACTCTCAGCCGTACACTTCTGCTGCATGTCATTAATCTCAGCGGTCCCGTTAAGAAAACCCCCAAAACTAACTTTCAAAGAAGTTCATGGGATCCGATTCAACTATCAATACATTTCAATTCAAGGGAAAATGAGGCAGACTGATTAACTGGTTGGCTGATTAAGCTGGCAGATAAACAGCACTTTGACATAATCACATCCGCCCTCATATCACTGTAAGCTTTCCCAATTAAAAAATTCATTTTTCTCATCCCCCATTAATAGCATCTGAAATCGAAAACAGTCAATGGTCAGTGTTTTTCATGTTGAATAATTGAGTTCAGTACTGACAGTAAAACTTCTAGCATAACTTCAAATCTTTGTCTTTCCATCAAATCATCAAAATCTACCGAAAACCTGTTACTAGCAAAGATAACAATTTCAGAAAGCTGAACAAAAGTTATTTGTAGCAAAATTTTATTGAGCCAAAAGTTATTTCATCTTCATTAATTTTATAAAATGACAACTTGGGTTCAGTTATCTGGTTTTTCATTTATCTTTTATTTCCTGTCTGTGACAAAAACCTCATTCTGTTGACCCTAAGACTGAAATCCATCACTCACTGTATTTGTCCACAGTAAAATTATCAGTCTCGTTGCTTATGATCTCGTTTGCTTTTGAAGGTCATCTCCAGGTATCAGTATCAGTATCTCAATCAGCTGAAGACTGATGATTAAGAAAAATAACTCTTATCATAAATTTAAGGACATACATTTAAGTCACAACAAGCTAACAGCATGTCTATTTCCTTGAGGCAATGAAACTGTCTGACTGTCAAGTCAAACTACTGAAATGCTGTTTTTCCTTCCTTTAAAACTGAACTGGATCAGTTTAATGAATTCTCGGCACCCCATTCACTTCACTAATGAATTATTTAAAGAAGCAAATTTGTGCTCAAAACATCTTTTATAGTAAAAATGAATCAAAGTGAAAAATAATAAAGTTGACAAATGAGTTCATTAAAGTCAGACTAACAAAATTTAACTGATCAACTCCGTTCTTGGGAAATATTTCACAGTAAATACAACCCTAACTCAAAAAACGTAGGACACTGAATAAATGTAAACAGGCCTTCATCCAGACAACACCTGTTTCAGCAAAATAATGCAAAACCACATTTCTTCAATTACAACAGTATGGCTCTGGAGTAGAAGAGCCCTAGTGCTAAACTGACCTGTGTTCAGTCCTGACTTGAGACCCCAAACTGTTGCTCAGGATGTCAGGATGCGCAGAGGACATGTTTTGTTTTCTTTTAGCCAGTCAGAAGTCTAAATATACAGACCATCACAAAGTCAAATCTTGTGCTGTGAAGGAGGAATAAAATCAAAAAGTTTCACAGCCAATGAGCAGAAGTCTTTGTTGAACACCGAGCGGTTTTATTTTATTTTAGAACTGAAACAACAGCGAGCTTTTATTCCGCCGGGATGTTGTCAGTTTTAAAACCGAAAACACTCCCTCATCCAAAGTGAGATCCCTGTGGGCGCTCCCTCCCTCAGTTTATTCTCTGCGGAGCCCCTTTAGTTTTATTTCTATCAGGACTGAAAACATCACAGACGCTATTCAAGTGTAAAACAAGTGACTTTGGTGAAGCGCTGCTCACATTCACAAATATTGAACAGAGGCTCTTAGTGATAACAAAGCAGAGAAGCCGTTCAGCTGAATGGACTTTCATTTTTAAATCAAACTATTTTAGGATGAGTGAGCGCTGCCTGCCAGGAGTACTTACTCTCATGTGAAGTGGACGCAGAGAGATTATGAAGCATGATTACACAGCCGTGACATTCACGCTAATAAGAACAGATTAAAATAAAATTCAGAACCCGTTTGGTCACGAAAGAGGAGTGTCGACTATTAAGTTTATCTACCGTTAAACTGATTCACCCTGATGATGAATCGAAGCAGAAACATCCGCTTTTGGTTCGTTTTTCCTTGAGTGCCTCTTAACCTGAGGCGTCAGCAAACACATTATTTATTCCTGCTTCTAATTCTGTCAGGTAAACAACTCATAAAGCAAATAAAATACTCAATGATTATAATTTAATCAAAGCTTTTCTGTGTTTTAATCCACGTGGGTGAAGACCTTTAGATTAATCGGTTCCTTACATCTCACTGTTTACTCTCAAGTGACGTGCACGGTGAAGATCTGGGATTTCACTGCTCATTAATCTCTAAAAACATGTCATTTCACAAGTTTCACTGTCACATCCATGCCTTTTATTTCCTGATGTCTAAATAGGAGTTAATTCAAAAACAGATGTGACACCACCAAGTGTTGTAAGTAATAACAAGCTATCTAATTTCATGCTGGCTGCACCTGACAGTGACTGGATGTGATTTAAACTGGAGTGCCTGGGAGTAAATGAGCTTTGACTAAGTGACACCTGTGCTCTCCTGAAGCTAAAGGTCACACGTGGAGTTTCCATCCACGAGTCACTTACCACAGGTCTGATTTGTCGAGTTTGCTCTTGTGTTGTTTGCGTGTCGCGCTCTGCTGTGCACGGCACACAAACAAGCACCTGAAGGACGCAGGTGACGTGACGAACATCCGGTCCATCTGCAAACCCTCATGCAAATACCGGACTGGGAGTTGTGTGAGGTTTGCCTGTCAAATGAAAGGTGTGGACCAGCTGCACAGCCTGTATGTCTTATTTCAGATGCCTTTGTTTTATGAGACAGGAGTTAACTACCACAGATGTGACCGGCCATAAAGTTTACACAATAAAATGTTAATCAGATTTCAAGCTTTTTTTGAGGTGGTGAGTTAGTGGAGGAAATGCACAAGGACAAAACCGAATTGAGCTTTATCGAAAATACTGAGAGTTTCTAAAAATGAAGACAGTACAGAGGTAAAGAAGCCGCAATTCCTCAAATCTCCACCAGGAGCAAACACAAAGAAGGCCCATTAGGTCCCATTTAAAAATGGTCATTTTAACTGCACAGCTGAAAATGTTAAGGACCTGTTCTAAAGGATATTTTTAGTCTCTATACTTCATTTATTTATTTATTCCTAAATTTTGTTCTGGAGTGGAATCTTCCAGTACGCTTTTGTTCCACTACTATATGGTCCAGGTTTTATCTTGAGTTAGAGGTACGAATTCATTTGTTTTTATATTTATGGTGTTTTTTCACAGTGTCCTTGTTGTTGTCAGCATCATAAATGACAATCAAGTTTTGATATTTAAAGCAACTATGAGTGACTTTCTGTTTGTGTTGATTTTGGTGCCCCCTTGTGGACAAAGTGGCACCTCTTCTATCATTGCTGATCTTGTCCTTTACACGTTTGGGATGAATTTTTTCAGAACAAATCAAGAACTTTTCACCAACTAATCAAGGGCTATAATGATTGAAAGGCATGTAAATTTAACCCCTAATGTGATGAATCTAATTCTAAATTTCTAAACGGTAAAGCACCTCGAAGAGATCAGTTTTATTCTTATAGCTCATATGTCACAAACTGCACTTACCCTTAACGGGTTTTAAGTCTTCTTACTTTCTTTCTTCTCTTTATTTAAGTAAAGGGAAACTCTCTTTAAAAAATCAGGATGACAATAAATTGTTCGTAAAATACAAAGTAGAGGAAGAATATGTGATTCATTAGAATTGAGGAAAAATAAAAACACCATATTAACACACTGTCAGAAAAAATGGAGACTGTAACACATGAGGAGCCAAACACACAAACAGACACACACCTATGTACAGACTTTGAAAGAGTGGCAGAGACCCGGGTCACACAGGCCCAGGTGGCAGAGCTGTTTAGTGACACAGTGATTTAAGTCCCGTGTCGTCGAAAGGTCTGCTATCTACCAGCAGTTACAGCGCTGAGCCGAAACAGCCCGACAGCCAACGACTGCGGCTCAGGAGGCAGAGCCGATGACGGATAGGTTCAGCCTCTGCAAGCTCCAGCCGCAGTGCGCACTTACATGAATCATACGTTTAAGTGGCTGTCAAATACATCCACATTCAAGGCTCCTGTTTGGACTTCTCATTGTCACAGCTCCCCTTGATTCCCATATTTCCTGCTGATTCCTATAAGATCATCCGTTCTCTTCTGTTCGGGCAGATCGCTTAAGAGCGTAAGAGCGTCAGCATGATGTTGTGTTGCTGTGACACATTTAGTTACATGGATGATTGCCCCTCCGGAGTACAAAGACCATTTGTCACTAGCAGGATGCTGTGCATGTAATGATGCTGAATCTACAGCATGTTGTGTTTGAGTGTAACAGATTTTACAACATGGCTGCAGCTCCTGTCTCAATCTCTGGACATCAAGAGGAATCCTCATATTTCACTGCAGTCGTATTAAGTGGTTCTGTTTCATTTTACATTCATAGTGCGAGTGAATTATGCAGGAAATACACATTTCTGAATTTTAACACCTGAGAAATGATCCAGAATTTCTTCCATGAACTGTTTCTGTGAAGGTGCACCTTGGAAAGAGAAAACACACCTTCCTGAAGATTTATAGTACACCTTTTCTTTTCCCTCTGAGGTGTTGCCGAAGACATTTTTCCTACCCCCATGATTTTTCAAACTGCAAACAACTCCCAGATTTCCTTTGAGCGATCCATTTGTCCGACAATTGACACTGACTGTGTCCCAGTTCTATCTTTCAACTCAGTTTCAAGCACGCTCAAAAAAAAGTTGAGCAGAATATCTGAGTATACTTGATGTTATCACTTTTCTGGTGTAAATGTCCTACATACTCAAAATAGAGATGGAAAGTTTAGCAGTTCAGTGTTGGGACAACGCAGCTCTTTGTTACTTTAAGGCCTGAACTGCTCTTGACTGAGTCCTGGATTGACTTTGGTCCTGGTCACGACATCTTGATCTGTCCACCACTAAGCTGCCATGTGCTTCCCTCTGAGTCAATAGAACCCAGATCCTGGTCTTAAAAGTAAATACTGTACTGATTGGTAATTCAATGGTATCCAATATCAAAAAATCCAGTATCATGACCCCGCCTGAGGCCTTCTTTTGAACTACTACTGAGCAGACGATCAAGTCCAGATCAAGACTGGTTCAATTGGATCCTCAACCACACCAAGTGAGGTTCAAATGAATGGAGGCCAAAGTCAATCAGGGTAAGTCCAAGTCAGTTAAACAGAATCAGGTCTAATTCATAGATGACAGGTTCACACAAAGCCCCGATTTAAATTAAATCATATATCAAAATTTATGCAGACAAGCCAAATTCAACCACCTTACATATCAAGGTATCACTGCTTTCAATAGAGACAAGCCAACACAAACTGTCTCACTTTGTCCCCGTCTAATCCCTCCACCTCTACATCTCTCTTTTTCTGGTGTCATCAGACACAACTGAGCTTCCTGGCGGTCCCTTTAAGTCCAGTGAGAGCTCCCGGGTCTACTCCTTCTTGGCAAGTAAGACAGCGGTTCGTTCCACCTGATCGAAGCTGAAGCGGCAGGTCTCAGGGGCAGCTTGCAGCAATCTTGATAATTAGACTCACGTTTCGATCGCAGCCTCCATCTCCTCCGAGCGGATGATTATCCTCTGTACCATGCAGCAAGCGCTGACAGTAAACCAGTGAGTACAAACTCAGAGGACAGGAAAGAGGCAGGCGAGTTACACCGGTAGGAGTATTTCAAGAGTGCGTGATGTTGTTGCAGACTTCAGTGAATGTAGTTTGCATGGATAAGCAGAGATTAAATAGATTGAGGAAATTTGTTCTGAGGAAGTGTGAGAGTGTACCAGCGATGTGCGTCATGTTCATGCTCTATAACGAGGAGAGGGGGAGGACCCAAATGGAGATGAAGAGGATTTCTACATAAAATGACAGAAAGCTGAGGGGAAAAAAGGCTTTAGGAAAACTGATTTGGAAATGAAATGCCAAATTAAAAGTCCAACAATAACATAAGACTAGAAACCACAGATTAGAAATTCTGATACAGCAGATTGGCACAAAGTCCTGACAAATGTCTGCTAACTACAACCAGTACTCTGCATACTACCATCTCATTTGACAAAGAGTATCACTGTTTACAGCAAACTTATACGCACCATCTCTCTTTAATGTAACTTTTTGTTATCTTACATACTATTCTTATTGTTGTCGGCCTGAAAGCACAATCATTTGTTGTGTCTAAACTGTAGTGCAACCAGCAACCTATAGAAGAAGCTGCGTCAACTGCCATAACTGTCAAGGAGAGGAAGTGTTGTCCTGATATCGAACTGTTGGCAGTTGCTCTTCAGCCATATTACGTTCCAGTGGAGTTCAGTTATCATAACAATACTTGTATACATCCCACCCAAGGCAACGGCTGAAGTTCCATGTGATGTTCTCCATGAAACAATCGCTAGGATACAAACTCAACATGGTGACAAACTGGTGAAAAAAGCTGGCGCTGGGGCTGGAGTCAAGTTGGACTTACTGGAGGATGTGGTGGAGAGATGAAAACTAGGAAAGGTGGAGGCTATTCTAAAAAAAAACATGGACCATCAACTTGATAACACCTTCATGGACCAAAAAACAACAGTGGTGGGCAGCTCCTTTCTCTTCGCTGCATGACAGAGAGATTCAGAAGATCTTTTTGTACCCACAACCAACAGACTTGTGATGTTTATGGGTCGTATACACCAATTTACATCACATTCACACACCACTGGGTGCAGCCAGCAAGGACAGGTGGAGTCATGTGGACAACTTAACCCAGAACCAAACCCCCAAACCTTCTGATTGGGAGATAACCAGAATCCAGGAAAAGGCGTCCAAACCACCAACTATGAACAGCACGATACTAACAAAAGAAGGTTCACACATGAGGATGTGAGACTTGCAGAAACCTAGTTTGTCTGAGTGAGTAATATGAAAACTGTAGCTTCTTCATGTTATGATCCACAGTGTGAAAAGCTCTACATTACAGCAGGACTTAATCCCCCTCTCTCTCTTCTTGATTGCATTAAAAATACTGTGCTGCTGTCTATTCGGTTGATTTAAAGGCTGTTTCCATGGAGACTAATTACCTTTAAATAGACGAATACTTGCAGCACAGTTTCAGAGAAACACAAACAATGACAGGCAGGGAGAAAGACATATAGATGAACCTCTCCGTTCTCATCACATATTCATTAGATGCGGTTCATTGTTCACACCTCGGGTCCGGTCTCTGTTTCCAATCGGTAATGATTGAAGCGCAGCATCATACCTCGGAGCATTATGTCCTGTAATGAGATTCCTCTCCCTCAGCGGACCTCCCTAATCCCACCTCTCTATCTATCTGTGCCTTCATGGGTCTTTCAAAACAGCTGAGCCAGGCAGAACATGGACGCCCTACATGAAATTCAGTGTTCACCCTGTCATCCTGAATAACAGCTAGACAATGGAGCTGTAATGAAATGGATGCTACGCCTATTACCGAACATGTTAATCCTCTTAACAAGTTAAAAAAGGTCTTCATGACGTGTGGGAGAGAAGAAGAGGAGGGTAACAGCTTTGCAGGAGTGAGCGGAGGGACTGAGAAATGAAGTTCAAGTGAAACAAAAGCAGCGGGTTCTCATATTCATTAACCTTAGATTCTGTTTAGGGAATAAACTGAGAAAGAAGGATCCCCATGTAGGTGAGACTGTCGTTAATTACAGAGTGTAACTTCAGGATTCATTGATGCAATGTATTACCAACAAACAGACACTTTTGGTTTACCTTTTCATGGATCTGCAGGATATTTTTTGACATTTCTGCAAATTCAGAGTCTGCAAAGATGATGTAAGAAAAGTTGCGAGCCCGGCTGTAACCGGAGTGTTTAGAGAGACTGCCAGAATCATTAACCGGATTTTCCCCAGACCAGTATTTGGCTGACATCTGTAACCCAGGCAGTGCAAGCTTCTGAGGCTCCTCGTAAAAGTACGTCTTCAGAGAATGGCCTTTAGTGCCGCGGAGAACCTCTTCAGAGGGAAAGTTTAGTAACTCACTTTGATACCGCCTCATGAAAGGGAGGATTTGAAGCAAGGAAAGCACAGCGCATTGAGCAGACCATCAGCATCAATAGGGTCGATATTATAGCAGCGAACAGAACCGTGAATGTCAGAGTACTGAGTGGTGAATTTGTCAAGGAGAAAAATTGGAGGTCTGCTGTGGATTGTAGCGATGGCGTGCCAAGAAAGAGCAGCAGAGATATAAAAAGCTAGACTCACCTGTCTTTTCCCGTCTCCTTTTTGAAGACCATGTCACAGTAGTTCATTCTGTCTTCTGTCGTGACGTAGATGCGTGCCTGAGGGTAGTTCTCAGCCGCCTGTCGCAGCATGTTGTAAACAATCCCCTTCCCGTCCTTCCTCATGTTTCGTAGCGGCCCCCAAACAACGTAAACGGTGTCGTTACCTTGCCCGAAGAAGTACTGGGGCTTCTGCAGCAGCAGGGGGACGCTGGTGTGCGAGACGACTCTCAGCGTGGTTCGCTTACCCACGTCGCCTTCAAAGCCACGTGTGGGCGCGTTGTTCATTCGCCAGATGCAGGGAGAGCGGTCGATCTGCGGACCGGCTGCTTGGCCTAACATTTGGCCGGAGCTGGAAACGATGCTGCAGATCTCACAGTGCAGCTTCAGAGGCTGAAAGAGGGGAATAAAGTCGGTTACAACGATGAATTTTTAATTTACGGCTTATTATAATTGCTTAAGCCAATGTGAGGAATTTGTGTCTGGTAATAAAACCGTCTTAAATTAACAATGATGTCTCTTTATGGTGTTAAGAAAGCAAACAAGACCATCAACGACGAGACGGATGATTTCTTTATATGTTTGCCTGAAACCACCGTGAAGAGGCAGGTGTCAGACGAGACAAATTACAACACGCTGCAGAGAAAGACTTTTAGACTTTTTCCCTACAGCAAGTATTCACAGCGAGATATTTGTTTGCTGAAAGACAGCACCGTTAGACCTTCTGTCTCATGCTATTTATGCAAGTACAGAACAAAACCAGCAAAGAGAAAGGAGGTTTTTTTAACCAGCACTTGGTTTGGTTCTTAAGATGATGATGCTGATGCTGTAATAGGTTTTCATGTTGATGGTGATCCATTGTTAGTCATTGTGGTGATGATGATGGACTAATACACATAAAAACACACTGTGAAATGCCTTTTAGGAGGACTGCCTGACAGCACTATGTACATAAAACAGTTTGTTGCTCTAACTCACGGAGTTTCCTTCTGTCTGGATCTTTGCTTGTGTTGCAGTTCCTCTCAAATATACATCACTTTAGGACAAAAGCATCTGCTGAATGAAATTCTAGCTCTGTACACCACTAACTTTATCATGCTGACTCCTAATAGTCAAATTTATTGTAATTACGAGTATTTTATGTGGAAATAGTATAAACAGAGCTTTATTTACAGCTGCTCAGCTGACACCTACAGCAGTTTCCATCTTTCAAATTAGGACATAAAAATCCTCAGTCGTGTAACTGATGGTCTTGTACACTATTGGATATCATGAAAAGGCTTCAATATGAATTTCAGTCTGTGTTACAGATGTCAGAAAATCCCTTATAGTAGCTTTAATTCAAACTCATTACAAACAACCCTGTGTTATGTTAAGGCTTGTTAATTATTCAAGACAATCCTGAGAAGTTTCTGTTCAGGCTTCCACTGAGAGAGACGAATCAAATAAACGAAAGACAAGCCTCAGGAAAATTAAAACAAGTCTCAGGTTTTCAGTCTTTTAAAGTCAGGTCCCAAAATAAGCATGGTGCTACTTCAGACAGGCCACTAAGTCCACAGTATATTAGCTGATCTTAACCCCATCTTAGTCACCTACTTTGAACCCGAGTTGGCTAATGTCAATTGAGTTTTTCTACTTTAACCGTTTCACCTGCCTCCTCCTCCTGCTTCCTCTGTAAACTGCTTTATAACCCGCCTCCACCTCAGACCCTCCTTTTTATGCTCTGTCTCATTTTACCTGTGTCATATATATGGGTTGTCATCGATACCGGCTCTGATCTGTGCCCTAACCTTGCCCTAGCTTTTCATGTATGCCACAAACACCCATGAAAGAGCAGAGAGCACTCATGTTGCATACATAAAGAACATTTTAATCATTGATGGGATTCATATATCTGCTCTTTTAACCCCTGCAGAACTGTATAACTTTGTTTTTTCACAGATGCATAATCATTTGTTCTCAAGTACAGAAAAAATATAACTTGAAATATTCATATGCATCTCAGAGAAGCAAAAACATCCAACAGATTTATTAATTTCTCAAAATGTAGGGGTTTTATTAAGACCTTATCCGGTTAAATGAACCAAAGACGGCTTCAAAGTAAATCTGACTCTTGTCTTTTGATTAAACTTCATTTCATTTTAATCTAATTAGGTCAGTCATTCAATAATGGATGATAACATCTGCATCTGTTTTGGTTCATTTCCATTTAATGTGACTGTTAGTGTTACACTTACTGCTGTCTTTCTGCAATAATAATAATAAAGTGAAGTTTTGGCAAAGAGGCTTATGTGATCACAGCCTAAAATAAAACACTTTTTATTATTTATTCAAACCCTTCATCAGGGCTTAATAGCTCTACATAACCTCTTATTTTCAGAGATTAATGTCACTGAGCTCAGAACTCGCATTGATTAGGTTAATTGAATGTGAGACCTCAGAGGTTATAACAATCTTAGAGCTACAATGCAGAGAGGAAAAGCTGGGGACTTGTGTCATTTATCACACCGTATACTTCTTATATATCTTATTCTACTTTACTGGAGCAAGGGGATTTGTAATAAATCTTCAATAATAGCTCTTAGCTACGCTTTGCTGGGGGAGGAAGAAAGCCTTCTGTGAATTTGAAATGGGAGATTTACCTAATTGAAGCTAATATGCTTGGTTTGTTTTGATGAGATTAAACTTACTTAAGTGAATGAATGCAAGAGAAAGTTCGAAAAGAGAAACCATTGTCTCATGTCTAAGCCCTGTTGGATCATTTGCTTAATGGAGAGTAAACGTAATGTCATCGCTTTGAATACAGATTGCATTTGTGCTGCGTTCAGGGGGCCGGTTTGGGCAGGGAATGTGAAACTCTCTCTTGCATATTATGGGTTTAATCAACAAATGAGGGAGTTTTAGTGTGCAAACAGAATCCTGCGACTAGATCTGGTCAATTTTATCACTGCTATTTGGCTTATCAGCATTCATATGACTCACAGAGAATCAGCTGCTTGGAAAGGGAAACAAAATAGGGTGGAGTTTCTTTACTCTTGCTGGGACGGACTCCAACCCAGCTACCTGCTACTTCCTGTCCTCCCCATGTATGGGTTCAATCACGGGTTAAGAAATGATCTCTTGGTCTGGGCTCTGCATGTACAGGGTGATTGAGACACACATCAGCATGACCTCGAGCTGTCAACAGCTCGTTCATCATCTGCCGCCTCCTTCAGCCCGGCTCATAACTCCATCACGCCTTTGAGCGCTCTCAGACTGGGCTGAGCTCCGCGGGGAGCTCGGCTAACTACATGTATGACACATGGGAAACCAAGCAGCCCCTGAGCAAGGCATTTACAGCGCCTGACTTCGGTCGCACTTGAGTGTTTGGTGCTTTATCAAGAGGGCAGAAATGGAGGTGACTTTAAAAGCAATAACAGACCTCTGTGCAGTCTTAAACATAAAACTTAACAATGAACATTATTAGCCTCTATGAACGCTGATCAGATTAATATGCATTAATAAAGCAGAGTGTGAAACCTCTGGAAAAAAAAACAACCAGAGCGTTTGATTTTCTGCAAACTGGACTGAAATCCCACCGCCAACAAATCTCTGAAGATTACGCCCTGTATATCAATAAAACGTTATGGCCTCTTCCGTCCCCCCCAGCAGTGATTCATGTTTCAGTTTCATGTCCATGACAGTACCGATCCAGCGCTGCATGCAGTAATCTCAAACAGAGTGCACTTTATAATCCCAATAAATTTGGCGGTCTCTGATAAGTACAAAATCTACTCAGCCTCAGATTTTAATGGGAGAGTGTTAAAAATAGAGTGGGTTATTAAAAAAAAAAAAGAGAGAGCAAGCTTACTGCCGGGAACACGGTCATTAAATTACAGCACTGGGGTGTGAACCTAACCTTGACATTCATTAAAATGCTCTAAATACGATAAATTAATCTGAAATAATTATTACATGAACATGCCAAGTCCCAGTGTAAGACATCTCCATAGCACTCAAATATTCATTGATTAGCTGGAGCTGTCTGCATGGGAGAAACTCATTCATTCATTCATTCATTCTGGGTATTTCTCTCAGGGCGTTTATTATACAGCAGATCTGTTCTTCCTGAAAAGATTTGCAAAGAGGCACGACTCAAAATGAATAAAACTAAACCATAAGATGCAGCTTTTCTTTATTTCTTCTCTTTTATTCATTAAGTTTTGGGTGTGGCATTACACATGTGTATAGAAAAAACAGAACTTGTTGAGGTTTACTTGTGTTTTATTACTTATTCTGGAAGTTGAGTCAGCTCACTTTAGCACTCGCCCAGCCTGTACAATACTAAAAAAAAATACAGCAGATGTGTAACAATCAGTCGGCTTAATCAGTCAACTTTTAAAAGGGGTGGTATCACGCTTTTTCATGTTAACAACAGAAAATGCAGTTATAAAGTTTGGTGTCTATACTGGATGTATGCAAAGATTAAAATCACGATGTCAATGCATGTTGTCATAATCTCAGAAAATAGACGTCTCTGACGTAGGACAGTGTCTTAAAGGGACATGAGACCATAGCCTACCTACACACATCCAAAACAAACTTTTATTTTATTTTATTTTTTGACACTGAATACACCGATATGGGCAAAATGACGTTGGTTATTGACATAAATTTTGTTGTCGGTAAATTTTCGTTATATCGCCCAGCCCTATCAAGAAAAAGTTTATAAATCTTCATTGTTTATCAAATTGAAAAAAAAAAAAACAAATATTTAAGATTTAAGATATTTATTCACTATAACAATGACATTTTCCACTAGTCTGCTGAACCCTTTCAAACAGACACAGATTATGAAAACATTAGGCATTAAACTAACATTTCAGTTATACTTTAAAACCTGCTGTGTTGCTAAGGCCTCTCATTTTCTTCTTGCAGACTTTAAGGACGACAAGGTCAAACAAAACATAAAAGCTGAGACAAACCCTGGACCACATCCATTTCTTCTTTTCTGTGTTTGTTTGCTTCCTTAAATAACTTCACACACACACACACAAACACACACTCAGAGACATATGTAAATACCCCTGCGGATAATTTTTGATTTATGATTCTGAGTTTTAAAAAAAAAAACACGTTTGACTTTACTTGATGAACAGACAGCTGGTGCAACATGCTCCAGAAGATTTCTCATCAAAATTATTCACAAAGCAATCCAACACTCGAAGCGCTCCGTCTTTGTTGGCTACTGTGTGGATTTCAAAGGGCATGAATTCAAAATGCGCAGGTTTTGAATGAAAACACTGAGGCCCTCTATGCCTCCGTTGATAGACCCAGGGCATGAATGTAAAGTGCTGCAAGACTAATGTTTTCTATTTCTCCTGAAAAGCAGAGCGGGAACAATTTATCACACCTGAAGGCAGACTCAATCAAATGAGGAAAATAAGGCAGACTATTCCTGGGCTACGGGGTTATGCATTAAACATGCTCGCAAGAGGTTTATAACAACCAAAGTGACACTTCATGGCGGGTTTTGTAAGAGCACCTCACAGTCCAGGAGCGAGACCGCTGTTTCTTTCGGTGACGCTAGTGATTAACAGAGGCTGGCAGCTCATACAGAAGCCTCTTACTCTGGACATAATCTTTGGTGACACTTGGCACAAGGGTGTCATCTTGATCAGACGTCCACAATTCAGACCGTGTCACTCAGAAATGTCAAAATCATGCAGACTCAGACTCGGGCCAACCACTGCCCCTTCTGATCCGCAATAGAGAACTCACTGGTGGGGGAATTAGAGCTGAGAAGAGGCCTAATTCTGTAGAAGCTGCCAGTTTTTCCTCTGATTTGCATAAATCTCCACAGGGAGAGGGCAGTGATTTAGGCAGGCTTGTCTGGAGGCAGAAGGAGGTGCAGACGTAGAGATTGGTGTAAGACATGATTGCCTCTGGGCCCATGTTGTGCGGATGAAACCCTCCGGAGGCAGAGGATGACGCTCTGCATTAATCTGCCTGATATCGGCCTGCTGAATATAAGGCATCCACTTCTCATGAAGGACCAACGCATCGAAATCTAGATGTATTGCAACAGAGACTGAAAGCACAATCCTCATTAGCCTGTCAGACGGATATGTGACGTGCCCCTCCTGCAAGCAAATATAAGACTTTCTTGCTTGACTACCCGGTCTGCAGCGGCATGAGCAGCTTCTATTTTCCAGCTGCCTTTCAACAAACAACAAACACACAACCTTTTTTTAATTTCGGATGTGGTGGGAATTAAAAGGCTTTGATATTTCAATTTCCATAAATTGTGCGGGGAATATACAGCGCAGAGCTGTTTGAAGGCAGAAAAATAGGATCACGGACATGGGTGTTTGGAATTACAAAGAAATAATGCACGAGAGAGTTCAAACAGGCATTTTTAGGTCCATCACAGAGAACCTAATTTAATGAAGGAAGAAACTCCTCCAGGAGGCGCTGCACTTTTTGCTTGAACGCATCTGAAGACACCTTAATTATCAAGGAGAGGCTGAGTGATGGCAGGTTAATGTTAATGCAGGGGTTATGGAATATGAATGCGCCATTAAAAAAAAGGTTAACTGTGCATGATGTAAGTTACGACACTCACTCAGCAATATGACAAAAGCAGAAAGGTTCATTGTAAAACATTATATGCTAATGCTTTCATCCTAAGACTGCAAACTAATTTCATTTCAGAGTGAAGGTTTAAAGGTTAAATCCAGAACTTTCTGCATCTTCATTCAGGCGGTGCATGAAGTTCAGACTGTACAAAGCAGCAGATTTAAGCGTAGACCTCTGATTGGTCTCTCTAAGAGGGCAAACAGTTTACCTTAACCCCTGAACATTCAATCTTTTTCTTTATTTCTATCATTTGTACGAGTATTAAAATATGAAACACTCTGTTGATTTGTAAATCTGTCATTTGTCAAAATGTCCACTTAGACTGCGAGGTAACAGCGTCCATAACTGCCAATCAAACTCCATTCATTTACAACTGAACACCAAACTGTGTGTTTTTCTGCAATCTAACAGAAATCGCACGCTCACCATTGCATCAGTTTATTATTTGGCCACTTGGTGTGGTGCACAACAAACTTACTACATCACTGACACCTCATTAAGTTGATGTGGGGAGTTTGTTGCCAAGCACTGGCTGGAAATGCATCCAAATAAATAAAGAATAAGACTGGCTTTCATTAGGAGATGTTTTTCTAGCCACCTCATGAATACTGAACAAGAGTCCGCGCCGCTTTCAGCTCCATTTTGCAAATGATCTCACACGTCTTGGCAGCTCAACGCTCTGCTGTGTTTACCTGATAGTTGCTTTGTAACTTTATCAGCCATTTAGTGTTGAGTTAAAGTAGTTAAGCTTAAGAGTTTCCAAACAAAAAATAATTAGCTGCTTTAATGCCGAGTTAGGGAATAATTCTCTGGTTATTGGGCACGAAATGGTACTTAAGAAGCTGTTTATTCCAGTACAGGTATAAGGATATTGATGAAACGAATAGCCGGTTAAGCTCAGTCAGATGCTATCAAGTGTTAATAAACGAAGAAAGAACTCATTTCAACTCCACTTAAACATCTAGAAGCAGGAAACACTAAACAATTTATTAGAAAGTTAAGTTTCTGCTTTGGTTCTCCGACTGTGTGTGTTTGCTCTCGTGTAGCTCACCTCTTGTTTGGGGATGCTAACGTAGCCCAGGTGAGGCTTGAAGGCTTTGTACGGCGGCTTGGAAAACATCCAGTGGCTGCTGAACGTCTGGCCGAACACGGGCTGCAGGAGGAAGTACGGCTTCTCCGAGTAGTTCACCACAACCACGAAGAGAGACACCACCACGATCAGACTGGTGGCAATCACCGACTTCCTCTGTGGAGGGAGAGAGAGAGTGCGTTTAAGAGACAAAGGGAATTACATGTATGTGGCAAACTACTTAACATTCAAGAGTACATAGTTTAAAGACGTCTTGTAGTCTCAGGATAAAACGCACAGACTGAGATTGTAATTCACATCGTCAAGACTAAAATACACGCTTGGGCTACGTAACCATTTCTCAGCGCATTACTTCAAAAGAGCATCCCTTTGAATACAATCTGTAAAAGATAGATGAGGATCCACAAAAGTGTATCTCACTTGAGTTACTTAGATATTGTCTGACCAGTGAGACGAGGAGACAAGAGCAAAGTGAGAGGACGCCTCTGAAGTAGCAGAGTGCCTTTGGAAAGTCTCCTATAAGATCACTCTGTTTCTGATTCAACACAGATGGCTCACGGTAACCTTCTTCTTCTCTTCAGATGTGTCGAGTATGAGAGGATCTCTCTGAAGTCCTCGGTCTTTACCGAGACAAACTCTTCATCTCTGCTCATCGACATATACTCCCCTTTTTCATAATTTTATTGACTCATAACACTTGAGGAAAGCCGAGAAGGCATGAAGAGTTAGTTTCACTTTCAGAGGAAGCCAAAAGCGAGGCAGTTATTGCATGTTGAGTCTAAGAGGTCACAACAGCTTTTGGATTTTAACTCTTGCCAAGAAATCGTATACTGAGTGTACGATCCTCAGAAGATGATCCAGCATAAGTTGGGGATCCTCTCACTTTTAATCCTTACTCTTGTAGTTTCTTTACAACATCGCTCTGTCGCTAAAAACCTATAATACTGGAGGGCAATCAAGAGCACAGACCACAGCAGCCAAGAGTCCAGTTTTTAATGATAATCAAAACTGCAAGAAAAAGAGTGCAATTCAGCTAATATTGGCCTGAGCTAGGACTGGGTGATTATATGATCGTGATCGATGATCATGATAAACTTCAGTTCGATCACGGGCTTCAACTTCCACAAGTTTCGTCAAACAACGCCTACAACTGAGGTTAAGTGCTGTGATGTTCCGTCTGTTGTAAACTTGTATTATTAGAGCCTCAGTCTGAACAGATCTACAAATATATAGATTGCTTTTTTTAAACAAAAAAATGTGTCCTGATCTTTATCCGTCATCTTTGTAGCTTCTTATCAATCAGACAGCTGTGTAATCATCACAGTTTGTCAGACAGTTTAGGTCTAATTGACTTCAAGTTTTCTTTGATTGACACCTGATACAGCCTATTGGCGTTCAGGGATTCCGTAGCTCACCCGGGGGATACGTTGTTTGAGCAGAGCGTCATCACAGCGACTCTCCAGCCGAATGCACACAACGCTACTGCACAACGCTACTGCACAACGCTACTGCGCAGCGCTGGTTTCAGGCAATGAAGAAAAATCCCGGAAATACCGAGAGCTTTTCGGCTTCAAATCTGTATACAGGCGGGAGGCTGAACCAAGTTGTCCATAGTATATACAGTCTATGGTTGTAAGTTGCACACCCTTACACATGATAACAATATATGAGTTTTCCTACCCTGAGTGGCACAGCGGAAAAGGACAGCATCCTGGGGAATATGGTCTATTTTAGCATTTAGCTTGAAACAGCTCCAAAACATCATGAATCCACCAGCATGACTAAAGACTCATTGTCTTGTTTTGTCAAAGTCAGAGGCCTGGGGACCTTGTCCTCCATTCACTCCATATTGTTATCTGCTTTTCTTATTCAGCATTTGTGCCAGAAAATCATGCTGGGCTGTCATTGTTTCATACATTGTAAAACAGCAAAATGATCGTCTGGAGTTAGGAGGTATTACAGCTTGGCAGCGGGAGCGAGGACTGATGAATAATGGATAGGAGAAGCAGGACAAGGAAAGGTCTCGCAGAGGAGAAGCTATTGGCGAGCTGCAGATCAATGCACAGAAGAGAGAAAGAATCAGACAGAGATGAAAAACTCGGTGTTGTGATACAACTTCTCTGAGCCTGAGGTGATGATAGATTTCAGCGAGTCTGAGCTGATTTTTTTTTCTCTCCCTGGAAACTTCAATAACATGCTGCTAATCTAACATACAACACCAGTGGGAAACTCCTGAGCTTTTTTGGGAAGGTGATGTTTGGCGGATGCTTTGAAGTTATCTGATGGTGAGAAGATTGGATGTGGCACGCGGTAATGGTGAAGCCCCCGCCGCCAAAGTGCCTGCACCACTATACGCTCTGATCTCCGACATCAAACGTCCCAAGGGAGGCACCGCGGGCTTCGCTTCCCAGAGACAAGATCAAACATGTGCGGGGTGAGGGGGCTGGATGAAAAGACGGTGACCATTCGCTGCCCCGACAAGCCTATCGCATTTTACTGATTGCACGCGTGTTACATCACACATCGTTTCATGGAATTACCGCCCATCTTTGATCACAAACAGAGGGGTCCCCACTTTGATCACACTGGAAACAGCACAGAGAGGACAAATGGGAAATCTTGATAGCCACTCTCCGACTTTTTCTTTACAAAATAATAGATATCTCTTTTCAGAGGAGACTGTCAGTGCGCTGTCATCTCAGGAGGAAAAAAAACGGCGCCTCGTTTTCGGAAAATGTGCTGTAATAGCTTGTCATCATGAGTCCATTAAGTCGCATGGAGCCAATTCTTCATGAAGCAAGAGTGTTCTTCAGGTATGGAAAGGAAAAAGAAAAACAGACGTCGGCTCAGTCTGCGACGCAACAACATCCATCTGTTCTCATGAGGCCTGAAAATTTCTGTGTCTCCTTCAACCTCAATCTGGCCACAAATCACAGAGGAAATGATGTGTCAAAGTCTGGAGGCGATTCTACTCCTTGGCGTGGGTGTAGCGGCGCGCTGAAGCTCCACCAACCCGACTGCAGGACTCATGACTCTTCTTCTCCTCCTCGCTCGCTCATCCATCAGGGTGATCACTGGTCGGCCTGTTGAGCCGCTTGACAGAGGAGCTGAAAGCCTGGAAGTTGAGGAGGGAGCACTGTAAGGGGATTTGGGGGCCATTAAGAGCAGCCATGAGGCAGCAGATTGGCTATAAAGTTTCAGCGTTAAAGCTTTCGGTCAATGTTAAAAGATTTTACTCCAGGAATATGACTCCATATGTGTGTGCTCTGACCTTGTTTGTGATGACCAGATCAGACGACGACGGCGGCCATTAAACGCAGAGGCACTTATGTTCTTAGTGCTGGGACGTTTCATTTAACATCCCCACACTGAAAGCATAGAAGGGGCTTTTTTTTAAGGTGTTAAAATCTAGTATGGAGGGATATTGATCTCAATGTGCAGACTGTGGGATTGTTGGTACCCGAGACACAAGAGAGCTGTGATTTTCCCTCAGCTTCTCCTGCAGTGAGGCTGTGTGACCAGATTACAAGAACAGGGCAAACTAGCCCAATGTTATTGATGGGCAGCTTGTCAGGTTGTAGTGATCACCCAATTGAAAAGTCAATTGTGCAGAAATAAACCAATAGTCATTGGGAGAGCAGAAATAAGGACTCTCACTTACCAAACAAGGGCTTCCACTTTATCAGACATTCAGACTTTGGATAATTTTAGCACAAAAAACAAATAATCTCGACATTCTCTCAATAGCATAGCAACAAAACTAGATGTCCCAGATACCTCTAATTACAAATTTCAAGTTTTGAATGTCCTGTGAGTCTGTAAATTACCACTTAAAGTAAGACCCTGTGTGTTTAATATGTATTTTCAGATCTAGTTAAAACCAGAATTTCTGAAAAGTTTGGTTGCTGCGTTATGACAGATTTAGATGGTTTGGAAATCATTTACATTCTACTTTTAATTATAAATAGTTCACATATAACATGTTAAATGTTGCAGCTGAAAAAGTGATTCTTATTGTGTTCGAATTTGATGCAAGCACCATGTAAATAAAGTCTAGGCAGGAACAACTGAACCCTGACAAACTTGCTAAAAAACACATGAAGAAGAAGAAGTAAAGATAAACTAATGTTCACCACCCTGTGAGAGACTGCGTGAGTAAACAGTTCAACAATAACACTGCTCAGTATAAAATTGAGAATAATTTGGTGACTACATCAACTACAAACAAATCTCTTTAAAAAGAACAAGACCCCTAATCTTTAAGTGGGTGGCTGTGATCTTTGGGCCCTCAGGTGGCTCATAGCTCTGTAGTGGTCACCACAGCATGGGCTCAAAACTATCGTCTGTGAACACAGTTTGTTGCTGCATCCACAGTCTATGGTCCTGACATGTCATTTAACTTCAACACTCAAAAAAACTGGTCTCCTCTTTTTCCAAACATTCACATAAGTGTTAAAAGGATTAGCGTACTATGAAGCTATTAAATTCTTTTTAAATTATCGTTTTACTCAATGTCCCAGTGTATTTGGAAGTGAGGTTTATTATGTTGCTCTGTCCAGGACATCTCAAGCTGCACATCATTAGGCAGCCCTGTAAGTGTATTTAGTGTTCAAGTGTTCTTAGTGAAAACACAGCAGCACCTGGGTCATATTGCCATCTCTCCCCTCAGCCTGCCTGTAACAGGCTGTCCCTCTCCTCTGTTTGTCTGCAGTAGATGCAAATGTAACTCTTGCGTCTTTAAGAGATGCCTAAAAGTCTTGACAAACACCAGTATTTGCTGACTTAAATCTCAGCAGTCTGTGTCTAGAGCTGTAGGGGTGATGGCAGAGAGGTGTGAGGACGAATGGCTGCACTGACAACAATCCTACATCTGCCGACATATTAGAGCAAATCTTTGGTTGTGTTTGTAAGTTTTTCAGAGCAGAACCGCAGTGAAACAATGATCGTCATTCACTCATCATAAAATTATGTCTCATCTGTTTCTTTGCTTTATTGTCTCTAGTGGTGCTTGAACTGATGTCTTTTTCTCCATGAATTTTATACAGTACTTTTTACTGCCTGAAAACAGTGAGAGGGTAGGTGTCAGCAAAGCAGACAAAAAGCAGCTCTATTTGACATTTTCCACATAAAATACTCACAATAAATGATATGCTGGATTTTTAGTCATAAGACACAGCTTAATCATATAGAGGACAGAATAAACAAAGAACGCTTTATCCACAGGGGCAGTAACTTTGACTCATAATAAAAAGTTCCCCACATGAGCTTTGAGCTAATTATAAACCAAATTCAATTGTGCAGTAGAGGTTATTAGGCCTGCTGACAGAATACACATTACCTTTAAAACATACCACTCAATTGTCAAACAATGATTAATAATATTACCTGCATGCAAAGTATGCAGCTTTAATTGAACAACAAGAAAATACCAGTCACTGGTTTGGTCATGCACAGTAAGAGTGTGATAATAGGCCGACCTGCTGTACCGACAGACAGAAAGAGAGGTAGAGAGTGACAGATAAAGAAGAAAACAAAGTAAACAGAGACCCCTATTCAAATATTTTCTATAAGTTCTGTTCAGGCTGACATTAATCTTACTGAATGTCGATTAGCGTTGATGGTAATGGTTGGTAATGGATGGTTTAAGTCTGAAAAGATGTTGTTTAATATTGCTTTTTAAACGTCAGAGTCCTCACCACCTTTCCGTCACTCACTGCGGTGTAAACTTCTTCAACCTTCATCCTGATCAACTTCAGTTAACGTCTGAGCGGCTGTGCTTATATGTATTTTATGTGTCACCGGGTTTATCAGTGAATGTGTCATGACCTGAGCAGCTACTTTAGAATCAGCATAAGGATGTTAATGTTTTTTCTCAGTATCGACATTACAAGAATAAATGTCTAAAGAATACTTTCCCTATCAATCACGACAGCAATCCTCCTACTTAATAGGCAATTCATTTGTATATTACACAATATATCAACATGTGGTCCTCAGCCGCTTCTGTGATGAACAAAACCTCAAAGCACATTAGCTGGATATATATTGTGCAATCAAAATTTCAACTCAATCAGGCTCTATCAGGGCATGAAGAGAATACAATTTCCCATAAAGACTAACTCTGGCTCAGTAAACAACAGGACTAAACGGCAGTTCAATCTAAAAAGCCAAACGTGATGGGTGTTGGAATAATGAGAGACTCAACCTGAAGAAAACGGCTCATGAAAAAACATATCTGCTAGCTATTTTCTGGTGCCTCCTGGGCAATGAGCAAAAAACAGAAAATTACATTTGCAATGCAAAAACACCGCCTCCCTGGCACCTGATTCTTGCCACCACGGTCCGCTGAGCAGTTAAAATCCAATTTCAATTAAGGCGTTTCAGAAAATATTTACTGAGTGTTTCTCCCAAGCCACAGGCTCCTCTCCCTTTAAGCCACTGTGTTGGTCTTAGGAGGAATGAGGTTAGAGCATAAACAAAAACCACTCTGGAGATTAACAGTGGAGGCTGGACACATATCTTAATTCATGTCAGATTCCCAGCAAAGGTCTTGCTTCAAAAGTCATCCAAGTACAAGATAAGAAACTATTCTGTTCCCGGCAGGAGGAGGAAGAGGAGGGGGAGGGGGAGGAGGAGGCTGAATTTCTGCCGCTGGCATGCACAAGTTCCCCTCCAAAGTTCACCCACAGTCGTACTGACAGCCACAATAACTGTGGGACAGAATTTATACAATTTGTAGATGTGATGCGCATATATTTTTTACAACATGGAGTGGGCGCTATGATTTGAAATTCATGACTTCTAGATTTTTTTTTTTTTTTTTTGGATGGGGGGGGGGGGGGTCTTTTATGCAGTGACTGTATTATAATATCGTATAGAAAATGCAGGATCACACATGGTAATACTTTTTCACTCCATAACCCTTCACTTCCACTTAAACATGCCAATAATGCAAAGAGGAAAGTTGGTTTTAAAACTATTGTGCTTTCATAATTCAGTGCAATAGTCTCTTACAGAAGCATACTACATTCACTTGTGAGGAAAAAGAAAGTTTTGCTAAATTTAATGAGAAAGCCTAATTCTGTCAGGATTATGAAATATCTTTTTGGTAACTAAAAATTCAGCCCTGTTCTCTTGAATTATCGGAGAAATATCTCTACTATAGGAGGAAATTTCATGAATAAAAAAGATCTACAGTGTTTTTAACCTCATTTACTCAGAAAAAAGGCAGATTCAGTCAGGCTTCCGTAGTCTCTGACTGAATGTATGTTTAACTGTTTCTCTGTTTGTATTGTGTTTTGTTTTTTAGTTTCTGCTGAAACATGTCAGGAACAGATGTTTAAGAATGACGGTATTTCAACAACAAAACATTAAGGGACTTTTATTTTTGAACGAACTGAGCCGTTAAACTGCGATTTAGCGACGATTGTCAGTAGTTAAAATCGCTTCGTTAACCATGAGTAAAAGCTACAGCCCGTTTATTTTCGTCTTTTTGGACTCTTTACAACTGAGTTATCGACTGAAATACACTTTTGGGGAGGTAAACATATTTGAACGTCGATAAAAAACAATAATGTAAAGACTGCTAGCTTACCTGCCGGGTACTGTCGTCGTAAATCCTGACACGCGCTCCATCTCAAGGAGGGGGCGGGGCTTTTTGATTAGCGTGCTAACTGCGGCTCTGCACTGACCCGGATGGAGCTCGGTCGTTGTTGGTCACAAATTACTCCATTACACTATTTATTTTTTTTTTACCCGTTATTGTGACTACGGTTTGAATAAATCCACGTCGTGGTAGGGATATTAAAACCAGTACATCCCCAACCACCACAGTATGATCATAGACTGCAAATAGAATAATAAATAATAATAAAGATAATATTATAATATATATAAATAGATAATAATAATAAGAAATAATAATTAGTACATACAGTCTATGAGTATGGCTGACTTAATTCAGGAGCCAGCATGTCTGTTTTTTACGCATTTTTTTTTTTTTTAAGTTTGATTGCAAAAGTCTTGTACCCACATCTTTGTTAAGAAAAATCCCACTTATAGTTACTATAAGTAGAGGTACAGATACCACAAAATAAGTCCAGTCATCCGAAACTGTACTTAAGGACCACACACAAGTAAATTTAACATCCCACCATCATGACTTTCATCATTGTAGTTCATCAATAAACTGAAGCATTTTACTAATGCAAATAAAAAAATATTATGCCTGTATTCTATAGACAGCCAGAGAGAGAGAGAGGGGGCAATAAAGTACAAGCTGACTCTGCAGCTGTGTGAATGAAGAGCCAAACACCATTTCTCCTTTGGGAAGGTACAGGCTGCTGGTCCCTGCAGAGCCCAGCAGAGGGGGCAGTCAGCTCACACTGTACTCATGAGGCTCACAGATGGGAGCAGACGGCTCTGACTTCAGACTCAGAAAAGGACTGGTGGAGTACACTTGGCTAATGCCACCAAAGAAACCTGCCAAAACAGGTCCTTTCTGTTTGACAGACTTGCACAGTCTGAAACTGACAGACTTGGAAAGATGCTTCAGAGCAGTCACACAACAATCAAGATTCAACCTCTGAAAAGTGCAAAACAATCCACCTCTTTTATTCGCATTTTTCCAAAGAGTGCAAACCTCAGTTTCTGTTGCATACTGTGATTTCGCATGCAGGCAGATCCAAAAAGCTTTTTCATCTCTTAGACCTTAAATAAACTTTGCACGTATCACATTTCTTGTGCAGGATCCAGACATGAGATCAACTCCTGAAATTTTCCAGGAAATTCAGGGTAAGCTGCATGTGGGAATAATAAAGTTGAATGCAAACAGCTGGGAGTTGGCCTGACCTTGTCCTGGCAAAGTGTGCACAGGGGGAGCTGATGCATGGACTCAGTAGGTATTTTAGTTCTTCGACCACAAACCCTCTTTCCACATTGTCAAGTTGTTTTGTGCAGATCCAGAGACTCTTCTCATTTGTTTTCCGCCTTGAGTGATAATCTTATATTGCCTTGAGAAAAACAACAACAATAAAAGTCAGGGGAATTCAACACGAGCGAGCGAGAGGAGATGTTGATGATGTCTGTATCATGCAACCAGTGTGATCTGAAGCTGCCTGACGCTCTTTTCTGCTCCAAAGTTTGTCTTTTTTCTGCACTCATTCGATGATTCTAGGAATATGAAAACTTGCCCTGGAGGAATATGTGTGGAAAAACAACTTTTTGAAGAATTTGGGGCAAGCTGTCCTGAAAACATGGAAATGAAAAGGACTTTGGTGGCATAAACGCCCCGTGAATAGGGGGAAAACGGGGAGAAAAACAGACGGGCATTGATGGTTTCTTTCAGCTTTTTAGGGTTGTCAAGGCTTGGATGGTGCTTAAGATTTCTGTTTCATTTAATTTCAACAGCAGAGGCTAATGAACTGCTTAACACACACCTAATGCACTGGAATATAAAGTTTAACACTTCAGGATGATTTCCCTTTATGGCGGAAACTTTGAGTTGATTAGCCGGTCTGTCATTTTATAGATAATGAATTCAAGGTGTTCATAACAGCATGTTCATTTGAGATGTTCTCTGCAGCTCTACAGATGTGATGGTTTGTCACAATTTTTCCTTTTATAGAATAAAAAGTTGAATATATTTAGATACCACTACAGATGCTAACTTTTAAGGTCCCTCTCCTCTTGTATAGTGGAGTGTAGCGACTGCTTTCCTTTAACAAAAAAGGCAGCTGTGGTTTAGGTTCGCTTGCATCTGTGACTCGTTTGAATTATAGGTCCGATTTAAGTGTTAAAAAATGATTTATTGTTCAAAAAAAGGAAAAACACGTTGATCCAGGTCCAATTCCTTTGCCTTCAAATGAAAAAAGTGATATGCTGAAATGAGGTTAAAACAGGATGAGTGAAACTGTAAAAAACGATGAAAAACGGACAACAGAAAATGATCAGAGCTTACCAAACCAATGTCCGACTACACCGGTGAGACTGAAATAACCCGCCAGACATCCCAAAACCACACCCCTCCATCATATCCTAAACCTTGAAATCATATCCTAAACAAACATATTTTGTCTCCTACATGGAGAATCATTCTACATCCATGATCTCCAAAACTGACTGTGATTTCTGTGAGTGATTTTGAGCCTATGCAGTGATCTCCACGACAGAGTCATGACTGTTTTCAGTGTAGTGCTGTCTAAGGGTCCAAAGATCAGCCATCTATCATTGGTCTCAGGTCTTTTTCAGAATCTTTTAATGACATTTCATCCTGAACTATAATGTTTGTAATGATTCACATTCAGACCAGTATATACAATTATAGCTTAAATGTGATAAATTAATTAAATTTGTCAGGTTTCTATCCTGCTGAAGGTCCAGTAGCTGCGGGTGTGTTGATAAAAAAAGGTGATTATGCTCCCCTTGGAAATATTTAGTGCAATTAACTCAATCTAATGCATTCTAATGTAAACGATTACGACTGATGATGGGCAGTTTCAGCAGGTGTTTTAACATTATCAACAATTTCACAGGATTAAAAGTCCACCTGCCAGCCGGATTTATCTGTAACTCCGTAACAAAAAAAAAAAGGAATCAAAGATGAGGGATGAGGCTTTTCTATTCCACTCTATTTTCTATTTAAGGATTTGCTCCTTTTGGTTAAGGATGACTTAGGCAGGAGTTTCTGTAAGTAAGAGAATATGACGTGGGTCTGTGGGGAGGCTTTTAGTCTCCTGTGGCTCCTCTAAACTTGTTGTTTGGTGTTCCTTGGTCTTGATGCATGCGACTTCAGCTGCATCTCACTTATCAGCTGTGACATATGAAAAGAAAATCCTTCAATCCAGGTCAAATGAGCTCTAATCTGCTCAGCTGGCATGATACTGCATCATTATGGTACAGAGCATCACGGAGAATCTTAATCTGGACCCCCAAAAAAGACCGGGTTTGTTTTTCTGTGGCTGGGACTCTGCAGGGGGGGACAATCCTTCTAATATACCCACTTATCTTCTTCCTAAAGTGAAAACAACAACACTGCAAATCCCAGTCTTAATCAGTGAGTGTGGCAGTAAATGCGTAAGTGTGCACGCAGGCATGTGTGACATCTGCACACGTGTACTGCTCTGCGTGACAGCCACAGGGAAAGCAGTTGAAACCCATTTGACTAATGCATATCTGATATCAAATGGAACATAATCCCCACAAGTATAAAGGATTAAACACTCTACAATATTCACTCCCCCCCTCCCGTCTGGATCCTGCAAACTTTTGGGACGAGGGATAAAAAAAAAACACGGCACCATATGTTCATAGAAACAGCTCGGTGACGCTCTGTGCTCGGCTGCGTAGGATGATACCCGCTCACTTGAGAAAGAAAGTGAAGAATTCGTCAAAGGCAGAGCGGGGAAAAAAAAAAGAGAGACGGCTGCTCTCTGACAATCTGGGAAGCTCAAATCTGCGTGAGGAAGATGAGTCTAGCTGTCAGAAACAAAGCATATTGAGATTTTATGTTTGACTGCCAGTTATCCTGCTGCCATAAAGAGTCTCTGTGGCGTGGAGAGATTGACATCACTGTCATTGCTTCCTCTCAGCACTTTAAACAATTGCTCCTCCCTGGATAGACCTTTGGTTTTACTCTTTAACGCTCAGGTTAGTAATACACATTAACTCAGCAGCAGACGGGCTGAAAAAATGTGCAGCCGTATTCATCGAGAAATTTTCCAAACCGCGGTTATCTGACGTAACCTCAGCCTGAATATTCATGAAGTCTGAGCCTGCAATAATATGCAATAATAATAACCTGCGTGACTTCACCGTTTTGAATCACTCTTTCAGCTCTCGTAATGTCCTGAAACTTTTAAGACCTTTATTTTTTTAGGATTTTAGGTCTCCGTCTTAAAAATAGAGTCCTCTTTTTTTCTTGGATCTTGAAAACACTCAGTTTACCTTTTTATACGTCAATTCTTCACTTCACTTGAAGAGCTTTGGTTGATTTTAACACCTGAGTTCACTTGTAGCTAAAGATTTTTACATCATCATAAAAACTGAAGGATTCAAGCTTTTTTATATTTTATCACCTGCTGCAGATCAAACAAATCCTTCAGTCTTTTCAAGCTTTTATACAACATCCTAACATCCAGACTACGGCTTATCACTACAGCCTCTCTTTTGTCTCGCTCATTCCGTCCCTTGGCTTTTCAGACACATGTATATGCACACCTTCCTCCACCTGCTTCGCATCGATACAAGCTGCTTGTGATGAAGGTAAAGTGAGAGCTATTTGGGGAAAGGGGCAGAGTTTTCGCTCTGCTGTTAGAGAAGAGAGGGAGGATTCACTTGAAAACGAACTCAGAGGAAAAAACATGGACAATTTCAGACCTCTGTAACTGTCCTACATACTCTGTCGGGGACACACATCCAAGAAAAATCAATCCCAAAGTGCATCATCTCTGTATGGTCGAACTCAGTGCGTTAAATTATTGACGTAAACGTGTCCTCTTCCCCAAAACTAGGGGGTGATACAGGTCTTTTCAGCGGCGATGTTTCCAACCCCATACAACTGTCAACAACAACAGCAGGTCCATGCCAAAAGGCAGAAGTGGTTACAACTGCTGCTGGGCATTATCGAGTAAGAAGATGGAGCATCGTACGCCATTGTTTTTGTCGTATATGATGTACGCGCTACTTTTTCTGCAGGTGAGATGCACTCTACTCCTCTTCCCTGGTGTTTTTGTTCCAGGGTTAAGGGGGCGTGGTGCACATGCATTGTCCGTTCATACTTCGACTACACTGGTTACATGGTAGAGAAAATCGAATTCTTGATCAGAGTTCTCCGACTCTGATGATAGTGTTTATATGCACTTCAGTTGTCCAGTCTTAACCGGAGTAAAGCAATAATTCGGTTTTCTTGAGTGTCATGTAAACATACTGACTTTGAGATTTGACTTGGTGCTACTTCAGGCAGACTAACATTTTAACAAGTGTCCTGTTTTAGTCAGACTTATGGAATAAATCAGTTTTGCTATCATCATGTAAAGGTAGCGAATAATGACGAGCAGGAAGAGACAGAGGCAGATTGAATCGTCCCTCTTACAGTTTTTAATTGCCTCTACAGGTGCTGTTCAATCCCTCTTTATTGGTAAACGGGGACCAAACCTGTTCCCTCGGCTGTTTTATCCGAATGATCCATCATAGAGGATTATATTTAGAGGGACCGTCAAACCAAATGTCTGGAAGCGTACAGCCAATAAAGGGAAACGACTTCTGCCACTCTCTGGTGACAAGAGCCTCTCTAGCTGTATCCTGCTGTCCTATCTCAGTTTTTAAGAGCTGTCTCTTAAATTCGCAGATGGCTGACGGGCAGTAGAGACGGCACTGCAGGGCCAAGGACAAAGCTACTGTATCGTAATGAATCTGCTGCTCGCCATTCACCGCAGATGTCTGAACTTTTAGCCGGGACAGCGGACACTCAAGAGAAACTTTAAAAAACGATTAAAAGCAACAGCAAATACGACACGGAGCAGATGTCGCGCGCTCCACTTTGAATTTCCGTGGAGGACTTTGAAGAGAGGCAGCCATTATTCTTCCTGTGTCTTTGTGTTTGAAGGGCGAAGGCAGGGGGTAAGTCTGGATGTTGAGGAAAACATCGAGCAGAGAAAATCCATTTCAATTTGCCAAATGCCAGAGCGGGATTACTGACATTTAGCAACTGATATTTTCCCTGAAATTCAATAGTATCCCTGCACAGCGCTATAATAAAGCCTCCTCGCTTTGGTAGTGATTACACAAAGCTGGACTTCTCACATGGAGAAATATAGGTATATATGTCACCAACAAAACGCATCTGGGAATCTGAGAGGATTAGACATCATCAGCAGGACGAGGGCAACATACAGCGCTGCCAACGTCCTCCTCCACTCGACTAAACAGACGTCCAGCCTCTGCAGAGATTCCTCCTAAAGGTGTTATTTGTTTAGGAAAATGTGTCCGACAAGGAAGCGTCTCCTCAAGGCCGCCACAGTCAGAAAAGCTGCGGTGCAGGCTGAATTTTAAAGCAGCTGAGGAATGAAAGGAATTTGTCCTGTTTGTTGGCGTTCAGCCCTGAGAGAGAGAGAGAGAAAGAGGATGACGAAGGTGCTTTGAGGTCACAGATGCTTTGTTCTTCTTGCCAAGGTTGTTTACGTCTTCTTCGAATACTTTAACTTTGGGGAGATGCTTTTAAAATGAAGTCATCACTCAGTCTCTTCATCCAGCAAAGGAGGTAAAAAGGAGGAGGAGGAGGAGGAGGCGCAGTAAAAACAAACCTTCAAAGTGAGGCTGGAACGTCGAGAAAGTTTAAGAACTTTTTTCTGATTGTTTGAAGGCCATGATTAAAATCTCAAATTTTTGATAAAACAAGATTTTTGATGCATGACTAAAAAAGGAGAATGTTGGTATTTTTCAACCTGTCAGTTTGCAACAAAGGCTGAATGTGCAAGGAGGTCCAAAGTGTGGCTGAATGAAGTAAAACGTATGGCTGTAAAATCCGAGTCGACTGGTCCACTTATTGGTCGATACGTGCTGAGTCAACTAAAATTCTGATCGGTCAAGTCGATTTTTTTTGCACGTAAATTTACAGTCTATGGTGAATTTCATCAGGAGGAACGTACCAAGGGCAAATGGGGGTGTTTTCAGAGCACCCCCATGGACTGTATATAGGATGGACGCCGTCTGCCACCTCGCTGGGTGAAGCCACTCTGAGAACAGCACCCTCTGGTGACGGGCTGCAGTATAGGTCATAAATCCCGCCTCCCCAGCAAAGCTCACCCGGGGAATATGCTGTTGGAGCCGAGCGTCATCACAGCGACTCTCTCGCTGAGTGCGTACAACGCTACTGCGCAATGTTGGTTTCAGGACGAGGAGAAAAAACGCAAAATCACCGAGAGCTTTTTGGCTTTAAATCCATATACTGGCGGAAGGCAGAACCAAGTTGTCCATCGTATATACAGTCTATGAGCACCCTCGTTTCACAGGTAACAGTCTGTCTCAGAACACCCCACTTGTTTTTACCATTTTGGATTCGCCCAACCCACCGGAGACCGGCTGGAGACAGGAACGTTGAAGACGAGCATCCACATTAATCAACGTCTGATGGTTAGCTTCGTATTTTAGCCGATAAGTCGAAAGTTTAAGGGTTTTAGTTAACCAAAAATTTCTTTGGTTGATTACAGCCCTAGCAAAATGCAAAATACTGTCAAAAAACCTCCGTGGCCAGGCACATCAGCATAGTGCACCAAATCCAGCCGAAGTACCTGCAGAACCTTTGACTGTCTGCAGTTTAAAACAACGACATCATCTCCAGCTGCAGTCCTCCTCTCCACCCAAAGCAGTCAGAGGAAGCGCAGCCAGATTTTAGAGCGAGTCCCGTTAGTTAAAAATCAAGAGCCAGAGTTGAAATCAGCAGGATACATTATACTTAGCTAACTAATCCAGGAGACAGACGATTACACTGTGAGGTGTTCAGGGTCGGCTCGGTAAAACGAGAATTAGGCAAACAGTAAATAATATCTTATCATGATGTGTTTAAATGTCACATCCAGAAAAAGAAAAAGAGCTTTTCTGTATTGATATCAGTATCAATAAACGTGAATGATTTCCATCCTGACTTATAGTAAAAAAAACTATGTGATGAGATAATAAGAAAGACTGAGGAAGGGGAATTTGCTCTTATCATCCTGGAAAGTCCTGGAAATAGGAAAAACTGGACCTGATGGAGGACATGTTGTGCTAAAGGCGTATTTCTAGGCCACGGGTCACGCTGTGAACATTTATGATCTCAGATTTTTTATTAAGGGAGAGGAAATCTGAGTCAACTGAATCCTCTTTGAGCAAATCAACATTTCTATGAGATTTCTAACCGTAATATTAACACTCAAATGATTTCCTTGTGCAGCTTTTTGTTTCTGCGTAATCCTCTTAGATGTGAGCGTTATCCTAAGGCATGAACATCAGCACTGTGAGACTTGCACACAATAAACAAACACGGCAGGTGAATCAAAGGCCACCAAACAGGCACGCTATGTGGCACAGGCAGGTGTTCATGCTGGAAAATTACAACAGAGAGCTTGTGGAGTCTTTTCTGTCGGAGTCTCTGAGGTGCTGAGGGGGGAACAGAGGGATGGGAGAGGAGCGTGAGGGAGTGAGTTAAGGGGGGAGGCAGCAGTGTCGGCGTCGAGAAGAAAACAAAACCAGCAGCAAAAACCAGCAGGGAGATCGATGAAAAGACAAGAAACAAAAGGCAGACAGGAAAAACAATCAGAAACCCCCGAAGAAAAGAGAGTGACCTGCAGCGCATGCAAATTACCCAGAGTTCACTGTGGCATTTTGAACCGCTGCCCATTTCCTTTTACTCATAACGACGGCAACAACAAAGAGTTCCAGGGGCACAAGTGAGCGTAAAATCAAACGAGGGATTATGTTTCATGACAAAACATTGACTGCACTTTATTTAATGCCCTCACTTAACCGCCAAGCTCTATTTGTGTCTGTCAACCTCTTCAGCTCACAGAAGCAATGAGCCTCGCGGAACAACCGGCGCCCAGAGCAGCGCCGGCCTTCCACTGGGGGGTAATAACACAGCCATGAAACCTTTTATTAGCTGGCCTGGTCAAGAGTCCTCCACTATGACCGGACCTGGCTCCCACTGAGCACATCACTGCCTCCATGGCACAACCTGACAGTTCAAAGAGGAGCCTGGATCAGATCCAGCGAGGTTTGTTTTTTTTTTTTACTCAAGGATATATCAGATGCCGTCCATAATTCTGCAACAGGATGAGAATAAATCCTGACATGTCAGAGCAATAAATCAAGCTAAAAAGGCAGTCTGGAGGGAACAGGCGTGGCATGGAGAGCACAGTTGGACAACGCTAATGCAATTACAGGGATTTTCTGCTTGCTCAGAGGCTTGGTTCAAGGGCGGAGCGCAGAAAGCTCAAGGCAGGCTGCGTGAACTCGGTGGTTACCCGGTGTAAAAAGCCGAGCCTGGTCATGCTACCTCACTGTTTGGAGGAGCTGCTGAGTAAACACATGGGGGATTACGGCGCTTTGGTAACTCTACTCTGCCTGGATCAAAATCAGCTGCTTCAATTTGTTTCACTCAGTAACAACAACCAGAAATTAGCAGGAAGGCTAAACTTTAGCTGCTCGCTCCCCGAGGGAGTATTTTATCATGATTTACCATCCAAATGACAACAGCATATTGATCAAAATCAGCTGATTTCTTTTACGCATTAGCCGACACACTAACTGGAGGATAACACAACTGCAACCTGCAAGACGTGTACACAGCGAGGAAGAAAAAGGGCCTCAAGTCACCTAAAAAGTCGTAGAAGCAGCAAAGACTTATCACAGAAATATGACGATAATAGAAACCATGAACAATGAGTGCCATAGTGATCAGGAAACTGCACTGTTACTTTACTCACCCTATGTGACAGCATTTAAACAGCAGATCAGGATCAGGGTTAAAAACAGCTCAACACTTTTGTGAATGGACAAACAGCGAAGGACTGCAGCGTCCTTAAAGCTAATTTATATATCAGTCAGCCTGACGCCTCCTTTCCACCTCCTTTTCATCCATTTGTCAGCACTGAGACACATTCAAGTCGACAGAGAGCAAAACACCAAATTAAACATGCCTTCAGTTGATCTGTGTCCTCCGAGGACTCGGTTCAGCCGTGCCAACAGGTAGAGCCGAGCCAAGGGTGACACGAGCTAGCTCTGCTAATGTTAGCCAGACTTGGCCCAAAAGACATCCAACGGAGCTGTCATGATCCATAAAACTAATTATTCTAATATTTTCTGTCCAAATAATTCATCATAAGATCTCAAAGTAGAAAATATCTGCAGATTTAAAGTTTTTTTTTTGTGTGTTGCACCGATAAATCCTGTTGTAAACACGAGTCCCTCACACCTCCCACAGACTACACAACATTTGGTCATCCCTTACACACGTACACAATGTGAAGTCCATCCGGTGTTTGTCATCTCCTCACAGCAGTCAGTTGGACTCTCGCCTCCTGGATCATGTTCCCACCCAAAACTCCACAGCTCTTCCCGGGGACCATCAGGCCCAGATGGAGCCATCTGACCGCCGCAGACGCCGATCTGCCTTTCTGGCAGCTCTGGCTCTGACTCACAGACCGTACTGTAGTCTGTCTTCACAGTCCCTGTCTTTATCTTGGAGGGGAGTTCACAGCTGATTGGAGAGGAAAGTGTTAAGAGTCTGGTCTTAATCCTGATATGGTGTTTGACCTTGTAATCCCAGAAGAACTCACTGGTGAGGATGTGTGTGTGTGTTTGTGTGTGTTTGTGTGTGTTTGCTGCAGGCAGCTCAGACAGGCCGAGGTTAAAAACAGACCCTGTGGCCCACTGATTATCTGCTAATTAGCTTTTTTAAGACCACCGAGGTAAACACTAAGATTAATACCACAGGCAGGAGTACAAACTGCAGTTAAATGGAGGAGTGATTCAAGCCCTGCTGGCGCCCAAAGGGAGTGTAGTACTAGAAGTAATTAGTAGTAAATATTTTGCATATCAGCGGCTGGTTGAGGTGAGTTTCATTCACTCCACAGTAAAGACAGAAACTCCCTATAAAAAGGTGGATTCCTCTGATCAGAGTGAATTGGGTTGAGGAAACAGCGGATATGTACTGGACTTAACTATGGCTGAGAAAGCAAGATAAGGGGAAAACCATTCGAAACAAGAACCTCACATTCTTCCTGAACAATCTGGTCCATAAAATTGTTAGTGTCGAATATCCTCTTGGAAAGACGCCTCCCACCAGCTTCCAAAGACTCATTCTAAAGCGGCTGTTTTGGAAATGCCAATTTTAACAAACTTTCAGCTCATATAGAAACCTGCCAAGACGTGGAGTTGAGAGGAGCCAAACGAATCATAGATGCCAACAAGAGATGTTCCTTAGCAACTAATTTTCCCAGTTATTTAAGTAGAATTTCATATTCAGACTAGACGACGAGCCTGCAGGTAGAAAAACACTCAGACAGGAGTCAACACGATTTCTCAAGAGTCAAAGTAAACTGGAGAGTAAACTTCTGGTTTCAACTGTATGTCTATTTAACTAGACACAGCCTTCATGCAGCTTCATCTATTCACCATTTAGACATGAAGCCTAATGGGTTTCTTTGGCTTCTGCAGCAAGCCTCAAGTGGACACTAAAGGAACTGCAGTTTATTTCAACACTGGAGGTTGTGCTCGGTCAGGATTTAAGACATGGTCAACAAACAGAGGGGAAAGTGATTAAATTAGATGTCTGTGATTCGTTTGTTTCAGGATTGGCTTGTATCGTTAAGAATTAATCACCATGGTTACAGGGTTTTGACCAAGAATGTAACAAAGCTGGGTAATACGACTTACCATGACTACGTGAATGAGGCATGTTTAGTTTGAGGCAGCTTTAGGGACACAACTCAGGAGTTATTTACTCAGGCCACAAACAGGACTCAATACAGCAGGTCAAAATGAGAGTTATCTCATAAAAACATGATAATCCAGCTAATATTAACACTTAGAACTCAGCTGGATAAAAAAAAGATTGCTATCACTATCTTTCATTTTGTTTTTTTGTTTTGGTTGACTTTTATGGTGCTAAATCTACTTTTACTTTCATTTTACATGATTTTAGCACGTATGAACTGACAACTGGGGTTGTACTGAAAAATAAAAGATGTGTACATATTTGTCGTGCTTGAAGTATACAGTTGCTACATCCATTTTTACCAAAAAAAAAGCAAAATAGCCTGGAGTTCTAAGGGTTAAGTGAAGACCTCTGGGGGTTCTGGGTAATTCTGACCTCGATCTCCACCAAACTTACAGAGCACACTAAAACAGAGAGATAAATATTCATTTTATCATTCGACAACCACCCAAAATGTCAGCGCTTTCACCCAGAACATGGGGTAACGTTCAGTTTGTCTTGGAGATTAACGAGCTTCTTAATTCACTTTAGGCTGAGAGACGCTTTTCAGGGCGGATTTTTCCCTTTTTTTGGACCCTGAGGGGAGTTCAAGGCCCCCCTGGGGAAACTGCAGGGTAATGTGGAAGCAGCTTGAGGGGATTTATAAAATCTGAAAAACTGCTGCTGAAATAGAAAAAATATCTTGGCTTAATCTTTGTGATTAAAGCGCCATTATTCCAGCAGAGAGACGACGACAGACTAATACTGATGGAGTATTAAAGGAATAAATTTCATCTGCTTATTTACCCGCTGTAAGGAAGTTTGGAGCAGGGTCTGGAGTAATGAGCTCAGTTAAAGCAGAGACTGCGCTCTTCAGGGAGCGGCGACACAACTGGAGATAATGTGGGCGAAGTCAGCCTCAGCTTTCAATGAAAACTCCGCTGAATGCACTCCGGTATCGATCACCCTGAGTTTGCACTTTGTGTCTGAGTGAAGGAAGGCAGATTAATAACTTCACATGATTCCCCTACACGGGCGCTGGATCTGTCCTCTTGTTTAAGGGTAATTAAAGTACAAATCCTTGACATTTTGGAAAGCTCCTTTGTGGATTCCTGTACAGTAATAATGGGGGTTAAGCCCTAAAGCTTCTCAGTGAGTGACATGTAATTTTGTGCTGCTGACCGTGACTACAATTACAGAGAACTTAATTTGTAGGCTGCCATGTCACCTCTTTCATTACGCTGAGTGTCGTTTCTTTGTGTGTAGTCCAAATCAGGGCAGAGAGGGGACGGAAAAGGACCGGAGCTGGCAGCAGGGCTCTCTAAACTGGCAGCCTGGCACACAATTAAACCACCCGGATTAGAGGCTACCTGTGCAAAACCCCTGACCCCACGTAGAGAGATCAAGTAAAGCCCTAAGTCTCCCCAGATGTTGATAAGATTTCTTGCGAGAGCCTGCTGGCACAGTTCCTGACGCTGCTGCAGTGTGGATTAATGCCAGATCTGGAGGGAGGTTATCACCCTTAGTTACCGCTGAGAATAGGCCAACTCACAAGTACACAAGTTTCTGCAGCAGTGCGACGAGTGTGTATATGAGCGCTGCATGTGTGTTTGCACAACAGATGTAGGTTACATTACCATAAGAAAGAAATAGTAGCCTGTCCCTTTAAGTGAGGAGATGGCGAGCAGTGAGACTGAAATTTGAACACACCCAAAGACTGAAACAACTGTGAATAATCTTCCACTTTTCAAGAAATTATATTGAAAACAACTATGAGGAACTGTGTTAGTAGAGAGGAAGGACTGCAACAGCTCAGAAGTCATTTAAAGTGCTAAATTTGAATCTATCTAAAGTGAGTTTAGAGAACAGATGTGTCAAAACTCACAGCTCACGGGTGGCCAACGACTAACCGCTGATCTCGAGCAAATATGAACAGCTTCCCTTCCAAAAAAATGGCACAATCACATCATTAGTGCTGAATCAACCAAAGAAGTTCTTGGTCTAAAAACCTGAAAATTTTGACTAAAAATCGGCTAATAGCAGCGGGGGACGACGCGGCTCAGCGGGGTGAAAATATACTGATATCTGCACAAGAAGGCGAATAAAACACGAAAGTTGAAACACTCAAAATAAAAATAAATAGTCAGCAAACCACTGGACGTTGATTAATGTGGCGCTCTTCAATTTTCCGGTCTCTAGTGGGTTGGGCGAATCCAAAATAGTGAAAACAAGGGGGGTGTTCTGAGACAGGCTGTTACCTGTAAAACGGAGTGCTCTGAAAACACCCCCATTAGCACTTGGTATGTTCCTCCTGATGAAACTGTAAATTGACGCGGAAAAAATTTAGTCGCCCAATCAGAATTTCGGTCGACTCAGCAAGTATCAACCAATAAGTCGACCAGTCGACTAGGACTTTACAGCCCTAACTGAAACAACTGTGAATAATCTTCCATCCATCAAAATATTATGTTGAAAATAACTATCGGGGGCTGTGTCAGTAGAGCGGAAGGACTGCAACAGCTCAGAGGTCATTTAAAGTGCTAAAGTTGACTCTTTCTGAAGTGAGTTTAGAGAACAGATGTGTCAAAACTCACAGCTCATGGGCGGCCAACGACTAACCGCTGATCTCGAGCAAATATGGACAGCTTCCCTTTTAAAATAAAAAGGTATAGTCACATTATTTTTTAAAATGAACACAATGCTGGGTGCCAATTTAGTTTAGTCTGAGGGGACGATGCCTGAAATGCAGGTTCTGTCTGAAAACAGTAGCTGTAGTTTTGGGGGCAGCAGCTCTGGACCTGGAAACCGTGGTCTGAAAAGCAGGCGAGATAAGTTTCTCCTCCATGTGGACCTCGGCTATTGTTGCTAACAAAGTTGGTATCGAGTTTCCAGCCCCTTCCTCATTCTTGTTAGGAGGCGAGTGTGAGAGTGTGAGACTGAAAACACCATAGACCAGTAACACCTTTTCCACAGTGTCAACAGGCAGAGGAGGATTAATCGCTGTCTTTACAGTTTTTTGACCAATCAGAATCAAGTATTCAACCCAGGATGGTGGATTTGGTTCTGATCGATAGGTTTTCTGGCTGACTGATTTCAAGCAAAGTAACACCAGACCTTAGCGATCAAATGTATGAACGGACCTTTTCAACTCCTGGTAATTTATCCATCCAAGCTAGGATTGAAGGACCCCAGCAAACTTTAAAAACAGAGGATTTCCAAAGATCTGGTGTAAACTTCACACTCCAGGAGGAAGGAAAAGATAAAGACTGAAAGGCACAAAAGGAAATCCGAGCCTAGATGAGATAAAAGTCTGAATACAATCCAGAGTCTCAGCCTCATTCGACATCCTGCTGGTGCCCTTCGCTTTTTCTAAAACTGTGGCAGGGCACTTTTTATCAGCCGCGCTCTGCTACGACACATTCACACGGGACAAGAAGTGACATTCATCCCTGAAACTATTAAGAACTGGGACACTCACTGCACTCCCTGAAGCTTTTACAACACCTCCCAACACACACTAACGCCTGTGTGTGTGTTAGTGTGTGTGTGTGTCTGCATTAATTAATCTGAATTCTTCTCTCTGTGTGTTTTTGTGAGCTCTCTACTTGTCACAAAAACTTTCTTTGCTGGCCTTGTTCTGCTGTTTTGTTTTTTTTAGTTTGGGGGGGTTACTGCGGCGTCACCATCTCTCAGAGGGACGTGATGGAGAGCTCATCCAGAACTGTTATGATGAAGGACAACAGCCGCAGCCTTTCCAGGCCCAGACGCGGTTCTTCACGGATGAACTCACTCCAATTAAAACACAATCCGACAAAGAGAGGGAGCTCTGCATGTCAGAGCTCTCTGCAGGCCTCTCTCACCCATTACAAACATGAGGTACTTACTTAGCAGATGGATCGTCAAACAACTATCAGTGTCATAAAACACACGAGGGAAGATAAGAGATGCGTCCTTCTGTACGCCTGAGACTTCTGTTCGTACAATTGAAGATTAAAGTTAGAGGACTGATAAGAAGTTGGTGTAAACTCCTAAACAGCTTCCTAAATACTGTCTCAAACCGAGAAATAAAACACATTAGTGTCATTTTTACTGTTTCTACACTCTACTTCTACAGCCCGACATAAAGAAGTCGATTATCTGCTTTAAAAAGGTATCAAAGCATAACTCACAGTGCCACACTTAAAGGGCTGGGACCTCTCCAAGGTGTTGAAAAGATAAATCTGACACAACTAGTGGGTGTAAAAGAGAGGCATATTTTTTATGCGGGATGTGGAGTTGGAGCTGAAAGCCCTGAGTGGATAGCCCGACACTTTGAAGATGAAATATCCCCAAACAAAAGACTTTACAACGGCTGAGGTGAGGAGCGCTGGTGGAGGAGATTTAGAGAATCAAAAAGGACAAAGATGAAGTTTGTGAGGTTCGCTGGGAAGTCAAACGCCCTCTCTTACACTCAGAGCATGCAGTGCAAATGTCATTGTTAGTTTCTACCTGATGCAATCGTCAGTTTTACATTCTTTGCCAATGTTAGCTTTCACCTCTATTAGCACCTCTGGGTGTGTGCCACCTTGTGGTGCAGTATGTTCTCGATATTGTAGAGTTCACAACATGCAACCATTCATGAACATATCTGAGTGTCTGAGACAGTAGAAAGGTGGGGTTGGAGTTGTGGGTATTTTTCCCTTAGTCATGGTCCATCATGATGCTGCCCTCTGAAGAAGGACTGCAGCCCGTCCCATCAGATAGAAGTCATGAGTGAAATCAACGCCGCTGTGCTCTGTCTGCGTGGGTAAATGTTCACGTGTGGTCACGCCTGGTGTGTAAGGACCTTAAGAGAGATCAAACCATGACCATCAGCTCATTGTATTTAAAACATATTGTTAGCACGCAGTTGTTTGCTAACCTGTTAGCCGGCGGTATCATTATATTGTACAGTGAAGCACATGCCCAGTCTGCAAACAAACACACACCACTTATTTTTCTCACCACAAGCTGAATCTATTTCAAATAATGGGCTGCGTTGATTTTTAAAACAAACATTAGGAAATCAAAAACAGCCTCACAGTTGCGTCGTCTTTATTTCACTGAACAGCCTGTTACTCTGCCTGCACTGAATCTCTGTGAATTTATGTCAGTTTTGCAGAATTGCTGTATAATTACACATTGTACCAACATTATATCGGTGACCCACTGAGTGATTTCACTTCATGGCACTGTGAAAGTAAAGGAGGTGAGATGTCCAAACTCGCAGCGGGGACACATTCACACACACACACACTCAGTCATGCACACATACACAGAGCTGTTTTGATCCTGGCAGCTCCAATGCTATACATATGGCCGAACCCCCACGCCGCCTGCTAGATCTCTGCCTCAGAGGCGACTTCTCCCCACCTCTCTGCCTCTGTGTGGTACACAATACATGTGAGGTGTAACAGGGTCAGAAATATCCCACCCTGAGCCAAGTTTGGGAGTTGACCAGTCAGCAGAGTCGACTTATTTATGATATATTTGGCTTGTGAACAGGCGAGCAAACCTGATGATGCTGTAAATACAGAACTGAAAACTGTATCAGAGTAGAGTTCAGCTCCTTACAACAAAAACAACGATGGTGTTTAATTCAGAGTCACAGCTCATTTACTTCAGTCCACTCCTGACTGAGATTCAATCCCTCTGTAATTTGTACCCTGTAATTATGTTTTCCTGTTTTAGCGCTCTTGAAATCAGTGTAAAACGATCTCCTGTCTCGGGAAACAAAAGCAGCCTGAAAGAGTTAGTAAAAGTGACAAGTTTTCAATAAGGACTTTGTTTTTGTTTTGTTTTGTTTTTTCATGTGGGTGTTGGAGGACTGACATGAAGCAGAAAATAAACAAAAGTGAACTTTGAACAAACAGAACGACAAAGTTTGACAGAATGAACTAAGAATAGCTTTTATGAGTCCTGAAATACAGCAGAGGAATGAGTGACGGTAGGAAACACTGTTTTCAGATGTGTTTATCCTCCGCTCTCGCAGATCAATGAGCTTTAGCGCTGAGGATTAGGGACCAGGCGATAATTCATTTCTGGACTTTACTGACTCCAATCAAATCATACTCTGGTTATATGATCTTATTATTGTGCCCCTGTGCTAGTGTTCCTAATGAAAATGAGTTATTCTTACTGCTGTTTGCACATTTAAGAGTTCAGTGACGCACATGGTGAACACACACAGTCATCTGAATATTTCATGTCTTTGTGTTTGAAAACTTAATCATGATGCATCAGCAACAGCACCAAAACAGCACCCATGTTTCAGTACCATCATACTCTACGACTGACTGAGTGAATATTTGATTATTAATGTCAGTTTTAAAGGAGAGGCCCAAAAATGCAAGTCAGTTTTATGCAAAAATTCAAAATATTTTCCAGTCCCAGTTTTCTGTTTAAAGGCTGTTTTGGGAGTTTTGACATGAGCACTTGTGCATTCCTGTACCATCACTCATTCTGGCTTTTGAACCGTGTTTTCATAACAAGCTGGGTGGTCTCTTTCCTGTTTTTACAGAAGTGTATATATACTGTATATTTCCTCTTTTACAGTTTTAACTCATAATTCTGATGCAGCACTGGACTGTGTTTCTCTGATTTAATACAGTGATTTCCACGACAGAGTCTTGTCTGTTGATACAGTGCTGCATAAGGACCTGAAGATCACAGCTGTCCAGTCGTGGTTTTTGGCCTTGTCCTTGTTTTAAAGAGATTTCTCCAGATTCTCTGAATCTTCTGATGAAGTTATGAAGCTGATCGATCTCTGTGTGATTGTACGGTGAGGATTATTATTCTGAAATTATTGATCCTTTTGCTCACGCAGTCTCTCACAGAGTGGTTCACCTCTTCCCATCTTTACTTCTGACTGACTCAGTTTCTCCACTGTGTCATGTTACTAACCTGTTGCACGTTAACATTATTATTCCTGAATCGATCGTCTTGGTGTATTTTAAAGCATTACACAACTTTTTAAGCCTATTGTTGACTCCATCCAAACTCACTCAAATTTGATACTGGTGATAAATTTTAAATAAGCATTTACAGTGCATACAGAAAATATTCAAAGTGCTACACTTTTTTCACATTTTCTTGTGTGACAGCCGTTTTCCAAAATGGATTTAAATCATTTTTTACCTCAAAATTCAACACACATCATTTGTTTAAAACTTTTGCAATTTTATCAAAAATAAAAGACAAAAAAATAGCGCTTTATTCCAGATGCACTGTATTTTTTATGAAAAAAAGCCAAAATGTCTGTTTTGTCTTAATGTTCTTTTCTATTAAATACAGGGTTTAAATAATTTCAAATCCATCAAAATCTGATTTTGTCAACGTTTTACACTCATCCTAACTTTACATTGGGGTTGTAGTGTGATCACATTAGATCGCCGCTACTTTTATGTTGTGTGAACATGTTTTTCTTTCTATGTAACACTAAAAACGGACAAAATAATAATTTTTTTAAAGTGGGTCAGCACCAGTTTAAGCACTTTACCAGAGCATAATACAACCTGAGTCAGCAGGATTATCAAACAAATCACAAACTACATGATCTACAAAAGGACCCACATCTGAGCGAGCATGTTGACATGTTTTTGAAACTCTGCACTGAGGACATGTTTTTGACATAAAGGATTTACAGGTACATTTCTAACATGAAAACAGCTTCTTTAGTTCTGCCTCCACCTGCTCCTATCTCGTGATAAACTCAGAACCAAACAGACAACAGTGTACTGTTTGTACTGTGGACACAAACAAGAAAAACAAACCTTTCCATGCAAACCATTTTGCCAATGTTTCCATGTCCCTGTGTTTGCATGCCTGGGTGTGGGTCTGCCTTTGTGTGTTTTTGATTTGTCTGTATGTTTGTTTATTTTTGCATGGAGCTGAATAATGTGACAGTGGCGTGAGGGTACTAAGAGTACAGTGAGAGCCTGCTGTGCACGCACCCTCATTCACTCACACACGTCCACTGGAGCTGACATGATAGCCAGTTAGTCTATTAACAGAAAATCAAACATGCAGCATCGCCTCCAGCCATCCTCTGGCTCCGCCGTCTCCAGAATCAATAGTTGGCAGCTTTTCTCCGTACTGTACCATATTTTTGACAGTCAGGGATCTTTAATGCTTTTTTTGACCATAGCTCAGACAGAACAGGTAATGCAAAGTGGTCATTTTTTTAAGTATCGATTATTGATTGTCTCTTACATTTAAACCAATCATCAGTTTTACAGACGTGGGACACACACAGATCTATAAAAACAAAGATGGAGGTCTATCGTCTATTTAGCAGAGGCGTAGCATAGCGTATAGAAGAGAGTATTTTTGTCGTTGTTTGCCCGTCTATCCTGCTTCTCTGAATTTTCCATGGACTTTTTCAAGAGTTCAATATTGTTCTTTGAGCGTTTGTATTATAAACAATCTCTCCGCTGCTGACCAATTCTGTGTGCTCTGTTTGGAAGCTGCCAATATTTTACTTTATTTGAGTAAAATTTTGCGCATTTTCGTCTAGACAGAGCATGTGCAGACAGAACGCAGCCTAACAACTACCGTTTCACCGTATGCATGACAAAACTTTACCTTTGATTGGTTCGAGATCTTGAAAACGAATTAAATTTCATTCGGTTTTTGCGTGTTTATCCTAACTGAGGTATTTATATGGAACTTTTTATTCGGTTTAGGCTTTTAGCACACTTCTAATTGGGATATTAGGCTATCAAGCTACTCTGACAAACACGTAATGCAACACAAGGTCTGAATATACATGGGTAACAAGCAATAGGAAACAGATGAGACACTGAGACACAGGTGCAGACCATCACTAGGGAGGAAAAAACACAGGAAGTAGAAATAAACCAGACGCACGAGGAGAAGGAACTACAAAATAACCCGGGAAACACTGAAAACTAAAGACCAAACAGGGAAGAGCTCAAGAACAACAGGAACATGAGAGTAATAAACACAAGGGATGGGAAAAATACACTTAAATTACAAACAGAGGGAAAAACTAAACCGACAAGAATATATCATGACAGACTGACTGTTAATGTTGTGCAAAATTCTTGTTAGTTAAAGCTTCTTCAATCTTAAAGAGGTTTGATTGATTAAAAACACCTTTCTACTTAAAACATCTGTTGCATGACCTACAAACTTAATGTCGGTGATTTTTCTTACAAAATATAATTCTCTGTCACATTTCATAGGGTTTGTCCAACAGGTGACTTCTCCTGCCTGGTAATAAATCTCTTCTCTTTATCAGCAGTCAAACAAACCAGCATGCCAGCATTAAACTGATGCCATAAAATCAAGATGTGATAAGATAAAGCTGAACAATGGCTTCTGTCATCAGCGCATGGTACATTATTTGCCTATGGGTCGATGCCGATCAGCAAGGCAAATATCAGCAGATACTGATGTTAATGTGGCACACAAGTGCAGCCCTTCATTTGACTCTTGAATCCTAACAACTGCGACAGCTTTGTTTAACGACTGTCTGATTTTAAACCAACGTTTTAAGGTTAGTCTGGATACAGACAGGTTAAAAAAGAGTTGAAGACCTTCTCCAGGTAATCTATAAGTCAAACAAGAAAGCCTATCAAGTGTGATGAACTATGAAATGTGAATATCTGAGGACTTGAGACTGTTGGTTAAACATTAGCAGGCTTTTATTTTGAAAAGCAGTTACTCACAACAGTCCATGTGGCTTCCTTCATGCATCTAATTACCAAAGTTTTAATCAAGAAAACAAGATGCTATAATTTTGTTAACAAGCTGTCAAGAATAATGTAAACTCACATGTTGCTTCTTAAATGTAAGGATTTGTTTTTTTTTTCTGTTTTCTGTCATTTTTAAGCTTTAAAGTCCATCTAGAATGGGATAAGCGGTATAGATAATAGATGGACAGATGGCTGATCTGGTTACATCTTTGGATAAAATCTGCAGCGTTTCTCTGGATTTGGAGACTGCATTTCCCATGAGCACCATCACATCTGTGGTAAAGTTGTTGCACACAAGTGAATGGATAACAGATCGTCTTTCCTTGGCTCAACAAAACTTTTCCTAGAGTCAGGAGGTCATGTGGTAAAAAGTATTAACTGCTTCCTCACTAACAAAAACCTTCACTTTCAAGAAGACATACTGGTCTGACTTAAACACCACAGCCCGGATGTGTGCTCCAGGGTCCCAGTAAATGACCGAATGTTGTAAATTTGAACACAGTTTGACTCTCTCGTCCTTAAGGACCAGTGAAGCATTCACACGCCGGCTGAACTGCTGAATACTACCTCAGCTTTTTAAAAGACATTACAACCTCGGCACAGACAGAAATAACCAATCACGCCGCTGATGATCTCATTTTACAGCTTAGGTCATGAAGAGTGAGACTGATGCTGCTGCATTCAGGCGCTCCTCAGATATCCCTAGTTTCTAAGATGTGAAGTCATTACTCAGACTCTGGTGTGTTCAAGTACTTCAGAAAATCAGGTTTCAAAAATACCTGACTGTTAAAACAGATACTAAAATATTGCTCAAGCTAATGTACCCGACTGATGCTAGTGAACAACTTTTCCAACAAGTTCCAGTCTCTCTGCGAGGACAATAACAGCCTACAGTCACACCGTATTACAAACTGTAGCCAGGTAATAATTTGACGTGAACTTAATGTGAAACCCCGGAGCAATCAGGTACCACACGGGTTCCTCTCTGCATCAACAACAACATAGCAGGACTTCTTATAGTGTTTCAATAGCAACTTAATCTCTTTTGTGTGTTGAAGCTCAATGATGTGATCATGCTGAGCAAGTCCTACTTATAGATGTGTTATGTTTTCAAACCTATCGCCCAGAATTAGCTAATAATGCTAACAACATAACGAGCTAACTTTTTGACTTTAATCTGGGACACATTGACCTGAGTGTGACGACAATCCCAGGTCCAACTTCTGACTCTATTGTAAACAAAACACACCAAAATTAATGCCAGACTTTCCAGAGTTGTTTTTTTTTTTTTTTTTGACTTAAGCAGGTGCTCATGTGCATTTTCAAACTCAGAAACTCATTTTTCCGATATGTCTGACACCACATGAACGCAACACCTTTAAAAGTCAGCTAAAACTCCTTACAGCGCATTTAATACCTTCAGGTTTCAGACCATTGTTAAATAGAGTTAAAGGGATATTACAGCGTAAAACTAAGTTAGGGTCAAACACACTGTAACACCGAGTTAGGTCGCTTTCACACCTGAACAAGCGGACTCGGTTCGATGGGGGAGCTGAAAGTCCCAACACTGTTGCATTTGTCACTTGTGTTGGTTCTGCTTTCACACTGTGATTTCTAAAGCGCACCGAACTTTCCGAGCAGCATCACGTGGTTGAAAGGGGCCCTCATCGATTGGACAAAGTAGGAGGGGTTTGTAACCTCATGGATTACAAACAGGGGTGGAGGCAGAAGAACTACTGCGTCTGCAGTGCAAAATGATGAATATGGTGATTATTACTTCAAGAAAATGATAAAGAAATGATCATAAATGTTCTTCCTTGAGCTGCGTCACCCCGCAGCAGTCAATGGACTGGCCCAGAGGTCTCCGTACAAACAAGAGGCTGCTGGAAGAGAGTGGGTGAGTTGTGTTTGGTCTCTTAACTAAAGAAATTAGGCAAAGTTAGAAAGATGGTTGATGGCTAGTACTATGGCTGTGACCCTATGTGTACCGTTGAAGAAGTTAGGTTCTGTTCTGAGCATTATTTGTGGCTATAGAGTGGCGTTTTGGTTGAGCGCGTTGCTCTCTGTGTTTTGCTATCGTGCTGTCGTTACTAAAGTTGGTATAACTAGACAAGCAAGCGGTCGGCAACATTCATCTCTCAAGGGGGTGTTATGGTGTGTTTGACCCTATCCCTTTAAGAAGTTGTATGAAATTGAGATTATTCAGCACTATTTTGTATATCAGTGTGAAATAAAAACCAGCACAAGCTCTGATGTTGAGTTTGGTGTCCTGGGTGGCCGACACCGTCTTCTCTCTAATCAGATGTGTAAAATAGGGCAACTTTGATTTTGATCAGCGGGGAAAACTGTGACACAAAGAGGAAAAAGACACAAACTTTGTGCTCGTTTTCACCCACTTTTAGGTCACGTCAATGCTTGAAACTCCTGACATTATATCAACACCTGAACACGCCATGAAGGATGATGATGATGATGTGAGCACAGCTGGCTGGCCTGCATCTGCCTGCTCGTCAGACTCAAACATGATCTGAATACCAACAAACACGAGGGCCAGGCGAAAACACACAAATTCAGACTCTCCTAGAAAAGAAAAAAAACCACACAGACAGACACCAGAGGAGGGTTAATTACCTCCACGAAGCATCAACACAAGCACAGCTCCACCGGCTCACATTTCACCCACATCTGGTCACAAACACGAACACGTAAAGCCGAACGAGTCAAGAGGATTTCGCCTCATTTTCCCCTCTTTTTCTGAGCTGTTATGTGAGAGAGAAACCCCCTCTTACCTTCCACATCCAGGCCATTCTTATTTCTACGCAGACAATGGTGGACCGCTTGTTTTCGTAAAGACCCGAAAACGCTGCTCGCCGCCGCGTCCGCCTCACGCGCTCCTCCTCTTCACCTTTGCATCACGAGAGCAGACGTTGAAACGGTGCGGTTACATGCGGGGAGGACGGCTCCATAAATATTGGAGTGAGTGTACCGTTATTCGGCTCCTGTCTTGGGTGTTTTTTTTTTTTTCTCTCCCATGGAGCTGCTGGGAGCTGGAGCGACGCTGCGCTGCTACTGGCCGGCACAGACGCAGCCCCGCCCACGTACGCACCACGTGACCACAGCTGATTTCCTGACTTCTGCCTCTACAATATGCCAGCCTGAGGAGGAGAAGGAGCAACAGCTTTAATCAGAGCAGGAACTTCATCTTTATAAAAAGAATGAAAAAGGAGGGAAAACTAGCATGAAGGGGTTTTTATTCATTCATGTCTCTTCAGCCTCATTAATTGATATTAAATCTATAATAACTGATCAGTGATTTTGAACCAATAAGTAGGGGAAAGTGGGGTAAGATTAACCATTTTTTATATTTCGGATCACTACATTAAGTCAATCATAGTTTTGTCTCTAACTAGTGTATCTGCATATATTTCAGGATGTTGTTCATCCCTGCAAACCAACGAATGAGTGTGAACATAACTGTCTTGATAATATAGCATGTCAAAAAAAGTGGTCTCTTATGGTCAACTTACCCCGTGTATGGGGTAAGTTGACCATAGTTGACCATAGCGCACACAGTGTGAGAATTTAAGATATATTGTTAAAGATATATTGTTAGAAACATGGCCTGACAGTGAGACATTACGTGAGGAGAGAGCTGCCTCTGGGAAACACTGGAGATAAAAATAAAAATGGTAAAAAGAGTAAAACCTGGTGGACTAAAAAAAAGAAAATAATATTAAATTCTAGGTTTTTGACCTCATGTTGTAGCTCATAGATACCACAATTGATGTATAAAACAAATTTAAAATGATCTTTTTTGGTCTGAACACAATTCTAATAAAACCTATGACAGATTAAATTCACTTTCAAGAGTGAAAACCCCTTCACTCGTGTGCTTCTAACCTTCACAGACTCCATGAATTGATGCCCATCTCCTAAAGATTTGGTCACATGATCAATTTCTTTGACCATTTCCAAGAAACAGGGGGTGGCTCAACTTACCCCACTCTCCCCTACTGTGAATGTCAATTTGAGTTTTTAACACTAATGTTGTTTTAAGAGTCCCATAAGCCCTTTAAAGTAATATTTTTATATTGTGCACACATGAATTAAGAAAATAACTTGTGCACATGATAAATTGTATATCTTGAGGGTACAAAAAAAATATTTTATGCCGTCAGGGTAATATCTTGCGAGTACAAGTTTGTTGACTTCAATGCACACTTTACTGAGGAGTAAGTTGTCAACACATTGTTGTAAGCTTGAGCACTAATAATTGAATTTAATTAAATAATTTATTAATAGCAATAATCACTAATAACTGAGTTTCCCTTTGGAGATCAAATAAAGTTGTTCTTATTCTTAATACTGTCACATGTAAGATATACAATCAATCGATTGTACAGAGAGCATTAAATCAAGATCTATGCCCATGAATCCGTCAGAAAAGACGCACAGCTCTGTTCGAGCCTCAAGTCACGATGATAAGATGAGAAAAAAAATGTGTTTTTAGGAGGAAGACTGTCAGCAGCATTCAAAAAGGAAGTTATCTCAGGATATTCATGTTATCTGCTTCAATGGGTCGGAGCAGAGGACAAACAACCCCAGGTCTACTAGATTTATCACATGTTTGCCATGGGAAGAACTCTTGTGACTACTTTACAGTTTCCAAGAACCAAACTGAAGTCTTGGAAACCTCTCAGGGATCTCGATGTAAAACTCCAGGAGAAAGACTTAACAGCGTTTAGAAATCATCATTATGAAGTAACCGTGAAAAGACCTGACTCTGGTCATGCTTCTGTTTTCTCTATCTGGGTGTTTTCTTCAGGGTTACAGGAAGACTGCAGAGCGTTCCTCAGTCTGACTTGCGTGGAGGTGGGGTCAAGTTTGCATGTCATGTAGTAGGAAAAACAGATTTGCACTTGTGGCTCTTCAGAGTGTCCAGTCCACACTCTTTACATGTCTTTAGACAGTGGGAGGAAACCTGAGCGCTCAGAGGAAACAGGAGAAACACCAACGCCACACAGGGAGATCTCAGCTGGAAGGATCAGGACTGAGTTTCTCTGGAGAAGAAATTCTTCTACTGCTCTCAGAGTATTTTATCTGGTTTTATTAAGGCGTGTTAACTGTGACATACAGAGAAAAACATGACAAACTCAGAGTGAGTGTCTTCTTCCTCTTCTCTGAATCACGTCAGTGTTGCTTCATTTTCGTGACAAAATTGTTTTGTAATCAAACAGGCATTTTGAGGAGGATTTTTTATTTTCAAATACAAAAGAAAATTAAAATAAACCCTGACAAGTCAATTATTTCTTTAATAAGCAGCTGTTTTATTACTTTAGGTTAACACATGAGCTCCCTAAGTCCTACATAAGCCTATCTGCATTTATTGTCACAATAATGAGTCACTGCCTGAACCTTTTTTTTGACATATTAACCTTTTTAAAGCTAAATGATGTTTTCTGTTTTAGTCCGACTGATACTAAGAACACTTGAACACATCAGTCCAACTGACTAACACACCAAGAATCCTGCTATAGCTGAAGTTTGATTGAAGGGTGCATGTAAAGGTACTGAGTGTTTTCAAAGTGACTTTTTCAAGGGTTGTATAAGCTGTGGTGTGTATTCACCTTCCATCTGAGCCTGTCAGGTCTCTGTGCTCCATCCTCAGGGCCTTTTTTTCTTCACTGTAAAAGAAAATGAAATAGTTTGTGAAACATACGGTTACTGTACTCAACCCAGACTGTCCACAGTCCAACTATTCAGCTTTTATGAATACACAGGTGAAGAATGTGTGTGAAAGAGGAGATTCAGTTAATCAAAGTCTGTTGTGTGATTATTTCTAACTTCTTTTTACTGAATATAAACATCGTAAAATCTCAATGGAAGAACCCAAGGACAGAGACTTAAGGTCTGACCGCACTTCATCTTTCTATACAGTCTTTTTTGATTAGATTTACTGCAGTTCAAGATTCAGACTTTCCGAGAAATTGTTCAGGTAATAAGAAAAGGTGATAAAAAACTTCGATGAGGATCCTGCCTGTCCTCCACCTCACATTGCTCCTCCACCTCTTTGTTTTACCTGCCTGTCTCGGGGATGTAATTGAGTTCAGCTGCGGGCTGTCATCTTGTTACGTGACATGACGCCTCGAGTAAACAGAAATGTTCAAAGATGTCAGCCGTGTTTGCCAATGACAGAATCCAATTTATATTTTTTCTGTTGTTTTGAACAAACTATAATTGATATACACTGTCAATTATTCCTGAAACACAAACACAAATCCATGGAGGTGCAAACTTTGCTGCTGTCTGAACAGATAACCACGGGCTGCTGGTACACTTCACTTCCTTTGATTAGCTGTCTGCACATTGATTCAACCTCTCGCCTGGTGTAAAGCAGGTCCTCTCACAGAATCAATAGCACTATCGGGGTTATCACCAAATCTCCCCTCTCTCTCTCTTTCTCTCTGCCTCTCCTCTTTTTAAGCTCCTCAAACAGAGCATGACAAAAGTAATCCTCAAACTCTTAATCACGGATTAAATCCTCATGAGTGCTCACCCCGCTCAAAAAAGAGAAAGTCAAGGTCATCTGCAGACCATGCATCTGAAATTACCTCTGGATGATTAAGAGACTGTGGATGATACCCGTGATGTGATAAGAAGCTTTTGGGGCTCAGGAAGAAAAACGCAGAGTCTGAGGGGACTGACTGTCCACAGTAGATCAACAGGCAGGCAGGTTAATCCTCCATCCTGCACCACATGTGGACTCTGTGGAGCTTACATCCAAAATACATCTACTGGGTGATATGGCCTCATATCAATATTACGATATATTGAGCAGTTCACCTTGATTTCAGTTTTAAAGGAGAGTCTCCCAAATTTCAGTCACTTTTATGCAAAAATTCAAAATACTTTCCACCTCCAGTTTTCCGTCTAAAGGTTGTTTTTGGGAGTTTTGGTACATAAGTATGAAAACACGACATGAGCGCTTGTTCATTCCTGTACCATCACTCATTCTGGCTTTTGAACCATGTGTTTATAACAAGCTGGGTGGTCCCTTTCCTGTTTTTGCAGAAATGTCCATGAATTCTGAGATGGCCCAGGCATCAGAGAATATACTGTATGTTAGGGCTGGGCGATATGGCCTCAAATCAATATCATGATATATTGATCAGTTCACCTCGATAACGATAAATGGACGATAACTACTCCACAAGCGGCTCACTCCCTCCCACCTTAGCTTCGTCTACTTCAGCCGCAACAACTTTTGATCCGTCCTCTATCTCCTCACCTGTCTTTCCCTCTTTGTTACAGACTGGATCAGATGGAGTCTCGTCTAAAGGGACATGGGACCACAGCCTACCTACACACATCCAAAACCAACTTTTATTTATTAAAAATTTTCACACTAAATACATTGACAGGAGCAAATGACATTGTTTATTGTCGTAAATTCAAGTATCGGTAAATTTTCGGTTTATCGCTCAGCTCTACATCTGGACAGGGACCATAGACTGTATATAGAATAGACGCCGTCTGCCTCCTCACTGGGTGAAGCCACCCCAATAACAGCACCCTCTGGTGATGGGCTGCATTATAGGTCATAAATCCTGCCTCCGCCAGCAATCCCTATGGCGCTGTGGACAAACTTTAGAAATTTATTACACAGAATATAAATGTTTCTCCCCTGGTTGCGATGTTGACATGTAGTTACTGTAAGACTGGTTTGTACTCAAGTCCTCTTTTTTCTATGCAGCTCCGTTTTTAAAAGTTATTACGGGGTTCATACTTTCCATGATTAAGTACCTCGCCCAGGGGATACACTGTTTGAGTCGAGCGTCATCAAATCGCGGAAATGGCGAGAGCTTTTCGGCTTCAAATCCGTATACTGGCGGAAGGCGGAACCAAGTTGTCCATAGTATATACAGTCTATAGCAGGGACTGATGTTGTCCAGTCGGCCAGTTTCACACCTGGACTCTTCTGCTACAGAGCCACGCTGTTATAGTATCTGCAAAACATGGTTTGCTATCAAAGTTTAAATATATAAGTT